ACACATAGCAAGCCCATTGCTCCAGAGGGGAGCACAGGCTGTGCATGTAAAGGGTTCAGCCCCAGTTGGAGGGACTTAATTGGGTAGCAGTGAGTGGGGAAAAAGCTCTTCTCTGCCTCAGGACGGTGTTGGGTTGGAGGGACACACGCACTGATCTAAGCTATGTGTTGGAGAGCTTTCGCCACACTTGGTTGGCTGGTGCAGTGACCTGACAGTCACGGTTTAAGTGTGGGCCTTTGCTGAGCCATGGGTTAGAGTGCGCATTGAACCCAGCTGCACTAACAAACCAGGCTTTGCTAACCACGAGCAACCCAACCCTGGTTTATAGTTGGTTTATGAACAGTGGACTGGTTGTTCATGCTTAACAAAGCCCGGCCTGTTAGCAGAGCTCAATCCATACTCAGCCCTTGAATGTGGTTCTTGTTTTGCCTGAACCCAGCCATTATTGCACATATACATGGCGTTATGCAGAACTCCATACATGTGATGACAGGTCCCTGCTCCAAAGAGCGTGCAGTCTGTAAACAGAGCCACTGTGGAGTCGGGGTTAGGAGTGCAGGGATCGGACTCAGGAGATCTGGGCTCTAATCCCCACTGAGCCATGGAGTTGCTGGGTAAATTTGGGCTGCGCACTTCAGCCTCTCAGCCCAACCTGCCTCCCACGCTCCATGTTGTGAAGGTAAGACTGAGAATTATGTAAGCAGTCTTGGGTTCCTTGAAAGGAAAAAAGGTAGGATATAAATATAATGAATATATATAAATAAAGGCCAAAGTTATATAGGAAGGGGCTGCCCTGCTCACACAGTGTTGCCTACATGGCCGAAGGGAGGACTGGGAAAGCTGATGGAGGGGAAGGCCATCGGTAGCGATTAATCGATGGCAAAATATTGCTCCCAGCATCGGAAGCAGTGCAGTGGCTGGAGAATGTGTACAGGAGGACGCTGTCGCTCTCACGGACGAGTCCCACGGGCATCTGGTTGGCCACCGCTGCTCAGAATGCTGCACCAGATCGGCCTTTGAGCTGACTCAGCAGAGCTCTTAGGGGGCACAGAGAAGCAAGATCATAAAGGTGACTCAGGCCAGGTGACAAGTACGTTGGTAAAATACATCTCAGGCTCCTAAACAAATTTTCCTTGCTGTGGTGCTCAGCAGAAGAGCTGAGCCCGAACAAGGCCAAGCAGAGTTTGCTCCAAAAGCCCAGGAGCACAACAACAAGCTTCCGCGGCTGCACAGCTGGTGGAGTCACGGTGCCTCTTGGCATGCTTCTGACTGCTCTTTGTTTTGTTGCCTTTCCGTGCACTTACCACGCAGCCTTTCCCGGGACGGGCAGTTGCCACTGGGTGCCTCCTGACCTAAGAACGGGAACCAGCGAGTGGCCTGGAGCAGCTCTTGTTCAGGCACTGAGTTCTCTTGAGGCTAAGGAGAGAGCGGGCCCATCACAGGTTGTTACTGGGCCGAAACAGCATGAAAGCAGCGCTGGAGAATGATCGACGCCAGCCATTCCCTCACCGCGCCTCCTCCCACTCTGTACAACAGCTGAGATGGTTGAAGTTAGGAAGAAGGCGAGTAAAAGGAGACACGATAATGGCGTGCAGAATCATGCGCAGGGTGGGGAAAATGGAGAGGGAGACTCCCCACCCCCCACAGCCTGTTTCATGGGAGGTTCAGGACAGATCAGAGGAAGGGCTTCTTCATACAATGCGTAGTTAAACTACGAAATTCACTTCCACAAGACGTGGGGAGGGCTGCCGTTTGGACAACCTTGAAGGGAGGGGGACAGATGTGTGGGGGAGAGATGGCCGCTTGCTGCTGAAGGCTCTGTGCTGCCCTTGGATCAGAAACAGTGTGCCCGTGTGCCCCACCTGCTGGGGAACATGGGCAGGAGGGAGGGATCCTGGGGACAGCTGGCTGGTCACTGGATGAACAGAATGCTGGGATGGGTGGTTCTTGGCCTGGTCCAGCGGGATCTTGCGATGTTCTTAGGGCCAGGCACAGCCTCGACCGTCTTGTCTTCCAGCTCTCGTCTCTCAATTTAACCCTGCGCATTAATTCATTATTGCTCGGATATCCCGTATCCCACCTTCTTTCCTCTTTCAAGGAGCCTCACAACGGCTCTCTGGGGTCAGTTAGGCGGAGAGTCCGTGACTGGCCCAAAGTCACCCAGTGAGCTCCCTGACGACGCGGGGACTCGAATCCAGACCTCCGGAGTCCCATTCTAGTACTCTTACTACCACACCGCTTCCACTGTCAGTGTCTCTGATCTCTCTGCTTCTCCTGCTCTACCCGCAACAACTTAGTAATGCTTTTTGTGGTCGCTTAAATTGGTCTCCTGTGGCACCTGCGGGGCATTGCAGTGGTGCCTGCAAAGGTTCCCCAATGTGAGGGTCGACAACAACGGGGAAAACGAATGAGACTTCCCCACGTCCATGGAGGGCCTTCATTCATAGGGTCAGAAATCTGATGGCACGTGACAGCGGCAGATGGGTTTCAATGAAATGAATACAACTTTCTAGCAATTACGGGTAAGTTTCAGCACAGGTTTCAGCTTCAGTATCCAAATGAAGAGCCACCTGAAGGCGCTGTCTCTGTGCTGTCCATTCAAATACTAAAAGTGTTGGAAGGTCCTCAGTCCATTGGATTATAGGAGGTGGGCTTGTATCCTTCTAGTGTCATAAGATCAACCCTTTAGTTGTGAGAAGGGCTAAAAGAGTCCATTTTGGCTGTCCACTTGTTAATTTTCATGAGGCAGGTAAATAATTTTGGTTGGACGCGTGTTCATACGAAGCACTAGCACTGTGAGTAATCGGCCAAATCCCTTAGTAAGAGGGCATGGCAGTGTCCAACAGAAATGAGACAAAAGCTTTTGCTGCATAAGACGCAGCCTAAGATCTATAGGTGCAACAGGGGATGCCAAAGTGGCATCTCCAGGACAGGAGAAAACCTCCGGATCAAAGCCCTGGAGAGCTGCTAGTCCATCTGCAGATGTAAGGCTGTCCTTTCATTGTATGTTCCTCTTGTGTAGTAGTAGTAACCTAGGGGGTGTTTCAGCGCCCTCCTCACAACAACCACAACCCAGTGACTGGCCCAAAGTTACCCAGTGAGTTTTGTGGGCACGTGGAGACCGGAAGCCAGTTCTTCCAGATCCCAGTTAACATTCTCTCCACTACATCACATGAGCTGCCCATCATGGTGGGGACTGGCTTGAACATCTGGTCAGTGGCCCTTGGCTGGTTCCCTGGTGATGTAGATCCTTTGCCTCAGGTTGCATTCAGCACATGGTCTTTGGGAAGATACCTCACGGCCATGGGAATTGATCTGCCTTGTTCCTTGGGGCTAGGAGTCATCACAGATGCCTCTTAAGATCAGAAGGAACCCCCAGGAGAAGCCCCAAGCTGTGGAATTAGGTGGCACCCCATCCGTATAGCTAAGCCTGGAGCCAAGGTCTGAGTATCATGAGTGACTGGATGAGGTTAAACACTGGGTGAGCTGTGAGTGGTTCTACTGCTCCCTAGCCACCGTCGCCAGTGGTTGAGGGAACATGGGAGTTGCAGGCCAAAACATCTGGAAAGCCACTACCCCTGAGTTAAACCATCAGAAGTTGAATCCTTGCAGGCCATCTTGATGATTGCAGGCTCTTTAGGATGATATATACCCCACTGGAGTAAGTTTGCAGCCTGGCCTTCCTCTGCTGTGCCCGGGAGCACCTTTTCTTGGCTGCTCGGACCTCTTAGGAGTAGAAAGAGCTTTCATCTCCTGCACAATTGGACTGCTGCAATGCATCTTGTGTGGAGCTGCCCTAGACATTGGCTTAGAAGCTGCTGCTGATGGGTGTTGAATGCCACAACTCACCCCTCTGATGGGCACAAGGAAACCAAGTGTTATCAGCCAGTTTGGTGGCAGCTGTATCAGCAGTGAGCACTTCTGGGGGGACCCCCTCCCCCAGTTGGCGGCTGCTGGAGTTGCTAGAGGGTCTGCTCTGTGTCAGGCAGTTCCGAACCCCACACTCCCCATCCCAGAAATCTTGGCTTGTGTGATTGCCTTCCTTGCTCACTAAATTGCAGATGTGGCCTTCCACTTGGGACCCTCCCACGTTCGCCCGCTGCGACTTCCGTCTTGTTTCTTTCCACAAAGCAAAAAAAACCATACATGAAAGATGCCTTCAACAAGAAGAAATCAGAAGAAAAGCAGATGCTTGTTGATCCCCACTTTGAGCAGCCGCCCTGGCAGGACGTGTTCGGCGGTGGCGCACCACGAAGCTTGCTTTCCCTCTGTTTCGGCACCGTTGCTGCCCTCTTTTCCCTTCGATTCCTCTCCTGCATCAGCCTAGCCTCGTGCCTTCCTTCCAAGGCAAGACAGGCACCGACAGCCTCTGCGTCTCAGGCTGGGCATTCTTGTGGCGTTAGTTAACTGCTGTCTGCGAAGGACACTGCTGCAAGGGAGCTGTGTGTGTGTGTGTGTGTGTTGGGGATAGCCGTGAGTAGCGTGAGCGAGTTATGTAACGGGGAGCAGGAGTGGCTGAGACTTTCTCCTGTGCCAGGTCCCTGCTAGTCCTGCCTGGGGAACGGAAATGGGATCCCTGAATCCTTTTGGAGCCCTTCTTCTCCGTCGCACAATGAACGGGACTAAAACTCTGAAAGCACTTCCTCAGGACCAGTTAAGCGAGCCAAGAGTGAAGTGCAGTTTGCTCTTGGTCCCTCGGGACACAAACAGTTGGGGATGGGGGCAAGCACCCCCCAACGGCAACTGTTTGCGCGTCCCGTAAAGCTCCATTTGGGCACGCTGGATTTCCGGGGAGCCTGAGGGAGGACGGGGTCTCTGGGCCCTGACTGCATGCAGCCCAGCTGCATGGCTAAGCACCCCCAGTACTTAGCTGGGCCTGGCACCCTGTCTTGCTTGACCCTCGGGGAGGCCGCTTGCCACTAGCACTGGGAGATAACTGGAGGGAAGTGATGCTGTTCAGACTCTCTCTATCCACATCCTTGCCTTCTTCTCTCTTACAGCCTCAAAGGCCCGCCCCCCAGGACTGACAGAGCGCTCCCCGAGGGAAGGGGCTAGCCCCTCACCCGCCGTGGTGCCTCCCGTTCAGGAGACCGACAGATGCCCAAGTGGCCAGCCTCCCGCTGCTTTCGCGCCGGTAGCTGCTGCTCTGCCCCCGTCCATGGCTTCCAGAGGGGCCATCTTGCCGGCCCGGGATGGCGAGCCGGGTGCCGAGACTGCCACGATGCCCGTCGCTGACGCAAAGTCTTCCCTTCCGGGTGACCAGGATGGCCCCCCGCCGGCTGCAGTGCTTCCCGCTGAGGAGACCCTGCCTCCCAAGAGTGACCGCCCCCCGCCCATAGGCGCCTCTACGCCCCCTCCTGCAGAAGACGCGCGCCTCCAGGAAAGCACCCGACCGTCGCCCAAGGCTGAGCAGCCTCCCCCTGCCCAGGGGTCCTCCAGTCCCCGGACGAAGCAAGGTACGCTTGCAGGAGCGGCCTGGCCCCTCCGTGCCGAAACTGGATGGGCTGATCAGAAATCTGGGTGCAGTCAGTCCTGCCCTGACGGGATTTCCTGGGACCTTTTCTTGCTAGTGATGGAACGAGGGGTCGGGCTGCAGCCACCGGGTCTCTCGATGCAGCAGGTGACTGGGGGTAATTCATCCCGGATCATCAGCGGTTCAAGTGGGTGGTGCACAGTCGCCAGTCTGAGTGCAGTTGGGGCACTGCAGTTGGGGCAGTTGGGAATTGTAGCGTGTCAGGTAAACCTGATCACAGGGGGTTAAGTGGGAGCAAACAAACGTTTTTAAGGGTTAAGCAACCCACACAATCTTGCACTGAGTTAAAAGTGAGTTCATTAACCCTTTATGGCCTGGTTCACACAAGGTGCTGCAACCCAGGACTGCATATTCAAAATGGCAGCCACATACACTTCAGCTAGCTTAAGTGAATTAATTCATTATCACTGTAGGTGAATCAATCAATTATCAAGATAACCCACTGTGTCATACTTAAAAAAATACTAAAAAACCCAGCCAGGTGCCCATATTTACAAAGGGTTGGGATCTGCAGGACTTGCTTGCATGTATCAAAGACCCATGGGAGATCTTCAGTGCGCAGATACATTTTCCCTTTCTGCAAGGGATGGCCCATCCAGGCTGGGGTAGAAGGGCTGGCTTGCCCTATTTTGGAGTAAGTTGCGCTGTTGCTTTTCTGGAACTTTCTCATTGGAATTGTCCTGTGCAAGTTAGGGTAATTTGCACTGCAACGCTTTCAGTTTGCATTAGAAAACTTTCTGATATCCTAAAGAATGATCTAATGTATCATGTTCATTTGCTTATATTTACTAAATAACAAAGCTAAACAAAGACTTCCATGTTCATTTTTGTCCTGGATGTTGAGGGCAAAAATTAAAGTTAATGTGATTTAAACATTATATTGTGCAGAAATATTTATTGGCATACTTTGAGGTAGTTCAAGGGTGAGGTTGTCACATTATTGTACCTCCAAAGACCCAGCGCGCTTGCCTGTGTTAGCAACCCAAAGGACCATGCAAGAGCTGCTGCTTGTACTTACCTAGGGCCACTCAGCTAGCACTCTTCCGCAGAGGTTTTGGCAGCATCTTCAGTCTTGCTGTCATGATGGACTGATTAATGGATTGGATTTTTATCCTGTCTCGTCAGCCATCGGGCTCCCTCTTCACTTCCTTCCACATTAGGGCAGAGGCATATTTCAGCAACTTAAATGCATCCTTTCACATACTTGAAAGGATACAAGAAAATGTTGATTGCAGCTTTAAAACAGCCAGTCTAATTTTGCCCCCTTATGGTATTTGCATGCATTCATTCTTATGAGTGAACTTACGGCATGGACATTTTTCTGCAGGAAATGAAAGCACTTCTTTGCATTGCTGCAGGTCACACACGTGGCTCTTAAGGGTCCTTATTTAGGGAGACGAATCCATCTCGTCTGGATCTGGTTCAGGGCTGCCTCTTGGGTTGCTGCCCACAGCCCCTCATTTCCAGCAAGTGTGATATTGACAGAACTGGGTACGGACTGCTCGAGCAATACGAAAAGGTCTGTGCTGGAGGAAAGGCTAAGCTGGACCCTTGTCCCTGACATTCTAGGAAGACTGGCATATTTTATTTACCTTCAATATTTCCATCCCGCATATGTCACAAACCCTTCACAACAGCTAGCAGTAAACATCATAAGCTTGTAATAAAACCATTTTAGAAAACTGCAATCAGAAAATCAATAAAACGGCAAGGACAGCAGTCACCTCACATGGCCTTTTATTTAATGACTCACCTGGTCTGCACAGGTGACTAAGAATTCAATGCAGGTGAGTGACGGTTAGGGAGGAGGGAGGGGTCTCTCTCTCCCACCTCTGGTGCCCCATTTGTGGCAGACCCGTCATCCTGAGAGCACAGAAGTGCAGAGAGACAGCTGATCACTTGGTAATTCCTTCTCTGCTCTGCTTGGTGGAAGGTTGGGCAGTCTTTTACTGGCCTGCAGAGAGTCCCCTAGCCATGCTGATGGTGGAGGAGGGGGCTTCCCTTCCTGCAGAGGCACCTGAACTCGCAGCTTCTGGGCTGGCTGGGTGACAGAAACGCGGCCTGGAGACTTCCATGGGTTGCTTTGCCAGGCCTTCTGCACCGGCTGCTCCTGAGTACGCATTTTGTAGAAGTGGCAGGCAACTTGTGGCCCTGCAGAGGTCTTGGCTCGTAACTCCCAGGACCCTTAGACATTGATCATATTGCTAGTGCTCTTGGGAGTTGTAGGCCAGCACTTCTGGAGGGCCACAGGCTCCTTACACTGACTTACAGCGTCATGGTGTTGAGGACTGGCCCAGTGATTTGGGACTGGAGAAGCAGGCCTGTGGTTGGTGGCCTATGGCCTGCATCTTCAGCCTTTTAGGATCTTGAACGTGCTTTTCATTCCGCTCTGCCAGGATTGCCATTTTTTTTCATTCCTCCAGGTCCATTTGTGCCCGCTTCCTCTCTGATGATGTTCCCCTTCTTCGCTCGCATCCCTTTTCCCACTTCCCTGTTTACGTCTCTCTCTGCACAGAGGTCATTTTGCTGGTTTCCTGCTTTTAAAATAATCCAAAGAAGAACATGGCATGGATGCCACTGGTGTGCGCCGCTTCAGTTCATGGGCATCCTTGCTGGGGCTGCCCCTGGCACCCTCACGAGTGGAAGGCTGATGCGTTAGGAGACTGGCAAGGTCTAAGGTGGGCTTGACCTGCACCGTGAGGTGGTGGGTTTCTCCAAGGACTTTCTGACCGGCTCTCCCCTTCTCTGTGTCCCCCAGATTCCCAGAAGGCTCAGGCCAGACACAAACTGGCCCGAGAGCGGCGAGAGGAGCGAGCCAAGCACCTGGGTAAGAAGCACGTGCGTCTCCACGGTGTTCATTGGACCGTTGTGGTAGCACTGGGGTGGCTATCGTTGTTTATCATTCAGCATCTCAGGTGCCCCGAACTGCCTTCTTACTTCCAAGGGAGCAGGAAGCCTCTTCCCAGTGCCCGCAGGACCAGGTCCCATGCGAAGGCACCGGAAGGAGCCGGGCAGGGTGAGCCGGCCGAGCTCCAAGGTGGGATGGAAGAGGTGCTTGCCTCAGGCCATATAAAGCAGATTCCCCTGTTAAGCGCACACAGGCTGGGCTGGATGGACCAGGGCAGCTTCCCGTCCTCCTGTGCCGCTCAAGGTGTTGCATCTCGTCGTTTTGCACCTGTTTGCTCTGCTGGAAAAAGCACAGTTACAGTTTTCTAGCAATTGTTTACAACTGGCCCTGCCTGACTTTAGGGAGAGTGAGGCAGCTTTTGGACATCCTTAAAGAGCAGGAAACTGTTGGCTCATTAATGCTTTCCTTGTTCGTGCTGCTGAGAATATGTTGCAAGTGATCTGGGGGAAAAGAATGGACATGTGCAAGCCCCTGAAGGGACTGATGCACGGCTCCTACACATGCGGCAGGACGTCTCCAATTGCATTGTTTTTATATTGTTGTTATTTATTTGTTGTTGTGAGCCGCCCCGAGGCTTCGGCGAATGGGGCAGCATAGAAGTTTTCTAAATAAATAAATAAAATAATGCCTGCCCCACATCCGATCCCGGTTTAGTTGAGGAGCTTTCCAAGGGAGGGAGGGAAGGAAGGAGGTGTCATAGGAAGGATTCTGTGCTTGGAAGCTGGAATTAGTTTTGCCAAAGGACCATTTTGGCAAAAGAATTGTAGGGATGGGGGCAAAACCCCATCACAGGTTCCTCTGAATAGCCTGCAGTCACAGAGGCTGCCGTGGGTCAGATGACATCGCTCAGAGGACTAGATTTAGCCCCCAGGACCCTCAGCGGCTCACCTCTATTTTAATTTCATTTCCATTTTATATATATTAAAAAAACATTAAATAGCCATTGAGAGCCAGTGTGGTGCAGTGGTTAAGAGCATGAGGCTGGGACTCAGGTGACCTGAGCTCTAGTCCCTGCTTGGCCTTGGAGACCTCTGGGTGACTTTGAGCCCGCCACTGGCTGTCAGCCCAACCTACCTTGCAGGGTTGTTGTTCTGTGGATAAGATGGAGAGCAGAAGGCGAAGCCACTCTGAATTATTTAAAAGAAAAGGGTGATATATAAATCTAATAAATACTCATGCTGCAATCCTCTGTTTACTTTACAGAAAGCCCATTGCTTTCAGTGGAGCTTACTTAGAAACATAGAATCTGAGTGGGTCATAAGGGTCCTTCTGGGCCATCTAGTCCGACCCCTGGCTCCAGCCAGCTCCACTCATGACATGCCTCCCATGTGGACGTCCAGCCTATCCTTGAGCACCCGCACCGATGGGGCCTCAACCACCTCCAGGGAAAGCCCATTCCACACCCTCGGGGTCCTGACTGTCAGGAAATGCTTCCTGGCATCCACATTGAACCTTGGCTCCCTGAGCTTGGCTCCATTGCAGCACGCCCTGCCTTCCTCTGCAGGGGAGAACAGATCTCTACCCACCTCCATGTGACACCCCCTCACATACCTGTATGTCCCCAACATATCACCTCTGAGTCTCCTCTTCTCCAGGCTGAAGAGACCCAGTTCCCTCAGTCTCGCCTCATACGGCATCCCCTGCAAACCGGCCACCAACCTTGTGGCCCTACGCTGCACTGACTCCAACCTGGCTATATCCTTCCTGTAATGAGGGGCCCAGAAGTGAACACAATACTCCAGTTGCGGGTGTACCAGAGTTGTACAGAGTGGCAGTAATGCTCCATTGCTTCTGGTTTTGAGCACAGTATTACAGCCATGTCTGATGGTGACACAATTTCAGAAGACTTTATTGTTCAGGATTACCATTGTTGGTGCAAAGCAAGAATTAGCCTCTTTCCAGTGCCTTTGCACGGGGCAAGGTCTCAGAGGGAACTGCAGTGAGGTTCCTTGCTCCTTCAGACGTAAAAGGCAGTTGTGGGGTGACCAAGGGTGCCCCCTTGCTGAAGCATCTGGAATGTTGGGTGTGCTGTGAGGTACACAAGCAATATCCACTTTTATTTCGGGGACAGCATTTTTCCCATGGGGGAGGGGTAGTGTGCAGTTGAATACACTTCCACTTGTTTCTTCACCGGTCCTATTCATGTGCCTTTAACAGCACTGGTTTAATAGCCAGAAATCTAGTTGGGAAAGCTTTTTCCATGAGCAGAAAATAAAGAGCAACATTCCCAGCAAGAGACTAGTGTCCCTGGAAAAGAAGGACATCCCCAAATCTTCTGAAAGACCCTTTCAGAAAATAATTCTTAAAAGGACCCTTTCTGGAAGAGAGACTGCGCACTGGAACTGACAGCGGCTGTCTGTCTCTGTTTAAAGTGAAGGAATTTGCTCGTAGGGCAGACCTCCCAAAACAAACGTGGCCCCTCAGCACTGTATGTTTTGATAAGGCCTGTGAGCAGTGGTCAAGGATGCACTGTAGGTACATGCATACCAAAAGCAGCTGCTTCGTACCCCCTCTCAAGGTGATTCTCATGGATGAGAGTCTGTGGAGGAGCATTCCTGGTTTTGCAAAACTGCAGTTATTTTGCAAAAAGAAAACCAGCCAAGAAACAGCTTTCTGTGTGATAGGTCTATCCATTTGTTGTGAACAAAAGGAATCCAAATTTTGTGAACAAAACCAGCAACAAAACCCAAGCCTGCAACAAAGGAGGTGATATGGAAAAGCATTGCCCAGTGACCAACTTTTCACAAAAGAGACGGGAATCTTTTTCTTCCCCTTTCCCAGGGATTTAGTTGAATGAAACAGAAAAATGTGCGATGCTTTTTCCTGGAGCCAGGCTCATGTCCTTCCTGAGCACAGAGCAGTGAGTGAGAAAGGGACGGTCCCATTTCTTCATCCCTCCCTGCTCACAAGTGCGCACACGGTTTAGCCTCTTGGGATCATGAGTTCTGCTTCTCTTGCTTGCATCTGTGAGAGGCCAGGGTAGTTTCTTGCCTCCTGGCGTTCCTTTTCCAGGTGGTGGGCCTGCAGTCGTTAATTTTGCTGGGTGCTGCCGTGGCGTCTCTGCACCCCTCGCCTGCCCCCTCCTTTGCCCCTCCCTCCCATTCCTTCCACTGTGGCTGCTCCAGTCGAAATCACTTTCCACCCCCATTCCCCCATTGTCTGCTCTGAATGTGTTTTTCAGGCCAGTTTCCCAGCCGGGCAGGCGGGCTGCACGCATCTCCCTCCTCGCCTGCCTTGCCACAATATCCTTTTCCACACTGTTGTTTCGGGGCTGCCCCTCCTCCAGCCCGCTGCCACCAGCTGTAGGCCACAGGATCCCGTTACTGCAAACCACTCCCTGCCTGCCGTTGATTTCCTTGGGCTTTTCTCGTTTCTTATCTCCCAAGCCACAGCCGGCCAACCCAGCTGTCTGTTACAGGACACTCCTGTGTATGGGTCTAAACTTTTGGCTGTCTGACTTTTTGAAGTTTGCTTGAAGCAGCTCATTCCAACACTCAAAGCATGGGGATGATCAAAGGGTCAGACACTGAGAACTGAACCTTTTCCAGACATTTAGTCATTTAACATGCAGACATTTAGACCTGAAACTTTTCCAGTCCTTTCCCCCACTGCTATCCAAAGGGCTTAAGGAAAAGGTCCGGCCAGGCTGCACAGATGAACTTGAGCTGGCCAGCCTGTGTCTAGACGGTTCCCTGGTACTCCCTGGTACAAATGTCAGGGCCTGCTATGGCTGCCACTAGTGCAACCACTTCAAAAAAAAAGGGGGGGGGAGGAAAAGAGCGTTTGCTCTTTTGGTGGTCAGGCAGTGGCGGCCTCCAGTGCCTCCCTCGTTCCCCAGTTTATGCACCTGTCCGCAACCCAGAGAGAGTGCAGCCTGGGCAGGTGGGGGCCATCTCACCCAGCGCCTCTGCTCCCCTTGCTGGCTGAGGACTAGTGGAGCTGCTCGGCTTTAGGGCGGCCAGTTGTCCCCGCGCTGCCACTCCGCTCCGTCTGCCCCATGGGACGCTTTCAGGGAGGTGCTGGGCCAGGAGAAACGGCGGAAGGGCACCTTGCCCAGGGCTGGCCCAGGACCCGGTTGTGCCACCTGTGGGGCTGCTCCACGTGGAACGCTCCCTCCACACAGAAGGCTCTGTGGCAGGGCAGAATGCAGCCTGCCTGTCGCACTGACGTGCTCACCAAGTCTATCTGCATATGCCTGCGAGGGCACACCTGAGCTTATGGCTTGTTAACATCCCACAGTGCCCTGCTTTGTCACGTCCCCGAGGCATTGTGGGAAATGGACAGGCAGCACTCCCCATCCCCCTTGGGATGCTGCTGCTGGCTAACCTCCAGAGGGCTCTGCCTTCATAGGAGGGGGCCCAGAAGAACCAGCAGCTGCTTTGGAGCTGGATCCATCACAAACCCACTCCACTGCGGGCACTGCCCCCCAGGGCCACCTCCTGACCTCCTAGGGCCACCTCCTTGGGCACGATCAGACCACACTTCGTTGTGCACCTTTTCCCGTGCGGAGAGCTCTGCGTACCCATAACCTCCTCCTGCCCCCTTGGCCGCCCTGCTGGGCAGGTCCTCCTTGCTGCAAGGGGGGGGGGGGTTGGCCAAGAAGGTGCTCTTGCATCGGCGGCAGCAGCAGCAGCGGAAGCAGGGGCTCCGTGGATGGTGGCTCAGACTGGGCCCTTTATGTGCTTATGCGATGGCGTAGGAAATTTAGGGTGCGCCTGATTGGTGCTCTGCACCGGGCCGGGCCTGACCCTGGTGGCAAGTAGTGCTGAACAACCAGAGTGAGGTGCTTGCGCTGCAGCTCCCGAGAAGCTGGGCGGCCAGGCATCCTGGGTGGAGATGGCCAGGAAGGGCTGCATGAGGGCGCCTCCCCCATCTGCCGCTGCCCGGACAGCTGGGCTGCTGCTTGCCGCGGACCCTTGCCACAAGCGGCCAGGGCCGTTGCCTCGGGCGCACCGTCCCATCGTGCGTTCTTCTCCCTCTTCCTGAGGGACGTGTTCGGCACAGCGAAAGCCACACCGTCTCACTGTAACAGAATACGCCCCAGGGCAGGGGGCGGGTGTGTTCTCGGGCCGGCCGGCCGGCACTCCGGTGCTGTGTCCCATCTGTCTCTGTCTTTTTCTCCTCGCTCGTCTTCCGCGTGGCAGCCGCCAAGCGGGCTCTGTGGCTGGAGAAGGAGGAGAAGGCACGGGTGCTGCGGGAGAAGCAGCTGGAGGAGCGGCGGCGGCGACTGGAAGAGCAGCGGCTTCGTGCTGAGAAGCGCCGGGCTGCCCTGGAGGAGCGCCAGCGCCAGAAGCTGGAGAGGAACAAGGTTGGCTGCGGATGCCCAGCAGGCAGAGGGGGGTCCCTCTGCCACCCATGGGGTTTGCCCCGAAGCAGCTTGCAGTTTGGGGTGTGGCCTGGCAGGCCCCGGGCCAGGTCTGGTGCGCCTGGGGTCCCAGGACTGCCCCCAGGTTCACCCTTTTGCCCCAGCTGCCAACCTTGTGGCAATTTTCCCCATCTTCTAGTACTGGGGAATGTTGGGAGTTGTGGGATTTTTTTTTGACCTGAACAGAAAAGGATGGCACCTTGAAACGACAGTATTCGCCACGGTTCACCCTGAAGCCTTTGGCCACAGTCCCCAAGAGAATGTCTCTGGAACAGAGATCGCTCCCCAGACTGCAGTGGGTTCGGTTCCCTATCACCCTGCAGGGCAGCAAATGCCAGGCAGCAAGAAATAGAATCGCAGGAGGAAAGGGGATGGAGAGACTGGGGGTGGGGGGTCTGTGGTAGCTTTCCTGGAATATGCCGCCTGGTGCAGTGGTTGGAGAGTTGGACTTGGGACCCGAGAGGTCCATGTTCTAGTCCCCAGTCAAAGCTCACCAGGCGCCTTCGGGCCAGTCACATGCTCCCAGCCTAGTTGGCCTCCCAAGGTGGCTGTTGGAGGATCAAATGGAGCTGTCCAAGCCTCCTTGGCTTCCTCACAAGAGCAAAAGGGCAGGATAGAAATGCAATGTGATGATAATTGTATTTATCTGTTTGTTAAATACATAAACCACGTTTGCAAAAAAAATGCATAAGGCAACTGATACGGATTAAAAGTAGATTTAAAACTGAATCTTGGTTAGAGCACAACAGTTAAAATAAATAGTGGCAAAACAGTGTGACGTAGTGGTTAGAACGTTGGGCTGTGACTTAAGAGATCCATTTCTAGTCCCCATTTAACCATGATGTTCACTGACCCAGTCAGCCTAAGCTACCTCACAGGGTTGTTGTGAGGATAAAATAGAGGGGAGGGGGGTCATTACGCCACTTTGGGCTCCTTGAAGGAAAGGAAGGAAATAAATGTAAGAAGCAAGGTAGGAAAAAACATATAGTGCCTGCAGCCACTTAAAACCTTCTCCAGCATAAATGCAAAAGACCTCTCTGCATAATGGTATCTTTGTGTGCTGGCAGGAGGACGAGAAAAAGCGAGCCAACCTTGCCCCTCTCAGCAGAGAATTCCAGAGCCTGGTCCTTGGGTTCACAAAAGTGTTCCATTTGTCAAGATTCTAGGCCTGAGTGTTTTGGCGGAGTGCCCTTTCAAGATCTGGCTTCAGTTCTCGCTCTGTGGAGGCAAGGACATTCCAAGGAACGCTGGAGCTCCAGAGCAGAGCGCACTGTTTCCATGCAGGCAACTGCAGGAGGTCTATCCTTGGTACCTGCTCAGGGCTAGCAAAGACCCCTGCCTGAAGCGAGCATAGCAAATACCAGGCTGCCGGGACTGCGGGTCTGAGTCCACATCAAGCCACTTCCCATGTTTCAAGGTGATCTTTGCACTGGCAGTGGAGGAGTACTTACAGTTACTTAATTTTAATTAAAAAATAAATGACTACCAGGAATTGTTTCTTACTGAACAATGAAACTGTCTACAGTCCATGTGTTTCTCTCTCTGCTACTTATTGGTTATACGGGTGTCATTTTCTTACATGTTGCAGATCCTTTATATTTCCACCAGTAAGAGTTTTGTTTGTTCTTGTGGTTCAGCTGCAACGCTCACATTTTGCATGGAGAAGACCCTCCGCACTGCCAGTCAAAGGGCCAGGAAGCATCCAGGTCCCACGTACGGTGCTGCCTGACGCAGCTCTCGGGGCCAAGAAGTTTAGTGCCTCTCCATGTGTGGGCCCATTCCAGGTTTCTTAAGCCATCGGTTGCAAAGCAGGAGCAGGGTGTGCTCCTGCCTTCTGCTTTCAGCAAACAGCCTACACAGGCTCTGTGTGTCTGTGTGTGAAATGGCCCCCAGGTCGCCACTGCACGTGCACTGGCCATTGCGCCCTCCCTGACCCCTTCCGTTCTCCCTCCTTCCCCAGGAACGCTATGAAGCCGCCATCCAGCGCTCGGCAAAGAAAACCTGGGCCGAAATCCGGCAGCAACGGTGGTCGTGGGCCGGTGCTCTGCACCAGGGCTCCCCCGCTCACAAGGACGGTGAGTGGAGACATCTCGTGGCCTCTCTCTGGCTCAGCTCATGCGCACCGCGCCCGCGGGGGCGTGTCAGGCACATGCATGGTGGCCGGGACGAGCTTGGCGGTTGCACGCGTGGGGTATCGGGGCCTTGGTGCATTTGCACGTCTGGGCGAGGCTGCTCTCGCATGTGCCTGTCTTGGGGTGCGGGGGGCTCTCTGCACCCTGATTTGTAAATAGAGTTCAGCCATTCTTGCACCCTTGGCGGCTTCCTGACTCACCGTCGCGTATCAGGGCTTTGGGATGCTCTGCCGTTCTCCCTACTTTACCTGGAGCTTGGAGCCTCCCTGTCGGCTACCCTTGGCACATCAGATTTGCAAGAGGGCAGAGCGCTGTTGTGGGGGCTGCCCCAGTTCATGGGTGCAGCCGTGGAACGCGCAGGCAAGAAGCCCCCACGGGAGAGTGGCCTGGCCAAAGCGCTGGCGGGGCATGTGCGGCCGTTGCTTCAGAGGTGCTGGAACAACACGGATGCAGCCCAGAGGGTGGCGATGAACAGGCGGCTCCCGATGCAGCATTAGACGCTCGCCGCCGGTCCGGGGAAGTCGCCCAGCCGGCAAGGAACGAGGGTGGCTGCTGGCCTGGTTGCCTGTGCAGAGCAACACTGTGCGCTAGGCAACCACGCAAGCAGAAGTTGCTTCTTGGTGTCCTTCAGGCTGCAAATGGCTGTGTCACCAGGCTAGCAGGGTAGTAAAATCTTTTGTGGAGCAGTTACATGTTTGTTTTGCCTTTAATATTCTGAAGCCCTAAGCAGGCCAGGACATATTGCTGCTAACTGATCAGCAACAGTAACAGCAGCAGTATCAGCAGTATTTAGAGAGTTCAAATCTTCATATATATTTCCTTTTTGTAATCATTGCAAGAACTTTGTAAGGTAGCTCTGATTCCATAATTGCTACTAATATCCACCTTCTGAAGTAAGAAACTCTTGAGCACCAAATGTTGGGAAAAACTCAGACAGGGTTGTTGTCCTCCATGCCTTCTTGTTCTTGCATTCTTTCTTAGGTTGCTGTTTTACTCAGCGGGAGGGAGGGAGGGAGGGAGGTTTGTCCAAATGTGCCTAACCTGTATCTGTTTAATTGGGAATAGGTCCCACTGGACTCAGCAGTGCTCACTTTTGAGTAGACATATGTACACAGCTACACTATGAGAGCCAGTGTGGTGCAGCGGTTAAGAGCCTGGGACTGGGACTCAGGCGATGGGGGTGCTAGTCCCTGCTTGGTCATGGGGCCAGCTGGGAGACTTTGGGCCACTCTTAGCCCGAGCTGCCTCACAGGGTTGTTGTGGGAATACGATCAAGAGCAGCAGCAGGAAACCTATGTAAGCTCCTTTGAGTTCTTTGCAAGGAAAAAGTGGGATATAAATCTAACAAAATACATAATAAGTGCTGTGAGCAAGTTCAAAGCAGCCTTCTCTCCTGCGCAGGACCAGAGGCCTTCCCTTGGTCCTAGGAAAAAACGTGGGGCTTCTCTTGTTTGAATCCTTTCGTGGGCATCATCCCCACCTCAGGAACGGCCCCGTATCACCTGCACCCTCCTGATTTCGAGAAAACATCTTTTCAACCCTGTAGTATTTTCATTGGCATTTGATGGTCTATGACGTTCTTGGGGCAGTTAAGTATTTCTAGATAAATGAGGGGTGTTCAATTGCTCTTCGTTGTTTTTTATAGTTTGGCATCACAGAATATTTAGCGCTTTATTAGCTGCATGGAAATGAAGGCTGGGTGTCTCGCTTCTGCAAATCTGACAAGATAGGTATGGGGAGGGGCTCTTTCCCAAGGCCCAGATGGGTAGCAGTTAACCAGTGCGTAAGTAAAGCAGTGCTGGAAAGTGTCTCTGCGCTTGTTCTAGGCCAGCTCCTGTGCCGGGTCTTTGCCGCTTGTTAGTGCGCGTTGCGGCCAGCTACGCGGGGATTCAAACCCAGGTCTGCTCTGCTTTGAGGTCACACGTGCGCCCGCTCCCACTGGTCCCTAGAGAGCTCCCCTGGGCAGCTCAGCTGCTCGGTTGGCCATGGTCACGATCACCGCCAGAGTTCCCCAACCTGCTGCCCTCCCCACGTGATCTGCAAGCCACCGCATCCCCAGTCCTTTCATCCTCATCGCCTCCATTGGCCTTCTCCCCCCACCCCAAGAAACACCTTAACATTCCTTATCTGCAGCATTTAACCATACGCTTAACTTGTGTCTGTGTGTGAGAGATGGATAAAACTTTATTACGGTCAAAGACTAGCTCGATTCAAATTAACACAAATATTTTTTTTTTAAAAGAAGAAAATACAGTAAAAGTTATCTGACATAAGACCCCAGTCAGATCAGTAGATACTCCAACGCAATATACATACTGCCACTGTAGTTCATATCAGTCCTCTTGAGTGAGTGGCATTCCCACTAGTCTTTCGGCCAGCTAGGTAGGACCACCCTCCCCCGGGATCCTTCTTCGGACGCCCATTGCGGCTGTGAAGAATTTAGCGACACTGCATGTTAATGTCGGGTTAGTGTCGTACAGGTTGCTGTCAGACAGCAGACGGACAGGATCCGTATGGCCCGGGAAGCGACTCGCCAGTGGGGGAAATGAGTTCGGCACAAACATCCCCACAGAATGTGCACCGCATCACTTGCGGGTTGCGTGGCCTTCCAGGCATTTGGGAACGGGAGTGGGGTGGAGGTGGATTGTGTCCTCTGCAGTCCTCTTGTGCTAGGAGGGGAACGTGAACTACACATCCTTGCCTGTGGGATGCGGTGGCTGCAAGCTGCGGCCCTCCACATGAGCAACACCCCGGAAGTGACCCGCTCCCCCAGTGAGATTCCACTCTTGTATTCCTCTTCCCTCTGTGTGACCTTACCAGGCCAACGAGGAGGGTCTTGTGATTCCCGGGAGCAAGGGACAATCATGCCACTGCATAGCTGGCTCACCTCGATTTGTATCAAATAACATTTTAGAGTCGAACAGTCCTTGACACAAACTGACTGCCAAAATGTGTAATAAAATACATGATCTAATGCGGTATCCGCACACAGACCTCGTTCTCAGAAACCACTCAACTATTCTGAAATAGTTGAAAGTTGGCTTGTTTGTTAACCAGCTACAGGCCACGAGTAGAAACCACATTTGTTTTCACATCTCAATCTGGCTTATTTAAACCACGACTGCCATTTCAGGGCAATTCCATTTCCCTTCATGGCATTGTGAAAGATTGCTTTGGTGTTACGATGCTCACTCGCATGGCCGCAGCACTGGGATAGCGATAGGAACAGTGGAGAGCGGGGCATGAGCGTTGGTTGCCTGGGAAAAGGAGATGGGCTGGGTGCCAAGGTGCATCATGGGCTATAGTGTCAGGAGTCAGCAGTCACTGCTGGATCACTCCTGGTTTCTGGGGAGCCATCCAAGAGCCACGGTTGCTGGGAAACAAGCAACCCAAGAGGCAGTGTGGTGCAGTGGTTTGGGTCCTGGACTGGGACTCAGGAGATCCAGGTTCTGGTCCCCACTCAGCCTGGAAGCTCAGTGGGGACCCTGGGCCAGTCGCAATCCCACAGCCTAACCTATCTCACAGGGTTGTTGTGAGGCAAAAATGGAAAAGGGGTTCGTGTAAGATGCATCTTGGGTTCTATGCAAGAGGGAGAAAGGCAAGATAGAAATATAATGTAATACTTCAGGCACAATGCATATATGGAGGAATTGTCTTTCAAGTGCTTTGCCTACCTGTCCATTCTTGAACCTGGCTGCTGCTACCCGGGAATTAAGAGACCCCACCATGGAGCTAAAACATCTCACAGTCCTTGTTGTTTTCAACTCAAGCCGGTTGTGTGTGAGCTGTTTTTGTGGGGGAGTGTCTGTTCCTGTCTTGTGGCTTGGCTTCTACCTTGAATTCTCCCCAGTCGTGTAATTCGCTCCTGCCTGCTTCCCTTGAGCGGATATGCAGAACCCCCAGCCGTGCCGACTGTTTAATGCATGCTTCCATGCACGAGACTCCCCCCCCCCCCACCCCCAGCGTGGCAGGACCCACCTCCAAGGAAGCTGCAGCATCAGTCTGTCTCCACGAACAACCAGCTGCTGCAGTTTCGCAGCATCCCGAGTGGCTCCTTCCTTGGGTGCTCAGTTCCCTGCTGCTGCAGGGAAGCAGAGGGAGGGCCATGCCCCGCTTTGTACCTGCACGCGGCATGATGTGGCAAGGCCACGGGCCAGTAGCTTTCTCGGAGAGCCACCTGCTGCGCCCGCCTGCTTCCCGCCAGGCTCGGTCGGCGTGTGAACAGCTGCGCAGCTTTGGGGCGCTGCTGTCGTGCGTTGGGCCTGCTCCGGCCACTGCCCGACGGCGCCTCCCCTGCTCCGCCCACTGCATGCTCACGTCTCCGCAAGACCTGCCCCACCGCCCTTAACGCCCGTGTGTCTTTTCCCTCTCATAGGTGCGAGCAGGTGCTCCCTCTCTGCCGTAAATCTCCCCAAACATGTGGACTCTATAATCAACAAGCGCCTCTCCAAATCTTCTGCCACCCTCTGGAACTCGCCCAGTAGAAGTAAGAGACCCCGGGGATGAGGGGAATTAGGGGCGGTACTGATGTGCAACCTGTATCCCTTCCTATCCCAAAGGCTGAGGGTGAGATTTTCAAAGATCCACATAACGCCATACAGTTCCAGTTCACACAAGCAGAAATTGGGGTACAGCACAGAGTTCTCCATTGCAAAGGTCTCAGCTGTATTTTTTTAAATCAAGTTTCTAGTCCTCATGGCTGCCCAAGGGAACCCTAAAGATTTATATAAAATGGGTGGTGAAATCTCACTGGGGCTCAATCAGATTTCCTGTGTCTGAGGCTCCTTGCCCCTCCCTGTAATGAGCAGAAACACAAGTACCAGCACATTTGCATATGCACACGTTGGCAAGTCCAGTTTCTCTTCACATGAAATCCGGTGCTGGCGCTGATCACCCGGGAAGGCAGAGGGCTTATTCCCTTGTCGGAGGTCTTCAGGCAGAGGTGGGCCAGCTGCTTTGTGGATCCAGCTGTGGATCACCTGCATCGAGCAGGGACTGGCCATGCCGGCCTGCAAAGCTCCTGTCCCGTCACTGCTCTGATTCCGAGAAAGCAGCCTGTACTGGTAAATTAATGCTCCTGATGTCGCTGAATTCAGCTTCCTTGAAAGCTAAGGGCTAAGAAAGCTGTCGGCACATCACAACCATTTGCGGAACCTCACAGAGACAAGCGAGGCAGCCTCCCCTCTCGCTGCCATTTTTTTTTTTTTCCTCAAACCAGTTTTGCGAGGGGAAAATTTTGCCGGGAAATCCACAGCAGCCCTGCAAGGCTGTTGCCTCAGCCCAACTTTCAGTATTAACATTCAGACCATGTTGCAAGCTTGATGCGAAGAACTGCACCTTGTCCTGATCCCCAACTCGCAATATGAAGCCTGTTCTACATTGCAGGGCTGTTAATGGACAGCGCTTTTCAGCTGTGTCCTTGCCATGTTACTTGTTCAGCTTCTTTTCCTTATGATGGGACTTTTATTTTTCCTTTTGGTCCTTGCCCGTCTCTTGGGTTTGACGGCTGCCCAGATGGGCCCAGGCAAGCTTTATGTGTTTGCTGCAGCATATTTGTGCTCTCCTTTTGTGTGTGAAATGTTCAGTCTCACTAACACGTTTTAAAATCACAAGGTATTTAGGACGAGTATTGAAGTAATTGAAAACGAGCAGACAAATCAGAATGGAAGTGCTTGTGATGAACTGGGTATCACGGCAGAATTTGAATGCAAGACTCAGCTGAAAAACAAGGCAGAAGTTTAAACTGCAAACATCTCTGGGAGGGAGGGCAGAGGATGCCACAATCTTGGTGCCATGTGGTGGAGGGGCATTTCTCCCCCTAGTATTGTGGAGGCCGGAGACACACACATGGAGTGAAATCTGGGGAGAACTTGCTGTAGCTTCTGTTCCTGTCATGACTGCCTTTACACTGAGTTAGATACTATTTTTTTCAAGTATGGTTCCTTAGCTGAAGGGCTTTCATCTCACTCCTGAGGGTTCCCAGAGGGGCTGATGTATGTATAACCAATTTTTAAAAAAACAAAACCAGAGTCTCTGTTTACAGGCTTAGAGTTGAAAAGGGCATGGCATAAAAAGGAGGGAAGGGGGGAGAAGGAAGGGGTCTTTCGCCAGGGCTGGTGCCACATGGCCACTGCCCGCCTCCTCTCCTCCTGCTGCATGCAGCTGTAGGGACAGTCGGCGGGGACAGGGAAGAAAGGGGCCTGCCGGAAAGAGACTGTCCGCAAGGTTGTGTCCTCAACAGCCCCCCACAGTGAGACAGTCAGTACATGGTTCCCTAACTGCCTCCCTGTACCCTCATCCAGAGCTGGAGCTCGCCAGTCGGTTCCCCAGGCTGTAGGGTACTGTGGCACGAAGTAACATTTTCAGACAGGTAGGCTGAGGAGATCTGAAAGGTGACTGTGGGGGAGAAAGACGGCTGGGCAGAATAGTTCAGGCTTGTGTGGTGCATTGAGCCACACACACACACGCACAGAGTCACACACCAGGTCAAGAACAAGTGCAGCACTTGTTCTGCCTCTGGGGCTGGACCACCACCATCTGTGCATTTATAGGGCGCTGCTGGTGCGCTCAGAATGGTTCACGTACGCCATCCTCACGACAAGTGGGCGAGGCAGGTCCCCGTGGGCTGGGCTGAGGCTGAGATCATGGCTTGGCTGCCGACGCTGGGCCAGTTCGTGGCCAGGAAGAGACCAAGCAAGTCTTCCAGGTCACAGTTCAGGTTTTTAACCACTGAGGAAGGCTTGGGCGGGCCAGTTGCCGCGTCTCTGCTGTCGCTGTGCGTGGGTTGGCGTGTTCACCGTCGGCACTGTGCTGGAGGGCGATGCGGAGGTCAGGCAGGGGGCAGGTGCTCAGCACTCTCCAGGTGCAGCTTTCCTTGAACAAGACGCGTAAGAAGAAACGGCGTTCTAATGCACCAGCACGGTGAGATATTTAACACCCGTGGTTTCGACTGCCAATGACCCTTGCAGCTGAAGGCTGCTTTCCCCAACCTGAAGTCTGCTGGGTGTGCCAGGTGAGACCGTGCTTGCTGGGAATGATGGGAGATGTAGGCCTCACAGCACCGGATTGGGGAAAGCTGCTCCAAGATCTAAGGAGATGGTTGGGGTTTTGTGCAGGCATCTGTGTATGTATTTCGAACTGAGCTCTTCTGCCCCGAGGAATTGTACCTGGAAGGAGCAGTAGGCGAAGCCAGGAACCTTCTCCGTGAAAATCAAGTGAACGTGAGCCTCGCCACAGCGTCCTCCACAGAAGCCTGTCCCCTTACACAAGCACATGTGTGCACGCACATGCAAGTATGCACACACGCACGTGCCCCCGCCCCCGTCTTTCCATTGCTCTGAGCTGGAATTCCAAGCACTGACGACTGAAAGCAACACTCAACCAGTGCCAGGACCTACGACTCCAGATTCTCCCCTGCTCAAGCTCTCTCCGCCACTGAGGATAGTGTTTCCGCTTCTAGGTGTTTTGTTTCCTCGTTGCTTAGCGATGATTAAAAATACCCAAGGAATCCAAACAAGAAGCCGGAAGGAGCAAAGGGAACGGCGGAGCAAGGAGCGCCTGCTGCGTGTGTCACCGGCCTCTGCAGGATGGTTCATGGATGTGGAACTGGGTGGAGAATTAGCTGCCTCCCCGCCACATATGCGTAGAGAAATGTTTTCGCTCTGGAGAAGAGAAATATCCCCCTCACGCCTGAGGAAAAGTATTTGGTTTCTACATAGCCACTTTTTAATGAATGAATATAATTACTCAAAGTGGCAATATGGGTGCATTCATTCTTAGCATGTGCCAGTCTCCCTACTCCAAGCCCTCTCCCCACCCAAATTTCCCTGATTCTGAATTGTGATTGGGAAATCAAGTTTATCTAATTCAGCATAATTGCTGCTTAACTCAAGTTATACTGGGATTGGAACAAGGAGCAATACATAAGGACCTCCGATGAAATTGCAATCTGCTATCCTAGAAAATACCATTTCTGCAACATGAGGAGAGAGCATGTCCATGTGTGCACTTAATTGTGACCATGCAGAACAATGTGCTATTTCTGGAAGGTACTTGTTGCTCTGGCACATTTTCCAAGAAAAGCGGATGTCCCTTTTCGGGGAGCTTCTGGCCATGCAAAGCTACAAGCTTTTTGCTGCTCTCCAATTTGGCATGACAGGCAGTCAGACCTGTCTACTCTGGTTCTGGGTTCTGACCCTACACCAAAGGCTTTTCATGGACTGATGGGCTAAAATTCTACCCACTGGGGTAGCTTTTAAGATTGTCTACTGTGCCCCAAAAGTTGCTTTGCTGTGTAGCTAACCACAGAGGCCTTTCTGGGTGTGTCTAGGCAAGGCTTTTTGGGAGCCATTGCCCTGTCTCATTCTCTGAATTTTATGAATGGTCCAGGTGGTGGCATCTTCCGTTTGTAGCCTTGCTTCATCACCCCTTCGCCCATCTTTTTTTAACCATGGAAAATGCACTAAATTGGAAATGGTGGCATCTACAAGACCTTTGGATGGTCAGCACTGAAGCCCTCCACCTGGAAGCACTGCAAATCTCCAGGAGTCGCAAGGGAATTGGGGCCACTGTTCTGGGAAGGCTGAAGGACTTGCTGTCCAGCCTACTTGCCTTTGAGGAAATGTGGCTTGGCTTCCCTCTTCGGAAGGCAGTGAGGGGCAAACGCTCCGGCAGTGTTGAAAATCTCTGCAGCCGGTGGCAAGAGGGCTGGTTAGAGATGAGCCTGGGCGCTGCCATTCTTGACCTGACCAGAATCGTGTGTGTTTGTCTTTCGTTCCATTTTCAGATCGCAGCCTACAGCTCAGCCCTTGGGAGAGCAGCATCGTGGACCGGCTCATGACGCCAACACTGTCCTTTTTGGCACGCAGCCGGAGTGCTGTGACGCTTGTCGGCAATGGCAAGGAACAGGGTCAGTGCATGAAGGGGCTGAGATGCTGAAAGGACAGAGGCCCCTGTGGTTGGCTCATCTGTGGGTTGTGTCATTTGTCATTCAAACCCAGACATGTTGGGTTCTTTGTGGGCTAAGCAACCCCGAGGTAACCCATGATTTGTTCTTAGGGTGGCTTTGGATTATTTGATGTCTAGGTTTGGATGTCATGCTAGCAACCTACAAACAGGGTGTTCATCGGCTGCTTTGCAACCCATCAGCCACCCCTGGTGAATTGTGGGTATCCCGTTCTTTCAACCCCAAGGACCTGGCCTTGCCAAGGTTCCTTTCCAGAGTCAACAATACTTAGGAATAAAACCACCTGTGGGGATGGTGGTATGCCATTTATTGAATGCATGCAGGGATGAAATACGGTTGCAGGTGATCAGTAAACCAGCCAAAGGAAAGCTTACAAGCCTGGCCCCTTTAGTTATACGTTTTCAGGCTCGTGGAGGGTGTCATCAGGTGTTGTTCCTCATGTTTCCACGTGGAAAGCCCGGCAGCAGGGCAACTTCCTGGATGTTGTGCCATTTCTCTCCCTCTGTTTTAGAGACTGTCAGTGCAGGAGACGAGGGAGGTGGGTGAGAGGAGGCCCGGCTGCCCCAGCTGACATTTTGACATCCTCGTCTTGAGCTCAAGATGAGGAACTTGCCACGGCTGCTCACTGTTGACCATGCCCCTTTCTTGAAGGCCCACGGGTCGTTCGGGGATCTGTCTGTGGCCGCACTGAATGCCCCTGCTCGTCACAGTGCCTTTAGTTACCCATCCCAGAATTTTGTGCTGTGAGCCGCCCCGAGGCTTCGGCAAGGGGCGGCATAGAAATGTTTTAATAAATAAATAATAAATGCCCACTGACATGTGAGCAGCCCCACCTGGGGGATTTGAACCCAGGGCTCCTGTGCCCCCACCCAGCCCTCTGTCCGTTCCTTGCCCTGCTGCTGCCGCGGCACCTTCAGAGCCCCCTTCCTTCTGGCCACCCTGCTGCCCCTTTGACCAGTCTAGAAAAGACGGACTGCCTTCACTATCACCCATTTGAGCATTTGTGTGATAGAGTGTGAACACTTCACCTTCCCCAGGCTCTCGTTTATTTTAAAAACTCATCCTCGACTTGCCCATTTTTTTCAAAGATGTCCTCAGGGTGGCATTTGATGTAAACAATTAAATGTACATGCAGTTTTTAAAGCATGAGGTGATGGAAGAGAGTAGCACTCGGAGCAAAATGGGCTGCATGCGTTTGCCTCTTTGTTCATTCCTAATGGGATGTGCAGCATCATACGCCCCAGCTCCCAGCACATGCCCCGCCCGGCCCCCTTCTCTCCCCTTTTAATGAGCACATTTTCTTCCTGGCAGCCGGGACTGCTTCTGAGCAAGGTGAGGGCTTCCGGGTGCTGGCTGTCTTTGGTGCCCCCTGCCCCCCCCCCACCTTGAACGCTGTTGCGAGCAGAGCCAGCAGGAGCCCAGGGTTGGACAGGGATGGCCCAGGAGGCCCCTTCTGACTCGCTCTGCTTCTGTGTCATTGGTGCCAGCTGCTCTTTCCTCGCAACTGGCCACAGTTCCCACGGCTGCCGCTTTGGGGCCATTTTCGCAGCAGTTTTGCGGAAGGGCCTCCTCCTGGTTTATCCCCTTGTGGCCCAGCCTTTCCATGCAGTCGCCTCTCAAGGCAGCTCCCCAGCCCTGCACTTCCTCGATCAAAGAGGAACAAAACGAAAAGGTCTTCGCCTGGTTCGTAAGCACATCATAAAATTACGTGAAAACACTGGAGAGGGAAACAGAAACTGAACCGATTGTGCAAGAGATCCGTTAGTTTTGTTTTCTTGTGTTGTGCGAGTGGTTTCGTAAGGCTCGTCGTTGGGAGCAGAGTCATTGGCATTGGACCTGCTGGGTTGCATTCCCAGTCTTAAGTTTTGGCCTTGGCTCTGGCAGGCGATGGAAAGGGGAAAAACAGCATTTGAAGAAGCAAACCAGGGAGGAGGAGGAGGAGAGCCATGGCAGAAACCTGTGGGGGAGCTTGAGTGTAGCATTGGAAAGCCCTGAGCCTCTGTGTTTCCGATACGCCAAGCTCTCCAGAGGGCTGCTGACCACCCCGTTTCGGTTGCCTCCGCAGCAGTTCCTGTGTGCCCCCGCTCAGCCTCTGCCAGCCCCCTCAGCCCCTGCAACAGCCAGCGTCCGCATCACCGGTGCTCAGAGCGACGGCGGCCAACAACCAGCAGCCCCGACGTGATGCCCCGGCGCAAGGCTGAGGCCTCCCCTGTAAGTGATGGTGCTTTCCGTGTTCCCACTGCAGACTTACATTTGCACCCGTGCGCAGCCTCCTCTGCATGGTGTCCGGAGGTTGGGGCTGCACGGCTTGTTCTTCCGGTGCTTCTCCCCCGTCTGTCTCTTCCCCCTGTCCCCCACCCTTTCTTGCAAAGCACTCGGGGCCTGCAAAAGCAGATTTATCCAAAGATGCATGGGAAGGCTGTCCGTTCTCCCGGCTGCAATGTGCTCTCCACCTCCAGAGCTGCCAGGACAAGGCTAACTGGAATTCCGTGCTCTTTGGATCTGCCCAGCTTCCTGCCCTCCCAGACTGGTTCCCACTCTGTTCACTGTGGGTGAAATTTCCTGATGGGCTGTCCGTTGTTTTAGCTGTTTGCACTTTTGCTTTTAAATTTTGAAATGATTTCATGGTATTTATTGTACTGTCCTTAAGAACTGTTGTGAACCACCCAGGGAGTGTCAGCTGCTGGACAGTATAGAAATGAAACAATTCGTAATCACGATTCTGTTCTCCTGCGTAAACCTGTGTGTGTCTGAGTGGTGTGCCTTCCTCTCGCCCTTGCCAATCCACCCCACGTGCACAGAAAAAGAAAGAGAAGAAGGAAAAGGACTGGGAAAACGCTCAGGAGAAGAGCGCCCTCGCCCTGCGCAAGCGCCAGTCCATGCCTCCGGGGCAGCCTCGCAAGCTGCGCACACCTGAGAGCAGGTAGCGGTCCAGGGGCTGGCGGTGGGGCAGTGTTCTTGTTTGTCAGTCCTTCCGCTCCATGGAGGTGCGGTGGATGGCACTTCAGCTCTGGACATTCATCTTTGCGCTGCTGCTGTTTTCTGCCGGTCCTCGGGGCTAATATTGTGAGAGGCCAGTGGTGAGACAGGCAGCATAGAAAGACTTTGAATGAATGAATAAATAAATAATTCTGAGGGGTTGCATGCTGGGGGAAGTGGGATTGCTCAGAGGTTTGTGCTGGGTGGGTCTTTTCCCAGGAATCTTGTCGTTGGGCTACAGCCTACGGATTAAGATGTGGTCCCATATGTTCAGACAGCAGAAAAGACCGGCAACTCCCAGGGTGCCTTAGGCTGTTTTTGTTGATATGCATGACTTGTGTCCCAAGAATATTTTTGGACTCCACTAAAGGACTGCCTAAGATGATGCAGAGCAAGCCTGCTCCATCTGCCTGGTTATCCTCTTGGAGTCCCAGTGACTAACCATTTCTGTGTGTTCAGTAGCAGAAAACCACGTAACTGTTAAAATTTAGTTCTCTAACTTTGCACGCCTGGCTATTCCACACCTCCACACACGCCATTAAGTAGACCACAAGAGTCTCCAGAGTATCTCCACGTGTTGTACCAGAGGACTGCATTCACACATGATAACTCACACTCCAGGGCTGAGTTTGGGCTGGCTGAGGGTTGCCACTGAAATGTGTGTTGTGGGCCTGTGAAGTGAGTTCTCGTTTTGCCTGAACCCAGTCAAGCATCCAAGCCATGGTGAACTGCTCAGAGTTCGCCTTGGGTTCTCCTCATGGGTGGTTTGTGGTTAACAAGTGTTGCCCAGCTGGGTTCAGACAGCACAAAACCATGGTAGAATAGTGTGTCTGAGCATGCCTTTGTACTCCAGGCCCATCATGAGAAGGCAAGATTCACTGGAGAAGACAATCATAGATTGTAGAACCTTACAGTTGCAAGGGGCCTAGCAGCCCATCGAGCCCAACTGCCTGCTCAATGCAGGACTCAAGTCCCCCATCCAGATTTCAGCCCAGCCCGACCCTGCTTAGCTTCCAGGATTAACAAGAGGAAGACCGCATATGAGATGGATTGACTCCGTAAAGTTTATACGAGTTTACAAGAGCTGAGCAGGGCTGCCAAGGGCAGGACAATTCATAAGGTCACCATAGCCTAGGGATGACCCGATGGCTCATAACAGCAGAGCAGAGTTCCATCATCATGTGAACACAAAACAGATGAATGGAACTTGGATGCAGTGTTTCCAGAGCAGGAGTGCAACAACAAGCCATCCTCAGCCCTGGAATGTGAGTTCTCCTGTGGTCTGAATGGAATCCTCAAGCTTGAATCCCACAGCCCAGGGGCTGGGACAGAGGCCAGGTCAGGGCAGCCCGCCTGCACGGCCCAGCCATGTTTCCACTGTCAGCTCACTCCCCCGCGTGCTTCTCTCCGAACAGCCCAAGCCCCAAGCCGAGGCCCGCCTCTCCTGCAGTCGTCAAGCAGCGCCCAGCCTCGCCGGGCACGGGCCCGGGCTCTCCCCATCGGCCAGGCCTGGCACGCAGCGCCCAGTCCTCACCCAAGGTGCGGCCCCGCCGGGAGCACGAAGGCCAGCCCAAGGTCCGGGAGCGCAAGGACGAGCCGAAGGAGCGGGGAAGAGCCTCCCCAGCCCCGAGCGAGCTGCACAAGGCCTCGGGGGGCAGCGACCCAGTGCCAGGTGGGGCCCACGAGCTGGCACGGTGGGCGGCCCCATCCTGGGGCATGGCACCAGACGGGCTGCGAGGCGGCTGCTTGGGGGCAGCAAGGCCCGACTCTGTGATGCACGGGGGCCAAAGGGAGGCCCCCATGCCCCGCAGCTCCCTCTAACCCTGGCCTGTTGGGGGTTCTGCAGATGCCGCCACCACCACCTCAGCTGCTGCAAGCTCCATGGCGGCCGCGCCTCCCACAACACCCAGCAAGCCCATGGCGGGCACCACTGATCGAGAGGAAGCTGCCCGGCTGCTGGCCGAGAAACGGCGTCAGGCGCGTGAGCAGCGGGAACGAGAGGAGCAAGAGCGGTGAGTTCTGGGGACACGTGTCGAGGCGTGTCTTCTAAGCAGGGCAAGTTTCTAGGCCTTATGGCATTTGTGTGGGGTGAGAGTGAGAAGCCATCACTGGCCCTTGGGGAAACCATAGGATACGACAGACTCATAACATCCCAGTGACCGGTTTATGGCCCTTTCTCCTGCGACCAGTACTTTGTTGGGATGTTACCCCCACGGTCCCGCCAGTTCCAGCCCCTGTACCATTTCCTTTTCCTCCAGGTTCCTGTTGAAAGATTTCAGGTTCCTTGGGGCAAAGGTGGTTGTATGTAACATGCTTAGGGGAATTAGGGGATGTAAACAGCCTGATTTGACTGTAAAACATGGGCTTCCTTGGCATCCCATTGGTTGTTTTTCCACGGAAGAGCTGGGTTCCACTTGATCGCATGCCCCCCACCCCGCTAGCTGGGGTGGCAGCTCCTACTTTCGCCCTTAGGGGTTTATTGCATGAATTTGTTTTCAGGCTCCAGAATGCAGGCAACGGTGACAAAGCCTTGCACTGGGGCATGTTGAGAGTGCTATTTTCTTGTCATTGTGTAGCCACAAAACCCGCCCTCTGGAATTAGGGTGAAGTGAGTCTGGCTTCCATGTGGCAGGTGGCAACCTAAAATTGAGTAAAATGCCTTGCTAAATTGAACGCATTCCTTCGCTCTCCCTACCACCTTTTCCCCTATATATTTAGTTTATATATATTTAATTCATTCATTAATGGCATTTTCTGTCACTTGTTCAGGCCGAAAATGTCCCATAAGTCATTCCTGTTCTTGTCTAAACACACACAGGACTGCAGCTTTCTGCATTTAGAGTCCTTTACTTCATGCTTCACTCTGCCAAAAAAAGCCTGCAGGAGCAGGTTACAATCAGTTCACAAATAGGACAGGATCTACCTGCCGGCTTCCACTCTGCAAAAGACACCACGCACAAGGAAAGAGGGGTGAGGAGGGCAGAGGAATCCTTTCTCATCCTTGAGGTAGGCAGCTGGGCCCGACCAACCTGTGAGACAGTGTCGTTTGGTACCCGGCAGGCACCTGGCAGAGGAGCAGGCCCAGCGAGAAGCCAAAGAGCGGCTGCAGCAGCAGGCCGAGCAGGCCAGGCTGGAGGAGGAGCGGCAGCGGCGGCAGGAGGAGCTCGCCCTGCAGGAGGAGCGCGAGGCCCAGGAGCGGGCCCGGGCAGAGCAGGAGCAGCAGGAGCGGCTGCAGAAGCAGGTGTGGGGTGTTCGGCTGCCGGTGGAGGGAACGGAGCGCGGCGAGAAAGCGTGTGGCCCGGGACTGGGATCCTGCCCGGCGGTTACATCCAGCTCGGCACCCACAGCACGTTTCTGTCGAGGGCTGCATTGCCTTGTGGGGCCACCCTGGCGCTGAGCAGAGCCAAGCGTGTTGGCCCGACCCTTTCTCTTTCCTGCCCTTTCCCAGCTGGCTCCAGGCAGAGCAACTGAGCATATGCAGAAGGCTTGTGGAATTTGGTGAGGGGCCACAGGTTGCCCACAGCTGCACAGGATCAAATTCCGTAGGGCACAGAACACTCAGGTCAAGTTGCGGCAACCCAGATTCAGGCTGGACAGCAGGAAAAGCTTCCTCGCAGTCAGAGCAATACGACGGCGGCACCAGCTGCCTGGAGAGGTGGGGGGCTCTCCCACACTGGAGACCTTCAGAAAGAAACTGGACAGCCCTCTGAGTGGGATGATGTGACTTGGTGTCCTGCAACAGCAGGAGGTTGGACCCAGGGGTCTCCATGGCCCCTTCCAACTCTGCTCTTCTATGATTCTGTGACAAGCAGGCATGGCTGGGTTTGCTTGCTCAGGGTTCTGCTTTTCACTGCCTGTGTGGGACCACAGGCAACAGTGCAGGGCTGGCGTGCTTTTGCTGGGAGGGGCTTCATAGAAACAGAGAAACCAAGTGAGTCAGAAGGAGCCTCCCAGCCCATCCAGTCTGACCCTCAGCTCTGCTCATGTGCTCCCCGACATGTGGTTGCCCAGTCCTTCCTTGAACACCCTCACTGATGGGGCCTTCCCCACCTCCCTTGGAAGCCCGTTCCATGCCCTAGGGGTCCTAGCCATCAGGAAGTACTTCCCGATATCCAACCTGAAGCCTGGTTCCTTGAGCTTTGCCCCGTTGGAATTTGCCCTGCTCTCCACTGCAGGGAAGAACAGGTCCTGGCCCTCCTCCATATGATACCCCTCACATGCCTGTCTGTCGCCAACAGATCCCCTCGGAGTCTCCTCTGCTCCAGCCTGAAAAGACCCAGTTCCCTCAGTCTCTCATACGGCATCCCTCCCAACCCAGCAACCGTTCTGGTGAGCCTGTGCTGAATCGATTCTAGCCCAGCTTGTCTCCTGCAATGTGGAGCCAGAACTGGATGCAGGACTCCAGTTACAGGCGCACCAGAGTCGTGCAGAGCCGTCCCAACACCTCCCTTTATGGTCACCGCATGCCTTCGGCTTGCATTACTGGTCTGGCTGGAAGACCACAGTCCTGTGCTGGAAACCAGTCATGCTTCTTCCACTGGAATGAGCAAACCCGAACCCTGGGTTGCTGCTGTTGTGAGGATAAAGGGATAAATTGCCTTGGGTTCCTTGCAGGGAAACAGGTGGGATAAATATTTAATGGGTGCAATTGTGGGTTGCATTGTGATGATCTTCACTTTTAAACTAAATTAAGCGTGGCGGTAAATTAAGATGAAACTCCCCTCCCAAAAGGAGGAATTAAAATTTCCATAAGATTTTAAATGTGGTTGGAATGAAGGAAAAAAGAGCCACTGATTGGCAGGTGTGCCCACAAATAGGTGTATTAATTTCACCCTTAGTTCTGACCCAGTTACAAAGATAGGTACCGTGTTGTGTGTTTTAAAAAGCATCAGGAATAGAAATGGACCTTTCCTTTAATAGTCCCTGAGCCACTGCTCCCTGGATAGCTCTTGCCTTAGAAAGCTGGATCTGTTTGGTGGTGCTTTCTTTTCCTCTTTCTCTTCTGGCAGCGCCTTTATTTGTAGAGTATTCTGCAGTCTGGTGTGCTGAGCCTCTTTCAGTCTGAGCAACAAATTCCAGTTTCAGAGACATTGACCCTGTTCCGGGGCCCAAAATACCATCCTCTTGTGGTTTGAAGGCCTTACTGCCTGTAGCTAAGTCTCGGGAGGAGCAGTTCAAGCTTTGGAGTAAGCAAACATGAGCAGAAGCCGAGAATCGGCCTCCTGGGTGGTGAGGACAAGCAGGAGGGGGCGCAGCCTTCTGGGGAATGCCAGGGGGCCGGATTTGGGACCAACACACCTGCCGCGGGGCTTTGCATAGATGGCATCGCTTCACTTCCCGGGGAATGGGAATTCGCTGCGTCAAAACAATCCTCGCTTTGATTCCCATGTGAACAATTCCATGCACACTTCACTGAGCTGGTGAGCCTCAGAACAGGACTGGCGAGCCAAGGCGACTGCCCTGGCCCTCCACACACCCCTTCTGAGCCCCCAACCACCTTTCCAGCTGGCCCAGGGATCTTGCAATGGCTGAGCAGGCAAGCTGCAGCAGCACGTCTATTTATTTCCCATAGAAATGCAGAACTACCAAATGCAGAAGTATAAATAAGAAAAGAATACAGCGTGCAGGCGAGATTGAATGCATGCACTCATTCAGTGTGTTATGTCCTCCCCCTCCTCCTCCTCCTGGCTGCAGAGGGAAGAAGCGGAGGCCCGTGCTCGGGAGGAGGCTGAGCGCCAGCGGGTGGAACGGGAAAAGCATTTCCAGCGAGAAGAACAAGAGCGTCTGGAGCGGAAGAAGGTGGGCCGGCTCTTCGTTGCGGGAGCAACCCGTGCAGGGCTTGCATGCGCTGGCGTTCAGCTGGGAGCAAAGAAAGGCAGCAATGAAACTGAAAGGAAGCAAAGGGAGGCCGGACAACCCGGGGCAGAGATGCCCGTACATCGATGTGCCCGCTCGCTCTCCTTACATTTGCACTTTGGTTCTGGCCCAGCCGTTGTGTCCGGCCGTGGTCCTGGTCACTCCTGGGCACGCCGTCCGTCTGCATGGCATCACGCGGTCATGGATTCCGTTTCAGGGCCTTCATGTTTGTGCATAAGCAGCCTTGAGGCGGGTTTTCTGCCCTGGGCAGCAGCACATATTTTGAGTTCCCATAGGAATAGAGAACTGACAAATGCAGAGGTATACGTAAGAAATGGAAGGGCGCTGTATGCGAGGGGAGCCAGTGCAGGGTAGGGGTGTGAGTGTTGGGCTGGGACCCAGGAGGACTGCATGCCAGCCCTCTCTCAGTCATGAAGCTTCCCGGGTGACTTCAGACCAGTTTCAGCCTAACCTGCTTCTCGAGGTGTTTGTGAGGATGAAATGGAGAGAAAGACTGCCCTATAAGTTGCCCTGGGTTCCTCTGAGAGGAAAAAAGGCAGGATAGAAAGAATAAGAAATGAATGTCAGAGAGGAGGAATGAACAGTTAATGAACTCTTAATATCCTGCTTCACCAAACAGATTTGAGGACAGTGCAGCAGTTCTGACAAAGTTCACATGTTTGCTCTGGCTTTATTGTGCCCTGGCTCGTCATTCAGGTCTGGAATAAAAGGATGGAAGGACTTCAGAAAAGTAGCATCCAGATCTCCCATTCTGCTCTGAGCAACTCCAGTTATTTTTTCCATAACACCTGCTTTTGACCCTTCTAACTGCTGCAGCTTCCCCAAAAGCACCGAGCTATGGAATCTCTTAGTGGTCTCTGCCTGACTCTGCAGAAATTGCGGGACGCAGCACAACTCCTATGAAGCGCCTGTGCAGGAGCAGTTTGGTGTATGTCTCATTAGAGCCGGCATCAGGGCTGGAGCAGGTATAGCCTTCCAAAGGCCCAAGCACCCTGCTGATCTCTTGGCAAATTTGCAGGTCATTCTGTTAGAATTTTTGCCCATGACCATTCCTCTCCCTTGGTCTGTGCTACTGATTTAAACAGGTTTAACAGTCATTCCTCCTTCCCAGGCTCTGACGCTTCCTAAGACTTGTGGGAGTGAAGCCCCATGACAAACTATACGATGGCTGTGTATACGCCACCAGCAGGACACTGCCCAGCCTGCTTCTTGGACCTTCTGACCCCCTCAACACACACGGTGCTGAGGCTAGGGAGGCGAAACCCGTTGTGTTTCATTCTTGTTTAAAGGACCTCTCTCTCTCTCTCTCTCTCTCTCTCTCTCCCTCTCTCCCTCTCTCCCTCTCCCCCCCTCCCCCTCCCCCTCCCCCTCCCCCTCCCCCTCCCCGTCCCTGTCTCTTTTCTGGTGCAGCGACTGGAGGAGATCATGAAGAGGACGCGGAAAGCAGACGGAGCTGATGCACGGGTGAGCAGTTCTCTTGTTCTCTGACCCACAAGGGAGGGCAGGGACACTTGGTTCAGCCCCAGCCAATTATGCCGAGCATAATGCAATTAGCTCCTGGAACAGGCTAAACAACTGGCTGCAGCTCGTCTAGAACACCGCAGTCGTCCAAGCCTGAGCCAGTGGACTAGCTCACATGCCACCACAAGCCAGCATAGGTTAATTCGCCCGCAGGGAGATGGCCTGCAAGTTGGCCGCTGCTTTGACTATGAAGTTGCGGAGGAACAGTGCAGCTTGTTGTGGCCTGAGATCCCAGGTGTCGTGAGCTGTTTATTTGATTTCCATGCCACCCCATAATTGAAGTTCTCTGAGCAATTTACGATGATGCATAAAAATACAATATAAAATACAAACAGCACTAAAAACAACATAAAAGACTTTATGTTGAAATTTAAAACCAAATTTAAGCTGCATATAAAAAGTTACAATAGCTTAGGCAAAGAAAATGATATTTGAGATCCAACTGTTCCAGGGTTATTCAGCCCTAAAATAACCCGCAGTGCCTGGGTTTGCACGGTAAGCTATGGTACGCCCCTGCACAGCTGGCATAGACAAATGGTGGACAGAGCACACAAACCAATCCACAGGGGCATGTGGTAAGTGGGTCAACGTTGCTGCCTTGCTGGGCCCAGGAGGTGCCAGTGCCTCTGGGCTACGAGGGTGGGATATAAATGCAACTAATTAATTAATAAGATGCGAAGAGTCCCTTCCCGCAAAGAGCAGGGCACTCTCCACCCATGCTCTTGCCCAGCTCGTGCGTCTTTCTGCGGGCTCGGCTGGCCCATGCTGCCTCTTGCTCTGCTGAATGAACTCGCCCTTTCCTCAGGCAGAGGCTGCCTCTTGGCTGTGGAGCTCAGCATCTCGGGGACCTCTGCAAGATGCCAGAAGGGCCCCCCAGCTCCCAAAGGGAACAGATCCATCACAGCTGCAGCTTCCCCGGAGGAATCGTCCTCGACCACCTCCATGGCCACCACCTGGATGCCATGGAAGTCAGGCTCATCCGCTTTTGTTTTTTCAGAAGAAAGACGACAAGAAACTTGTGAATGGGAAGGAAGGGAAACAGGAGGCCGAGATGGAGGCAGGTGAGAATTGCCTGGTTGCAGCCAGTGTCCCACTAGCCCGGAAGCTCTGCTCTTTCAGATCCAGATATCAGCGGACCCTTGAACCAATAATAATCATAATCATATAGCAGCAACATTGCATTTTTCCTTGTGAGACACCCAAGGTGGCTTGCAGAGTTCACTTTATCTGCACAACAGCAACAACCCCGTGAGGTAGGTTGGATGAGCTTCATGGCAAATGGGGACTAGGACCCAGATCTCCTAGGTCCTCAGTCCAGCACTCTCACCATTGCACAACACTGTCTCAGGTCAGCCCCTATCTGATTGGAGGAACTCTGCTGCGTCTTTGCTTGCGTGGCTAGGCTCAACGTTTGGGGACGAGGTGACATTCTCAGCATTTTCTAGAAATGTGTGTCCCCATCTTTTTGACCAGCACGTCAGAGGAATTTGCTGATGAATTGGGTGGGGTGGGGTGGGCGAGGGGTCTCGTGGGGCCCAGTGGGCCAGGTTCCACTACCTGGATCAAATCCACTCTGAGGCAGGCTGTGAATCGAAATGCAGCCACTTGCTCACCAGGTGAGATGCTTAATGGCGACGTGCCCTGTTTCTATCCCAGTCCTCGGGAAGCTGTTTCTCCCTCAGACTTCCAAGCTTATGTTTACAACGACCCCGTGAGGTTGGCTGGGCCGAGAAGCATGATCAGCCCAAGCATTGCCCAGGGAGCTTTGTGGCTGAGCAGAGATCTGAACCTGGATCTCCCCTGCACAGGCCTGGCTTGCACGACACATTGGGCTCGCTTTGGATCATTCTGCCCTTTTCTTCTAGCTTTACAAGGAGGTGGCTTCTTCCTTCAGGTGGAAAATGCTCCAGAATGTGAGACAGATTCCATAGCTAGAAGTGGTGGAGCCAAACATTCTTACACAGTTCTCCTGCATGTCCTGGAGACCCCACTCCAATCCTGAATCCCAACTGATGCAAAGCCGAGAGCGGATCGGTCTGCACTTGGGCATATTCAGCCCGTCCTTTGCAGGAAGCTCAATCTACTCTGCAGTGCAATCTGCGTTGGCTTTGCTATGTTTGGAAATGTGCCACATGCGTCGCACAGCGTTGTCTCTGGTGCTTGGACTGCCGGCAGGACACATGGTCTTGCCAAGCTCATTCTAGTTCCATCAACAGCCCGGCATGAACCGATTTAGCAAAGTCAAGCACTCACCAAAGCCAAGCAGGAGGTAAAGTCAGAGGAGGCAAGTTCAGGGCTTGTGGGCAGCAAGGCACAGAGGGTGGAATAAAGGAAGGAAGCTGCCTGACCTGGCCGAGGGCATCTCTGAAGTCCTTGGGTGAGCTCTGCATGACCTGCCTGCCTGGCTCTGTATCTGCGGCTTCCTCAAGTGCCTTTCCTGCGTTTCCAGGTGGTGAAAAGCGCCCTGGAAGCCTTCCCAAGGAGGAGGAGCTGCCTGAAATGCAAGCCTCAAGCCCGGCCGGTCGCAAGGGGCCAGTCCCTGAGGGGGTCCAGCACAGGTAGGAGCTGCAGCAGGAATACCGCCATGTCCCACCTGGCAGGAATCGCTCGCTCACCCACCCACTCTCTGGCCGCTCTTGCACAACGCAGTGAAGGGTTGCACAAGCGGGCGGGGGGGCATCTCCTCTGGGGGAGCTCCGTTTGCAGCAGTATCTGCTGAAAGGATCCGAGCATGTCGTCCTCCGCGCACGGGGAGTGCAGGATGCCAGCCCTGGGAGTCGTGGGTCTGTTTTCTGTCTGAACGTGTCTGGGATCGCAGCCACGAGGTGCACCAAGCCTTAGGCTGCATTAGAAGCAGCGCTGGGTCCAAAAGCATAAGAAGTGATAGTCCCCCTCTGTTCCTGACACACATTTGCTGTGCTCTTTCTGTGGATACCACCAACTGTTAACCCTCTCTCTACATCTCGTAGCGCTCACACACCTCTGCAGCCATGGCAAAATATTTCTTCAAGAAATGAACATTATAGCAAGATGCCCCTATACTGTTTTTTTAAAATAGTGAAAAACACCTTTCCTCGTGTGTGTGTGTGTGTGTGTCTGCCTGTGTGGAAAGAGAAAGCATTATAACATACAGGTAAAATGCTACCTTGTTTCCCCAAAAATAAGACCGGGTCTTATATTAAATTTTGCCCCAAAGGACGCATTAGGGCTTATTTTCAGGTGATGTCCTGTTTTTTCTTATGAAAGCTGCAAGATCCTTGCCCTTAGAGTCCTCCACGATTCCTTTCTTGTACTCGATGGAATCACTCTTTCCTTTTTGCACCCATCTTGCATTTTGCAATTAAGCATGTCCATTACAACTTACAACGTATTGACATTACAACTTACAACGTATTGACACTATCCATGCATTGTGTCTGTACTCTGATTGGTCATCTGGCAATAAGTCTCCCGTGTCTGTTTACATAGGCATTTGCCTCTCATCCAAAGGCGCCCGCTTCGGTATTTACAAATACTTATAATGTATATCATCATTTATTTTAAGTATTAATGTCAATAATATTTATTTATATTCAATTATATATGAACATTATTTTATAATTCAATGTCTGTCGTGTGTGGCAACAGACATACTACCATGTTTCCCTGTCCGTCTGGCTGATGATCTTAATTGGGGCTTATTTTTGGGGTACAGCTTATTTACGAGCATCCTGAAAAATCATGCTAGGGCTTATTTTCCTGTTAGGTCTTATTTTTGGGGAAACACAGTATTACATTCTTTCATTAAAGTGGCATCATTTTAATATTTTCTCTATGTGTACATTTGAGCTACTTAAAAACAGGTGATAAAAATGGTAACCACCAAAAAAGCCGAATATGAGTTAAGATAGGCTTACCTGCCTGGTAGGTACTGCCCAATCCAAAATCACTCCCCCTAAAAGAGACAGAAGAACAGCAGAAAGAGCATCTACAGTTGTGAAATGCCGTGCCATTCTTCAGTCCTTCTCAAAAATGTTGAGTTTCATGGGGATGAGAAAGATGGGAAACCCAAGAGGGTTTGGGTGGCAGCATTGTGTGGATTCTTCATAAAATGTGGATAAGCAAGGCATGGTAGTTGCAGGGTAAATCCTTGTCTGGAAACTGTCTTGGTGGCTAGAAATTGATTTTACTCCCAGGGGAGCAAGGGTGTTTGCATGTCTGGACATGCATGTTTGGGCATGCCTTTCCCACATCTCCGCGTAGTCTGCCCTAGCAGTTAATTTATGGTGTATGCAATCTAGAATTCCTTCTCCTTAAAAAAACCAAAACAACCTACTCAAGTGACCAGTCCTTATGGCTTCAGAAAGACCAGAGAGAATGGGCACTACCTGATGGAATCTCTGAAGTGAGAGGGAGATTTTCAACAATCAGAAGTGACTTCCTGGTTAATGAATTCCTCGAAGTGTGTGTAGCTGTGAAGGTTTGCTGACAAAGGTTTGCTTACCTCTATCTCAGTCCATCAGGATGCAAGATTTTCCTGCAGCCTGGCTGTCTCCTTTCTCTGAGACAGGCTGGTGATGTCTGAGTTTGACCCGTTCCCCATTTTCCCGCTGCAGCTCCCCAGCAGCCCCGGCCCTGTCCCTGGTGAACGGTCTGCAGCCCGGCAAGCATGAGAACGGCTTTTCCTCCTGCAAGGAGCCCGGTGGCCGGGAACACACCGCGAGCCCTGGGCTGACCATGGCGGGTGAGCCGATCCTGCCTTTCTCCAACAAGGAGCCCTTCCTCACCAAGGCTGTGCCCAAGCCCCCACAGATCACAGGTGAGCATCGCCCCTTCCCCATCTGGGACCACGCGCTGCTGAGGCTTAGCAACAGGCGCTGGGCCCTGGAGCTGTGGACGAGCCCGACACGCACTCGGCCCCCCGCGGGCCTTCGTTCTCCCGGCTCCTCATTGCCTGCTCTCGGAGGCCACAGCTTTCGGAAGGCCCAGGTGGAAGCCCTTTCCCAGTCCTCCTGCTGCAGAGCCGGCAGTTTTCTATCAATGCCTTTCCTGGCTTCCTGCTGCTGCTGCTGCTGCTGCGGCGACATTTGCATCAGAACCCAAGACCAGGGGGAGGGTGTGGGCTGTCCCACACTAGAGGCATCCAAGATGCGTCCCTCTGAGAGGGACAGTTTGACCAGGGGTCCTGCCCTGGGCAGGGGCCGGGCCTGATGGCCCTCAGGCCCCTGTGACCTTGGAACCCTTTGGGCCAACGGGGCCCCCACGGAGCGAGCACGCAAGCTGCCATGGCAAGGCAAGTGCTTTACCTCTGAGGGGGGAACCAGTGGGATGCCCCAGTGCAGGAAGGGGGAGCACGTGGCCCTCTGGCTGTGCTAGGGATGCGTCTCCAACCAGCTCTGTTCTGATGGCAGTTGTAGTCCAACAATGCCTGGAGTGGCCTGCGTCTCCCGGCTTTGCCTGCGCCAGTGGCTTGACAGTGTCTTATGCTGCCATCATTGCGGGGTGAGCAGGTTTCAGTCTTCCAGGACCTACTTTGGGTTTGTTTCTTTTCCCAAAGCCCCAAGAACTACCACTTGGAATCAGGCGCAAAAGACAGGCACTTGGACATAAAGAACTGAGAGTCCAAGAATATGTTTGGAATACCAGAACAGAACGGAGCATGCATTCCTTCTGCTTAAACTTCCATTCCTGGTTACACCCTGACCCCGGCCGTTCTCCAGTTTAGCAGTATAATTTAGGGCAAGGAGGAGATGCGGAGCTCTTGCTGAGTATAGAGCCAGCATGTATAGTGGTTAGCGTCATCTCTGGAGATCTGAGTTCTAGTCCCCACTCAACCATGGAGCCAGCTGGGTGACTTTGGGTCAGTCAGACTCCCAGCCCAGCCTACCTCATAGGGTTGTTGTGAGGATAAGATAGGAGGGGACCCTTTTAAGAAGAAAGGCAGGATTTAAATGGAAAAAGAAGGTGGTGATTTCCCAGAGATCTACAGGTAGATCCACATCTGCCTTCTGCCCCCCCCCCCGCCAATGCATTTTTTCCCCTGCCCGGGCACCACCTGCTTTCTAAGGGCTCTGAAAGTAGGGTTGTCTTGCACTTGAGAACCCTGTGGGTCACGCACGTACACCTGAAAACGGGAAACCAAACCTATGCTCCCCAGCATCCAACAGAAGTGCTGTAACCCTGATCTTAGCCTCCCAGCGGGACTTGCCTCCACTCACCTCTTGCATGTAGGACTCCCCCGTTGCAAGGGGGAAGAGCTGGCAGTGGACCTGTAGAAAGATCCGCCAAGCTTCATTTGCAGGGCCATGGATCAAAAGACCATTGAGCCTTTCTTCCCATAGGCTGTTGTGTTGTGTTGTGTTGTGTTGTGTTGTGTTGGTGGGGGCATGGGGAAGCCGCTCTTCTGATTCCAAACGGATCCTCTTTGTGGGGAACCCCGGGAAGGGAGGGAGCACTCTCTGGCTTTGGCCCAACCATTGAGCGTGGCAGATCCTCGCACCCTGTGCAGAGCCAAGAACAGCTTCCTTTTAAAACCAGTTACAGTTGCGGCTAATTTCCAACAATGCAGCGCCCTCCAGCTTACATCAGAATAGCTGCATGGTGACAGAAGCAGCTACGGACAGGCAGGAAAACCTCCTGCAGCTCCCAGGTGCAACCCGCCTGTTGTCTTGCCTTTGCAAAATGGGTCGAGGAGCTACAGCACCTGCTTTGGGCGAGGGTCCTGCCCTTGGCAGTGCTGCAAACGCTCCCCTGAGCCCACCCGAGTCCTTTCCCAGAGCCAGCCACCAGGAGAGATGCCCCCTTGAGGCAATGCTGCATGTGTCAAACAGATCTCCTTTGCAAGGGAGAATTTTGCACATCGGGGAGAAAGAAACACCACCAGAAATGGCATTTTTCTCTCTGCCGAAAATGGTAAAAGGAGGACAAAATAAATCAGCTTGTAGGGGTGGAGGGGAGCAGAAAGCAAGCAGCAGGAGCCCCTTCCGCACCCGCACATGGGCTAACACAAAGAGTCCGTGCTGTGTGTGCATCACACTGGTGAGGGAGCCTCAGCGCCATCACACGGAACGATCCTCCCTGAGCCCCAGAAGGTTTTTACAACGTGCAGGAAAGGGCACGCTCTCCCCTTTGTATCTCCCAAGATCAGGCTCCCTGGGATGGGCAAGGACGTTCTGCAGAGGCTGCTGGCTCCAGCCACGGAGGGCTTTGCTGAGTGGTGCCCACAGCCTCAGCAAGGGCAGCCTCTCTGAGCGACTTTTGGAGGCTGGCGAGAACAGGTCAACCAACACCTCTCTTCCTCTTCCTCCCCCTCCTTTCTTCTCCTGCAGAGGTTTTGTAAGCAGTGGTGCCACCTTCCTTACCCTGAAGGAGGCGATGAATGACGTGCCAACGCCAGGCGAGCGCTCACTTGCAGATGAGGGCTCCCAACCTGAAAGGACCGAGGACACCCAGAGAGCCAGGCTGGGGTTGGCCAGCCCCACGGACTTGTCTCTTTCTCTTACTGTTCTCAAGTTACATTTATTATTTTTTTTAATATGCACCTTATCAGACTGACCCCAACCCATAGCTCATCCCACAGGACTATATAATCACATAGTTATTTAACTGGCTGGGTACAAAGGATGTGAATAATGTACATAAACGTCAGTGTTAGCACAGGGCTGCGCAGGCAGTCTCCTTCATGGAATTGCCGCCCCCCAGCCTGTGCTGAGGGGGACTCCCTGGGGGGTTTTATTTTCCGACATGGCCACAGCCATGGCAGGGGAGGGGGACCCCTGCCCCCGGTTGGGGCCTGAGTGTGAGTGTGTGTCTGTCGCAGCTGATGGGCAGCGTATAGGTCTCTACTTTAAGCTCACCGTGGGTTTCAGCCAGGATACCTGCAGAACTCTGTGTGTGTGCGTGCGTGTGTGTGTGTGTGCGCGCGCATGCATGTGTGTGCACTCGTTAGCCACTCAACAACCGCTCTTGTCCAACACACTGTGCTTCGTTTGGGTGCTGCTATTTCTGTGTGTGTGTGTGTGTGAGTGAGTGTGAGAGTGATGATTGGGACTGTGTGGCGCTCGGTGTCATTGTGACAGTATTATGCATCTGAACAACCTTTGTGGACAATAAAGTGGAGGAAAGACAGGGACCTATTTTCTTTTGGGGGTGTGACCTTTGCACGCGGTGTTGGGGCATCCATTCCGTTCACCTGTGACTTCGGGATGGTTCGGTTTTTAACTCTTACCCTGCTGTCCATTGCTACGGGATAATACTCGCCTGCCCACCTCCAGCCCACAGCAGAGCTTTTACATGCCAGGACGCCAAATTCCGGGGAGAGGTGGGATGGAAGACTGGCAAGGTGGCACAGAAGAAGGAGAGCCGGTCTGAAGCAAGGGCACTTCTACTCATTTTTTTGAATGGTCAGAATTCTGAAACAAATTTCGTGCTTCGAGGGTCAATATATGCAATCGTTAGAATGATGTGCTAAAACTTTTCCTGGATGGCGCCACTTCTGCTTTAGAGATGGAGGCAGCTGGGCCTTTTGCTCAACATCCTTTTTCTCTCTGTGAGGAGTAAGAAAAATATGACAAGCCAAGTTATACCGCAAACAGCTGAGCATCACCAGGTATGAGAATGGGGATGGGTTCCACAGCAGAGAAAGTAATTGGCTTCAGGAAGGCCCAAGGAGATGAACTGAGAATAGTAAGGGATGCTAAGAACAAGAAAGCCTTCTTCAGAGACATCCAGAACAAAAGACATGTGAGAGAAAAGAGTGTCCACCTACTTAAAGTGGGTGGCAGAGTGAGAGCAGACAATAAGGAAAAGGCAGAAGTGCTCAATTCCTATTTCACCTCTGTGTTCTCCCACAAGAAAATCTACCATCAAGAGGAAGTACAAGCTGAAAGTGAGAGCTGGCAGCCCAAGACTGGCAGACAAATGGTCAAGGAATTCCTAGATGGAATAAACATGTTCAGATCTCCGGGGCCCGATGAACTCCATCCCAGAGTCATAAAAGCTGGCAGAGAAAGTCTCAGAAGCACTGGCTATTCTCTTCGATAAATCTTGGAGAACAGGAGAAGTGCAGGCAACTGAAGGGCTAGCTTTGTCCCCATCGTCAAAAAAAGGGAAAAAAGGTGAACTTGGGAGTTAGTCTGACATCAATCCCTGGGGAATCTGGTTCAAATTATTTAATCAGTGTGCAAGCACCTCGAAGAAAATGCAGTGATTGATAGAAGCCAACATGGATTTATCAAAAATAAATCCTGTCAGACTAATTTAATCTCATTTTTGACTGGGTAACTTCCCACTTGGACAGAGGGAACACTGTGGACACAATCTAGCTAAATTTAGCAAAGCTTTTAACATAGTGCCTCATTACATTCTGATAAGCAAATTAGCAAAAAGTGGACTAGATAGAAAATCCATTAGGTGGATCCACAACCGGCTGCTAAATTGGACACACAGAGTGCTCATCAGTGGCACCTTCCCAAACTGGAGGGAGGTAAGCAGTGGGGTGCTGCAGGGTGCAGTCCCGGGCCCAGTGCTCTTCAACAGCTTCATTAATGATTTAGATGAGGAGGGATAAGATAATCAGATCTGCAGATGATACAAAACTAGGTGGAATAGCAAACACCCCGGAAGACAGAAGGAAGTTCCAGGGTGATCTTGATGAACTTGAACACTGAGCTGAAGGCAACAGAATGAGATTCAACAGGGACAAGTGCCACGTCCTACCTAGGAAAAAGAAGCCAAATGCATTGATACGCAGTGGGGAATACACGGCTCAGCGGAACTGAAAAAGGAAAAGACCTTGGAGTTGTGGACAATAGGCTAAACATGAGCCAGCAATGCAGTGCACCTGCAGAAAGGGCAAATGCTCTTTCGGGAGGCATTAACGGAAGTATTCCAAATCACAAGTAGTAGTGGTTCCCCTGTGCCCCTCACTAGTTAGACATCATCTGGAGTGCTGTGTCCAGTGTTGGGTGCCAGGACTTAAGAAAGATGCAGAAAAATTAGAAAGGCTCCAGAGGAGGGCAACAAAAATGATCCAGGGACTGGAAGCACTGCCTGTGAGGGGAGACTGAGAGACTGGGCATGTTCAGCTTTGAGAAGACTGGTTGGGGGGGGGGGGGGGGGGGGGCACACGATATCCCTCTATGTTGTTAGTCACGAAGTCATGTCCAACCCATCGCGACCCCATGGACAACATCCCTCCAGGCCATCCCGTCCTCCACCATCTTGCGGAGTCCACTCAAGCTCACACCAACTGCTTCAGTGACTCCATCTAGCCACCTCATCCTCGGCCGTCCCCTTCTTCTTTTGCCTTCAATTGTTCCCAGCATCAGGCTCTTCTCCAGGGAGTCCTTCCTTCTCATTAGATGGCCAAAGTATTCGAGTTTCATCTTCAGGATCTGGCCTTCTAAAGAGCAGTCAGGGTTGATCTCCTCTAGGACTGACCAGTTTGATCACCTTGCAGTCCAAGGGACTCGTAGGAGTCTCCTGAAGCACCACAATTCAAGGGCCTCAATCCTTCGGCGCTCAGCCTTCCTTATGGTCCAGCTTTCACAGCCATACATTGCAACTGGGAAACCCATAGCCTTGACCATATACACTTTTGTTGGCAGGGTGATGTCTACTTTTTAGTATGCTGTTTAGATTTGCCATAGCTTTCCTCCCCAGGAGCAAGCGTCTTAATTTCTTGGCTGCAGTCCCCATCTGCGGTGATCTTGGAGCCCAGGAAAATAAAATCTGTCACTACCTCCATTTCTTCCCCATCTATTTGCCAGGAAGTGAGAGGACTGGATGCCATGATCTTAGTTTTCTTAATGTTGAGTTTCAAGCCAACTTTTGTGCTCTCCTCCTTCACCCGCATCAAGAGGTCCCTTAGTTCCTCGTCACTTTCTGCCATGAGAGTGGTATCATCTGCATATCTGAGGTTGTTGATATTTCTCCCAGCAATCTTAATTCCAACTGGTGATTCATCTAGCCCCGCCTTTCTCGTGATGTGCTCTGTATATAAGTTAAATAGGCAGGGCAACAGTATACAGCCTTGCCAAACTCCTTTCTCAATTTTGAACCAATCAGTGGTTCCGTGTCCAGTTCTCACTGTTGCTTCTTGACCCGCATATAGGTTTCTCAAGAAACAAATAAGATGGTCTGGTACTCCCACCTCTTTAAGAACTTGCCACAATTTTTTGTGATCCACACAATCAAAGGCTTTAGCATAGTCAATGAAGCAGAAGTAGATGTTTTTCTGGAACTCCCTAGCTTTCTCCATGATCCAGCGTATGTTGGCAGTATGATCTCTAGTTCCTCTGCCTTTTCAAAATCCTGCCTGTACTTCTGGTAGTTCTCGGTCCACATACTGCTGGAGCCTAGCTTGTAGGATTTTGAGCATAACTTTGCTAGCATGTGAAATGAGTGCAATGATGCGGTAGTTTGAACATTCTTTGGCATTGCCCTTCTTTGGGATCGGAATGTAAACTGATCTTTTCCAATCCTGCGGCCACTGTTGAGTTTTCCAAATTTGCTGGCATATTGAGTGTAGCACTTTTACTGCATTGTCTTTTAAGATTTTGAATAGCTCAGGTGGAATACTGTGTCCTCCACTAGCTTTGTCGTTGCTCAGACTTCCTAAGGCCATTTGACTTCACATTCCAGGATGTCTGGCTCAAGGTCAGTGACCACTCCATCATGGTTATCAGGGACGTTAAGCTCTTTCTTTTATAGTTCTTCTGTGTAATCTTGCCACCTCTTCTTAATCTCTTCTGCCTCTGTTGGGTCCCTGCCATTTTGGTCCTTTATCTTGCCCATCTTTGCATGAAACGTTCCCTTCATATCTCCAATTTTCTTGAAGAGATCTCTGGTCCTCCCTATTCTATCGTTTTCTTCTATTTCTTTGCACTGTCCATTTAAGAAGGCCTTATCTCTTCTAGCTCTTCTCTGGAATTCTGCATTCAATTGGGTGTATCTTTCTCTTTCTCCCTTGCCTTTCGCTTCCCTTCTTTCCTCAGCTATTTCTAAAGCTTCCTCAGACAGCCATTTTGCTTTCTTGCTTTTCTTTTTCTTTGGGATGGTTTTAGTTGCTACCTCTTGTACAATGTTGCAAACCTCCATCCATAGTTCTTCAGGCACTCTGTCTATCAGATCTAATTCCTTAAATCTATTTGTAACCTCTACTGTATATTCATCAGGGATATGATTTATGTTATACCTGATTGGCCTAGTGCTTTTCCCTACTTTCTTCAATTTGACCCTAAATTTTACATCCCTCTATAAGTGCCTCAAATGCTGTCACAATGAAGAAGGTCAAGATCTCTTCTTGCTGATGCCAGAATGTAGGACACAGAATAATCAAGTTGCAGCAACCCAGATTCAGGCTGGACTTCAGGAAAAGCATCCTCACTGTCAGAGCAATATGGCAATGGAACCAGCTGCCCCGAGAGGTGGTGGGCTCTCCCACACTAGAGACATTCAGAATGAAACTGGACAGCCCTCTGAGTGGGATGGTGTAAACTGGTGACCTGCATCAGCAGGGGGTGGACTCTATAATGGCCCCTTCCGACTCTTACTCTTCATGATTCTATGATCTATTAATGGGAGAGGCAGCCAAACATCCGCCCCATTGGTCTCCCTGTGCCCCAACTCCATATGATCCTGCACAAGTGAAAGACCAGCCCAGGACAATTGGCTGCCCCAAGCAAGAGCAAGATGGCCTTGCTCCCATTCCGGGCGGAGGGCAGCCTTGGCACAGGTCACCACCTCCACTGCACCTCAGGGCCGCGGACCAGCTGAGGGGCACAGGGGCCGCTCTCTTCTGCAACGTCCTCTTGCTGCCCCTCAGCATCTTCCTTCTGCAACTGTAGGGCCAGCCCAGGGCCAGCGCACTTGAGGACAAGCTTCCTCCGTGTCCAGGAGCATTGTGGCGCAGAGGGGAAAGTTGTCGGGGACTGGAATGCAGGTGACAGAAGGAAAGACAGGGGCACTGGGACCAGGGCAGCAGAACCTGAGGCCAGAGTCCACACACAGCCCCAAGTCCAGCAGCGAAGTGAGAGGCAGGGTCATAGCCAAGGAACTGGGCACAGTCAGGTACCAGGAGTGCATACAGAACCAGATGAGGTGTGGTCATGCGCAAGCCAAGGGTTGGAATGGAAAAGTAATTGAGTGGGAAGCGGCCTGTAAGGCCCTTGAGTCAAACCCTGCTCTGTTCCCACCTCTGGTCAACCATCTGGCTGCAGGCCTGAGCCTTTCCAGCTTAGCAAAGGTGAATGGAGAGGCTCAGTCCATGTGCAACTATGCAGGCAGGTCCCACACAGAACCAGGAAGACAAACACAGCAGGGGGCATCTGCCTATGACAGGAGAGCCAGACAAGTTGCAGGAGCAGCAAAGTTAGGTGAGTTGCAGGCCCAAAGACGTGTGACAAGCAGGGAGACCTGTGTTGCTGAGGCAAGACAGCAAGGTTAGGCTGCAAGGGCAGGCAAGGTGCAAGAGCTGAACTGCATCCCAGCTAGCAGGAAGACCTGTGTGTCTAGGGCAGGGCAGGGCAGGAACGGGACGCAGTCTGGTCCCTGCCACACTCCGAGGTTGGACAGGAATAGGCAGAAGAGCTGGGCTGGGGAGAAGGCTGCATGGTTCACCTTGCCTAGTAGCATCCTTGGCTGGGGAAGTGGACCTAGCCCCCTATTTTAGTCCCCCAGGACTATCTTCTTTCCAGCCCAGTTTTGACAGTTTTTGGCTCATCCGGAAGTGCACCACCCTGAAGTTCCACCTTCAAGACCTCTGGCCCTGATTTAGAAAAAGCACCACCTTCTTCTAGGAAAAGTAGTTTTTGCGCCCAGTTTATTAGCATCGGGGGTTGCTTCCAAAACAGAAACGAGCAAAGACATTTCCACCCGGGAGTCCTTTATCCTCGAGGGGGCTTGGTGGTGGGGCCAGTGCTTCTTGGAGCTGGTCCAGCTATGGATCTTCTCCTGTGAACCCAGAAGGTATCCTGCGGTGGTGGGATGTGAAGGTGCAGCAGCAGGGCGGCAAGGCACACACTACGGGGGTATCGGGCAAACCCCATAGTGCGCCCCGACACCTGCGGGGCAGAGGGGAGAAGCGCCCTCCCCACCGGGGCCCAGCTGCGCAGTCCTGGCCTCGCGCGTCTGCCGGGACTCGGAGAACGCGCGCCCCCGCCCGAGGCGAGCGGCGAGCAGCGCAGCGCGGCGCGGCGCGGCGCAGCGCGGCGCTGCGCGTCCGCGCGGAGGATGAGGTCACGCGACGCGGCGCGGCGTCCTCGGTTTCGTTTCCCGGCTCCTGCGCACCCTCGGGGGAAGCGAAACGGGCCGGCCGGGTCCTTCGCGGGCATTGGCGGGACGGGCTGAGCCCCCGCCCGGCCCGCCCCGCAGAGGCGCCCGCCCTTCCCCTCGCGACCAGAGTGCGTGCTGGCGCGGCGCAGGCAGGCGCATCTTCCCGGAGGGGACCCGAGGTAGGAGCCGCGGCGGGCGCTGCGAGGGGATGGTGGGAGCGGCCGCGCGGGGAAGGCTGCGGCGGGGAGGCAGCAGGAGCGCTGCGGCGAGGGGGGCCATGCGCAGGGGCTCATCCGGGCGCCACCCGCCTTACCTTTTGCTCTCGGCCGTGGCTGCCGCCAGGACGCCTTTCCCCGGCTAAAAGCGCAGGCGGGGGTGAGGCCCGGCCGCGGAAGCAGATGCCGTCTTGTTCCTGCCTTAGGATGCTGCCGCGGCGTGTTGCGTTTAAAATACGAAACGGGACAAGCTGTCAGTAGATAGCCTTTTCGAACGGTCGGCCAAAGTTCAGTTATTCTTCGAAGAGAGAAGAATATAGAAGGAATGAGGGTGTTACCGAACTCAGCCAGTCAACCGCTAGGGCAAACCTTGGTGGACCCCAGACCTGAGCCAGAGGGAGCCTGCGATATGAGACTTAGAGCCAAAACCAGCTTCATTCTAGTGCACTATAGAATAAAGGAAGACGAAAGGGACTGTTCCGCCCAAAGCAGTGTCTCGACAGTTGCACCCTGGTATATGCGTTTTCTACCCTAGATAACCAGTTAGGTCACCTAATACACAACTAATGTATCGATACATCAATGAAGCCCCACATCCCCCGCTGTTAGCTTCAAAGCAGCAGAGGGTGGCCAGAGAACTGGCGAAGGCAAGGTAGGAGCTGGGCGCGGGGGGGGGGGGGGGGGGGGGGGGGAAGGGGGGGGGGGGCGGGGGGGGGGGGGGGGGGACCAGGGAGAGGAAGGGAGGCGGGGCCAGAGGGGCCAGGAGGGAGCAGAGGGGCGGGGCCAGCAGAGCAGTGCACTGTCCGATGGATTAGGGCATGGTTGACTGCTCAGTCTTTTCATCAAGGACATGGAAGAAGGGGTGAACAGTCTGCTGATCAAATTCGCAGAAAATGCTAAAACGGGGGCAGTGTCCACAACTGAGGAGCAGGTACTCCGGATCCAGAAGGATCTGGACAGCCCATGGAGGTGGACAGGAGACAACAGGATGGCGTTCCATGTGGATAAGTGCAAGGTCTTGCACTTGGGGCATAGGAATGGGTGTCATAAGTACAGGTTAGCAGACAAGTGGCTGGAGAGCAGCACTTGTGAAAGGGACCTTGGGGTTCTGGTTGACTGCAGGCTAAACATGAGTCAGCAGTGTGATGCGGTGGTTAAGAAGGCGAATGCCACCCTTGGTTGCATAGCCAGAAGCGTGGCTTCTAGATCGAGAGAGGTATTACTACCACTCTATACGACTCTGGTGCGCCTACAACTGGAGTATTGTGCTGTTTTGGGCCCATTACAGGAAGGATATAGCCATGTTGGAGTCACTGCAGCATACGGCCACAAGGTTGGTGGCCGGTTTGCAGGGGATGCCATATGAGGCGAGACTGAGGGAACTGGGCCTCTTCAGCCTGGAGGAGACTCCGAGGGGATCTATTGGCAACATACAGGTTTGTGAGGGGGTGTCACACGGAGGTGGGTAGAGACCTGTTCTCCCCTACAGAGGAGGGCAGGACATGCTCCAATGGAGCAAAGCTCAGGGAGCCAAGGTTCCATTTGGATGCCAGGGAGCACTTCCTGACAGTCAGGACCCCGAGGGTGTGGAATGGGCTTCCACAGGAGGTGGTTGAGGCCCCATCGATGCGGGTGTTCAAGAATAGGCTAGACATGCACATGGTGGGCATGTCGTGAGTGGAGCTGGCTAGACCTGGAGTCAGACTAGATGGCCTGGGAGACCCCTTCTGACGCATTCAGTTTCTATGTTTCTAAAGAGTCCTTTCTTCTGTCAAGGACCAAACATTTCCCATGTTTATTTCTTATCTGCTCAAGATTCACACAGGCTTGCCATGTTCTTTCTCCCTGCACTTTTGCGACTTTCATGGCGGCTAGAACCAGTTTCCACTGTCCCTTTGATTACTGTATTCGAGGTCAGGCTAGCCTGTCAGCTGTGGGTTACACGAAGTTCATTTTGTTTTTATCCTTCCCTCCCTCCTGGGACAGTATAACTGTGGTGTTTTTACTACATGGCCTCCCTCTGACTAACTCTTCTTGGGGCCTTCCTCTGGCCAACTACTTTTGGGGTGTTTTGGGGCGCTGCCATTGGCAACAGTGCTGTGACTATTCTCTACTGGCTTACATCGAGATGGCTTGGTGATTATTTCCCCTAAGGAGCCAGAACTGGGGGTGGGGCCTGCATTGTTTAGCAACAACTAGAGAAAAGGAGAGGGGCCCTCGAACCCCTCCCATGTTTTCTTGGTATCTTCTGGATGCTTCCAGATGGAGGGGCCCTAGATGGAAGACGTAGAAAGCCGTGGCTCCTGGACCACTGCAAAAATGGTGCTTGCAGAAGCAAAGCCTCACATGGGAGCTTTTCATACTACAGAAAATCCATTGAGTAAGGAAAAATGGAACAGGAGCCTGGAACAGCTGCTGGTGGTGCATGGAGCTCTCCATCACACATAGGATGAAATTCGAAGCTGAACTATCGTTTTGGGCCTCCAGATGTGGAGTCATATGTAATAAACCTTACTGAAGGCTGCTCACAGTTCACAGGATCACTCCGGCTGGATGGGTGCAAGACCTTGGCCTGCCCAAGCTCCTCAGCAACTGGCACCACAGGCATGCCCCCTCTGGTGCAGGAGGGAGCCCACAGTCAACATGGCTAGTAGCCATGGGCAGCCTCGACTTCCATGACTCCGGCCATCTAGATTTAAAGCCATCTTCTTGGCCGAAAAGATTTGTGGCCAGGGCCAGTTCCCATAGCAGTGCCTTCCATGAACTCATCCTTCGTCGTGGTATCTGTATCACACAGGTGGACTTTGCTGCCACAGTGCAAGGCCCAGATCAGAGGAAACTTCTATAGCTTAGCATCTCGGAGTGGGTGGGAGCCCCCAACCCCTGCCAGGCCCCAGGATAAGAAGGGTGGGGCTCCTGCCCGGTCCCTCAGCTTTCTGAGCGCACGTCCAACTGCACTGATTTGGAATCAATCTGCAAGTCGTTTTGCTTCTAACCTTCCCACACTTTTCCCCTTGCGTTCTGTTCTCTCACGTTCCTTTGGTTTCTAAAAAAAAGAGGGTTTTTTTTCTTGTTTTATTTCATACACCAGCATTTTTACAAATCACAACTGGACCTTTGCTAGTCCGAGATTGCCTTTTTACCATTTTCTGGGCACGCGCGGATGTCGCACCTCGCGACAGTGATCGGCATCCCCACCTGTTGTGCATGCGTGTTCTGGCAAGATTCCCAGGCACGCACGAGAAGCTGGCCATTGTGGCCGGACGGGTCGCTCGGATCTTGAGAAGGAGACACCTGAAAGGGAGTTGGCCCAGCCCAGCAGGGCTGACAGCTTGAGCTCTGAGGATGAGACGGTCCTTGAAAAGGACTCAGCTCCAGCTCCAGCTGCAGTCCAAGGCCCTGCTCTGTGCCTGCTAGTTGAAGGGCAGCTGAGCGGCCCAGTCAACCCACCCGTGTGGACAAAGAAGAGCAACAACAAGCCAAGGGGAGAGGTTTAGAGACAGGGAGTCCACTGGATGGAGAACTCCAGCCCCCTGAGGTGGGCCTGACAGTTCGTCATCACAGTCACAGGGTGTCCCAACTGGACTCCCAGCGGGAGGAACGCAGGTGTGCCTGTTCCTCCCAAGTTTCCTCCAGTCTAGGCCTTGTGCTGCTGTGGCAGAGCCCACCTGTGTGAATGCACAGATGACTATTCAAAGGTTGGCAGCTGCAGGTAAGCAACCTGCCTTCCCTCAGAGAAAGGCCAGATTGTTTCCCAAAATTCTGCCCTGGCGCTGATCACTGGTGCATATCCCCGAGGTTCCTTATGCATGCAAGGCCCTCTGTGAGCCATGATCTGCTTTGTGAAATGATGTGTTTGTTGTGTAACTAGGACTCTGCTCACGAGGTGAAAAAAGAGACTGAGAAGGTGACAAACAGAAGCGAAAGGATGAGTGAGTGCCATTTTTCTCCTCTCTTCTTCCTGGCCTCCCCTATAAAGGGGCTTTGCTGTGTCCCCTACATGAGTTGGGTCCAGGACAGGTTACTAGTTCTCGCCTCCTGGCCTGCTGGTATCTTTGTGGCATGTGGATCAGGATCCTTCAGGGAGAGTCCCCTGCCACCTCAGTGCGTGTCCATTTCTCTTTCCAGTCATCCCCTACCCTTCGTTGGTTGGGCGCTTTAATGCAGATTTAAGGGGCAGGTTTACAGCCTACCCATAGCATGAGATGGTGACTCTCCCCATTCAGTGTGTGTGTGTGGGGAGGGGGGTGGTGGTGATGACACAGCTTGTACCAGCTTCCTGATAGAGAGGCAGAACAGGGATGCCAAAAGCACTGCCCTCTGGAGGAATCCCAACACTGCCCATCTCCTCATCCGTATGGAAGTTAGAAAGTTACCCTTGTACCAAGCCAGAGAGCATCTGTACAGTTTGCATGAAAAGAGGTTATTCTTCATGGTACCTCCAACATGGACTTATGGCAGCAATTAATTGGGTCAAACTGCGCATCTAAGCAAGAATGTGCAAGGAATAGGGTATTTACACCCCTAACAGCTGCAATTGGGAGCTAAGCAATGCTTGGGCCCGAACACTTAACTAGTAGCTCTTAAAAAACTTAAGTCTGCAGAATCAGGGAAGTGTTTTGCCCTGGTTTGTAGCTCAACCCTCTAGGCTTAAGAAGATGATGTAGCACCTGGGGGCAGCCTCAGCAATCTAAGGAAGCCCAAGATGGATCTTCCCAGAGCTGCAAGTCTCAATTTTTTATTTCTCTAGTGTGATGGAGGCCACTCGACTCTCTGTTTCCATTCAGTGGGCAGAAGTTGGAGCATCTACTTGCTTCCAATGTGGACTCATCAGAGAGTCCGACGACTAGATAGAGGTCTTCTATACAGCCACCCTGTGGAAGTTCAGAAAGGGTCATTCTTCCACTCAGGGGTCTGTGAAAAAGTTAAACTGTTTTGGGTAGGTGTAAGCGAATTGTGGCCCTTTAGATTTTGTGGGACTGCAGCTTCCAGCAGCCCTAGCTGGCAATGAGGAATAATGGGAGTTGGGAGTCCGGCATCAGCTGGAGAGACAAAAGTTGCCAAGGCCCTGCTCTTGGGTATCAGAATGAAGCGTGGGGAACAAGCTTCACAGCCAGCCATGAGGTCTCCCATGGCTTTCCCCGCTCTTGGGGTCACAGCTGGCTCTATTCTGCTGGGACTTTTTGGTATGTGCTAGGTGCCAAGATCTCAACCATTTCACTAACAAAGTCCCTTTTTTCTTTAGATATCCTAGTTGGAGCAGCTGCTGGCTTGGGTAAGTTTCTAATTCTGGCCTCCCATAGCCTTGGAATAAAGGTCGTCCTGAGATCACGAGCTGGACCGTTCCTGGATTTTCACTGCCTTGATCAGTTTGCATGTAGGGAGAAATTCTGTGGCAACTGCAGCTTGCCAAGCTGACTCCCTCCTTGGCAGTGCAGGCCAAAGCAGAGGGTAGCGCTGCCTTAATTTCAACAAACGCAACAGCCACTTCAGGGAGGTCTAAGCACATACGCCTTTGGGACAAGGACAGCCTGCTAATGCTCCCATCCAGGTGACAGACAGGTGGCTCACCTGTGAGTGTCGTGCTTCGCGTGGTCATCGGGTGCGGCAGCACAAGGCCTCGAACAGAAGAGAGACCTCTGTAGCCTGGCGTCACGCAGTGGGTGGGAGCTCCTCCACCCCTTCCGGCTCCCAGGATAAAGTGGGTGGGTGGCTGCTGCAGGCTGGGGCAGTGCCCTTTCTTGGAGGCAGCCCTGTCCCCTGCAGATGCTCCCTTGGCCAGAGCAGCAGCCCTCTTGGGCCGCTTCCCGGCCCTATGCGGCCCCCAGCCAGCGGGATGGGGCCCCATCAGACTCTGCAAGTCGAAGGCGTGCTGCCATAGGGCAGATCGAAGCTGGTCTTCCCGCTGCTGGCGAGTCTATTTGTGAAATGCCTGCGCTGCGGGCAGGTCTCGACTACATGCCCCGGCCATGACAGAGGCGGCACGGAGAACGGCTGCCTGCTGTGGGCAAGCACATGGCTCAGAGGCGCAGCCACAGACGGCGTGGTCAGGGGCCACGGTGGGGAAGCACACAGGCGGCAACAAAAGGCAGTGGCGAAAGGGGGAGGGCGGAGCAGAAAAACTCACGGAGCAGGGATTGATTTCAGGGAGGAACATATATGGAAGTAAGAAACAGGGAAAGAGAGAGGAACGTATTTGTGTCAGGAGGGGAAATGAGAGGAGCAAAAGTAGTACTTGCAAAGCAGTCTGGTCCAGCTGATGCAAGTGGTCGAAAAGGCGCTGAGGGCCTGGACGGGAGGCCCAGCCCCGAAATCCCAGGGCCTGGATGGGGTGGGGGCTCCTGTCCACTCGGTGATCTGAGGCTGCAGCAGTTCCTCCCACTGCACCTTGCGCCGCTGAGGCAAAGCTTGCACGGGTGATGCACAGAGACCAGGAAGAAGAGCAGCCCGTTGTTAGCACTCGATTCAGGCCTTTCCGCTCAAGTTTGCAACAGCAGCACGCAGCTAACACGGCTTTTCTTGTTATATAGGGCTGGCCACTGTTGGTATCCCGGTAATCACTGGAGCCCTGGGCTTCACCTCAGCTGGCATTGCTGCTGGATCGGTGGCTACCAGCATGATGTCAGCTACCGCAATTGCCAACGGCGGAGCCGTGGCATCTGGCAGTGTCGTTTCCATTCTGCAGTCCATCGGTAGGTCTCCGTCTCTAGACCTGGCATGTTAATAGTGCAGGGGCTTTGCATCTTGGAGAGGATCACCTGTCGCTTCTCTTCATCCCAGGTGCTGTGGGGCTGTCGGCTGCAGCCAAAACTGCAATGGCAGCCGGAGGAGCACTGGTGGGCGCCATGGTATCTCAACCGAAAGACTGAAGCTACTCTTACTTCACTTTCACAAGGTGAACGGGATACTGGTGTGAACTGGCATGGAAGTACAGGAACAAAGACGCTCTCCTCTGATACCTTATACCCTCTAGCTTGCCACAAAATAACCTGCTTAAACTATTGATTTGCATGCGAATATTCCTTATAACAAATTCTTCCCAACAGAGGGAACAAATTTACACCAGCACACAGTAACTGGGTGGTCATGGGGATGAAGGATAGACCTGAGTTTCCCCTGGGTGTGCCCATAGATGGATTTTGGAAGGAGGTGACCCTGAAAGCCCACACCAGCACCTGTTCACATTCTTATAAAACATGATGAAAGGGAAGTTGCTTTTTCCTTCAGGGCTCCATTCTGCCTACTTTGTGCATGGAGACCATTTTTCTGCAGAAAAAAGCCTTTTCCACCCCGCATTGTTTGGCTACTGCTCATGCCAGGGCAGAGACAACAGTAACATGCCTCCTGCACTTGTGGCTAACAAATTGCAAATCTTTTTATTGCCAAGTGTGCATGAAATACCAAGGTTGTTCACACAACAGGGTAGTGCCCGAGAAGTCATGGCATGGGCAGCCACCCTCCAGCTGGGTGAATTTGGTGTGAGTTACACCACCCTCACTAAGCTTTAAACAGTATTTGTGTGACTTGTTTATCGCTGATAAAACCCATTTGTTGGGTTTGCAAACATAAGGTGCTGAATAGGCAACACAATGCCTGTGGGGTGGCATTGTGGGTTAAATAACCTATGATGATGCACAGGGTATGGTTCAAACATGGTCAATCATTGTTCAATCTTTTTTTTACAAGACACCAGGGGAAAATCATCTGTAAAATGGTTAGCATAATTGTGGAAGTACCGTTTCACCCTTAGGCACCATGCTGAATTCTAGGTAGTTGTGGTGCTGTCTCAAGCCAAGAGGTTGGCAGAAGTCGTCTTAAGTGCTTTTCTCAGTTTATGGGGGTCTCAGTTGTTTTCTGTATGTGCACCTAAGCCCCAAGGACTGCATAGGTCTTGCCTCTGGACTGCCACCCCCACAGCTGCTCACTCTGCAGATGAGCCAACGAAACTTGCATTAGCAGAAGCAGCGCTCCTTCAGGACACGAGGGACAGAGCTGGTGCGCACCCACTAGAGAGCCAGCCCCCATCTTGAACCTTCACCTAGACCCTTCCTACCTCCAGCAAGCAACTTAAGGCCATTTTCAAAAGGCAGTGTTCATGAGAAATTATTTTGCTTACATAGTTCAGTGGTTCTGGCAGCAGCATGGGAGAAGCAGGGGAATTCTGCCCTCCAAATACGGCCAGAGGGAGATCTTTTGCACCAGCTCAACTTGCAGTCCCCTAAAACGTGGCCATTTCCAAACACATTCGTGCCCTTGCCATGTTGCTGAAATTTGGCAGCAGCTAGGAAAAACAACCAGTTTGGCTAGCCGTATTTTGGGTTTTACTAGTTTTGTTTTAAAATGATGTCCTTGTGTCTCCAGTGCATTTTGACAGCAAACTGTGGGTGGGACTTTGAAAACCCATGTTTTTTCTCCTCTCGTGCTGCTGTCCCACCAAATTTCAGCAGTGGCTTTAGGAGGTAGGGGGAGAAAGGGCCAGAGGAGGCTCCATGTTGCCAGTCTTGGGGAAAAACACCAAATCCAACTTCCCAGCTATGTGGTTTTGGTCTGCCTGGGGCCAGGGTATTTTTCCAGCTTTCTGTCATGCCAGATGGCAGCCTTGGTTTCGCCTACCTAGCTGAAGCTAGATTTGCCACAGGGCAGCCTTCACTTTGGAATTTACCCACACAGGGCAGTGCGTGGGGACCACTACCCAGTCACACCATCTAAGAATCAGCAATCTTCCCTCCGTGACGGTGGGATGCTGGGGGTTACAGATGGACCAAAAACAAAAGGATTAAAAATAGCTCATAAGGGCCAACTAAGGACAGCACAGCTGCCAACTCTGTTTTCCAAAATGCATGCATATAGACGTGTTCCGTAATACCTGCTAGGACAAATAAGTACGGCAAACCTTCCAAAGGATACTTGGAACTGTGCTTATTGGCCTGCCCACAGCGAGTCAGAAGCAGAACACTTGAGTATCAATTGCCTTTGCTAGAAAGGAATCTCTTGACATGCAAGCATGTTCAACCCTGCAGCTGTTGTGTGAAGGCAAGTCCAGTTGTCTGGAGGGCACCAGCTTTGAAAATGTGGTGCCACAGCTTTGGACATAGTGGACTGGACCCCAACAGAAAAGAAAGGGGGCTGTCTCCATGTGCTGAGCAGACACTTACCTGAAGCCTCTGCCTGCACAGGCCAAAGCGGACCTGGGTCACGAAGAAGGTCCTGGGTCTGTATCGCTCGTCGTGGAGGAAGACGCTGCTTGTGCAGAAAAATCACGCTCCTGTCCTGCCAGCTGTGGTAAACCAGCCCCCCCCCCCCAGACCCTCTACAACACAAAACAGGGATTCTTCCAGGGTGCTTCGGAAGCAGAAAGAAAACTTGAACTCATCCATCATATACAAATATACTATTTTTATTCTAAGGGAATTATTCGGTTAACTTCTATCAAGGGAAAACCTGGGGAAATCATTTTTTTCTTAAGAAATCAAACAAGATGGTTTTGCTATTTCCCTTGCTGCTTATTATTCCCTGAAAGAAAATTCACACAGTTTCTAATGGGGTGGGAAAAAAACAAAACAGTTTCTGACCGACATAAATAGCTGCACTTCTGAGGACTTCCCACCTACTGTGGGCTTCTCAGTAGAGAGGAGCAGGACGCTGGGCAGACTGGCATGCAACCAAGACACCACTTGCCTTGTTTCTTTACAGAGCCACACAGTAAATGGATTGTGTCTGTTGAGAAATGGGGGGGGGGGCTCATTTTAAAAAAAGTGAGGGAGTTTATCTTTTTTTACGTTCCAGAAAAATGTATTTGTTGTCAAAACCCATAACAGTGATCTGCTATCAACTACTTATTCATACGGCTATGCGGGGGGGGGGGGGGGAGGGTGGGAGGTAAATTAGTATTTTAAAACACCTAGAAAAATTAATGTACTTCAAAGTGGGATTTTACTGGAAAGATCATAGCCCAGTAAAATTTTTTCCTCCCCTCTGCTTTCTAATGTTTACCTCAGGATACTAAAATGAACAACCGTTGATCAGCAATGACAAACATGGGGAAGGGGAAGGAAAGAGCAAACCAGATTGTACAGAAATCAAATGTGGGGGTAGGTGCGTTAAACAAACTTATTTCACACAATTTTCTGTATTTCAAAAATACACCAGTGAACTTCATTACAGGCAGGGGACAGGACAATCAAGTACACAACAGCAAAAATGAGAGAAGACTACGTTCTCGTTTTATTGTTGTTACCTTCCTTACTGTTAAAAAGAATACCACAAACACACACACACAAAGGAGGTTTTGTTCAGCACTGGAGAGATCAACCAGAAGGTTTAAAAAAAAGAAGCCAGAATTCCATTTTAGAAATTTGAAGACTGGACAAAACTGCCAATAAAAAGATACACAATTTTTCTGCTTTTAAAAAATAGTGTGGATTTTCAAAGTGACCTGCAAGACTGAGAAAAAGTCTTAAATTGGAGACGCATGGTGAGAAGGATTTGACCTAGATAGGGGAAAGCACCTTGCATTTTGGGTAAAGTAGAAGGACCACTTCTGGAGAGGGAGGGCAGAGGGCAGATGCACCCAACTTCTCTTTCAAATTCAGGCCTTATTTTTTGCATGGCTATTTGAATGAAAGTGGCAAAATGAACAAACAGACCAATGACCCTACCCAAGGATTACGATGCAGTTGGGCATTTTTGTTTTGTTTTTTTAATGAAGGTGGGAAAATTAAAAACTAATAATAATCGTCTAAGGCTCCAAAAGGCTCATTCCTACAGAACATTGAAAAAACAAGAATTACAGTAGAGACACAGTGGAGAAGCCGCCACCGCAACAGATTTAAGAAGAAACTGAAGAGACAAGGGGAGGGAGACACATTTCCTCTGGAACCATTTCTGGGCATCTTAGCATTTGATATCAATCTAGTGGGTGGGGTGGGCGGGCGGGCGCAAGGGGAGAAGAAGGGGCGATCCTGTGCCGAACCCTGTTTGTCTGTGTTGGGAGGGCACAGGTGTGTGGATTCACCGACACTCTGGAATTACTTTTTCATCACAAAGCAATTTGCAAGGAGTTTTGGCCTCACTCCGCTGCCCAGTAAGGGATGCCAACAGAGCCAGTGTTTCAAACAAGAGGAAATTTCACAGCATCCCACCAAGTTTTCCTGTCCAACGGCTGAGTCCATTGCCCCAACTTCTGGCTAAAACAGACTTACTGAATGTCCAATCTGAGGTGTTTTTTTTTTTAAGTATAAAAGGGGAAAGGGCAAGGAAGGGGAACTGGTGTGTATGTTACAGATGGCATTTCCATTTGTTTCCACCTAACTACGTTCTGCTCTGCATCCTATGGCAAGTGTTAGGAAACCCCACATAAATGTGGGCAGCAGCTACAATGCAAAAGCACCCAGGGGTTTAATCTAGCTTCTTGGCTTCCATGGTTAGGAGGGAAAAATGTACGCAACAGGTTTCTTTCAAAAAAATTCATAATTGGTCTTTATCCCACTACAAGCACCACCTTGCAAAGGAGGGTGAAGAAATGGGTCTCGAGTCCATTCTGAGTGTTGTCAGGATCAGTCGCAGCCACTGAGCGCTCCCTTTTCTTGCAGCTCCTGTCACTTTGTTTCCTTCAATTCTTGTTTTGCAAACTGTTGCAGTTCACGCTGTGCCTTCTGAGGGTGGGTATGACACGAGAGAGAGAGTATTTTCCAAAGGCTGGATGCATTCACAGTTTGGTGCTTTTGCAAGGTGTGTTGGGAAGGGAAGGAAACAAAAAACAAACAAAAAACAAAAAAAGAGATAGCTCCCCCTTTGCCCAACTTTAGTCTGAAAGCTCAGGATCAGAGTCCTCTGGTTTGACTTTGGCAAGTTCTTCGTGCACCTCCCTTACCATAAGGATACGCGTTAACATGATGTCCAAAGTCCCAGGATCTATTGGCATAGTGGAATACCACATGGGGCTATTGGGGACACACGAACGCTCTGGCTGGAGGTAAAAGACGTCACTTCTCTGTTTCACACTTTCGGAACTGTTTGTGAGAACAAAAAGGGGCTTGTGTAAGTCACCAGTGCTAAGACAACCCACAAGAATACAGGTGCATGGAAGCAGTTTGGGCATTACACTAGGCAGCAGAGTAGAGTAGGAGTGTTAACATGAAGGGGCGGCAGAGAGGAAGCGGGGGCAGGACAACAGATGAACGAAAGGGCAACCAAGTCCAGCAGCAGGCAACTGGTTCTCCCTCTTCCTGCAGCTGACCCATGCACTCCCTTCTATCCCTGGCATATGCATTGTGTGTTGCAGCTCCCAGAGGGTTCGGAAAAGCGTTCTTCAAGGAAGCACGAATTCAACATACAGACTCCTGTTCAGCTGTATGCGCATTGGCTAATTTTCACGGGACAGTCTACTGGTGTCCACTCTGATCTGTTCACACATTCAGCCCACCCACTTATGCATGCAGGCAAGTTCGGACGGCAGCCCAGTCAGCATCCAAGCAGGGATAATGCAGGCAATCGGCGTGTAGGAAGCACCAGAGAGCAGCACTGATCAGCAATGTACGCCAGGGAAGCACGAGTCCACACCACTCTCCCTGCGCTCTGGAAGGCCACTCAGGGCATGGATACACACTCACTACTCATTCCGTGTGGGTGGGCAAGTGAATCCACAACTCTTAACCCGGCTTTCTTTGCAGAAGGGGCCACAGATGCACGCGGCACACGCAAGTGCACACCCTTACGTGAGCATGCACGCCACAGCAACACACTCGGGGCGTCACAGCTGGACAAGAGGGCTATCGGGATCCCTTAACGGGGGGCGGGGGAGGGCTGAAGGGGCAACTTCCCAAAGGCCATACAGGAAAAGCTTAGGAGAAAGCTGAGACTCAGGCCAAGGATGCTGCGCTTCACAGCTCCAGAGCTGTGTTCAGCCTCCAAGGGAGGGACAGCCTGTGTTGTGGTGAAGTTCACGAGAGACTAGCCGTAGAGACGCACTGCCTCGAAGCTCGATCTGGCCTCCCAAGGCTTCGCTAAAAATTACCTGCTGACTGGGGCAGTAGAAACACGCAACTGACTGGGATCAGGGCAATGTCTAACGCTTGGGCACTTTTGCTCCTCTCCCACTTACTAGGCCATCTGCTACTGCAATTTGGTTCTCGGACTGCAAGAGAATTCATGAATATGGTAAGAGGGACGCCTCCAGAGAGACGGGGTGGCAAAACAGCCCCTTCCTTTGCTATCCGCTCCGGGCCCTCTCTGCAAGCAGAGCCTCTCAAAACCAATCTTTGGAAGGGAGAGGGAGGGGGAGGGGGAGAGGGAGGGCCAGGAGAGGAGACACAACTCACCACTTGGACAAGTAGAATTCGTAGAGCCGGACGGGGCATCTCAAGGGGTTGTCAGTGTTCTCGACCATCTCCACTGCTGTTGGGACCTCTTCGCCCTCGTGGCGTTTTCTTTTGCCCACTAATTTATCTGGAGATGGGACAGGAAAGGGAGCAATGGCACAAGGACAAAAAGAATTACTCTTCGGCAGCAAGGAAGGGTTAGAAGTGATGATTCCCTGAAAAGCACTCCTTATTTGTACAAAATGAAAAAAGAGTTCTTGGGAAGCAGCTCCACCAGACATCTTGCCCATAAAAAGAATGGGTGGAAGTGGGAAAATGGTCTGGGGTTGTACCACTTCAAAGGTGTTTCATGTTTTGTTTCCCACATGAGCGGCAGCCAACCATGTGCTCTTCCACCAAAGCCTCGGTCCCTTCCCTATATTTCAAATTCCATTTGAACACTTAAGGAAAGGCGTTTTAAAAAATTAAATCACAACTGTCGGAGCATTAAGACCATTAGGACTGCTGGCTGTGAATGGACCGCTTACGAAGGGCCCAGCTTTTGTGAGCCCCCCCCCCCGCCCGCCCCGCAAACACTTTGCAATGCTGCATGCAGTGAGATTCCAGCAACATAATTATGTGAGGGAGTGCCGGAACAACCTCTGTGTTTCTAAAATTAGCTTAGCATTCAAACCCCCTAGAAACTTAGACTCTGCAGAACCATGCAACCACAATGAACTGAAAAGCCCTCTCATTTTTATTTAAAATATGTATGGATTACTTTTCTACTCAACTCTTCACGGCAGTTTACAACCTACACAACTGAAACTACATAAGAACTCAAGAGCCAGCATGCAGGACCAGAGCAAGAGGATCATCTAGGTCAACGTTCTGTTCACACGGCAGCCCAACCAGCTGTCCACAGAAACCCACGAGCAGGCAAGGGTGCCAAAGCACCCTCCTCGCCCACTGGCTTGAGCAACTGGTGCAGGGAGGCACGCTGCCTCTTGCTAAACGGCCATCCAAACCGGCAGATATGGACAGCTGCTTCCTCCACAACTTTGCTCAATCCCCTCTGAAAACCATGCAAATTCAAGGCCATCACTCCATACCAGGCGACTGAATTCCACAGCTGAACTAGGCACTGTGTAAAGTCCTTCCATTAATCTGTCCAAATCCCCCACCCATCAACTTCAGGGGAGGAGCCCCGAGAAGACGAGTACTACAAGAGGGAGGAAAAGCTCTCCCATTCACTTTTTACACTCCTTGCATCATTTTGCACATCTCTATCCTGCCTGCCATTGTTTCTCCGCTAAACGATCTCAGTTGCCCTAGCCCCTTAATCCTATTTGCTGTGCTTTGCTGCATGTTCCTACAAGTCCTTTTTGTAGGGTTGGGGAAAGCACAGAATACTAATACACAAAAGAACCGTCAGAACAACCCTTCCCACCCAAAGCAGCCTTGCGCACATACTCACAGCTAGAAAATAAATGAAGCTGTTCCAAATTATTATCCAACCAGAACATTAAAAAAGCAAAAGAGCATACGAAAGGACATAAGCGGACCCCTGCCGATCAGACCAAACAGTCTACCATTCTGTTCACCCCATGGCACACCAGCTGCCCCAACTGCAAACCCACCAGTCCAACGCTAACCCCAAATAACAGCAGTCCACCCACCTGATTCTACCTCCTGCTTTTGAAAAGGAGGGAAGAAACGTAAATAAGTCAGCTTGGTGTTGTACTTCAGGGTCCGGGTGCGTCGCATGACGTGGGCAAAAGAGAGCTTCATGTGCTCACTGACATTCTTGAGCTGGAAATATTTGGTGTTGAAGAAGAGCAGCGTGTTCAGGAGGACAATGGGGGAGTAGGCGCCCAGCTGCTTGCACTCCCATAAGTGCTCCTCTTCAATTCTGGAGAACATGTACCCTACAGAGATGGACAGAGAAGCAGTCAGCCACCTGCCAGTGGCCAGCTGCGGGCCCATTTTTATTGCCCAATAAAATGTTTGCTTGTTCGTTTGTTTGTTTATTATAGCATTTTTATGCCGCCCCCGTCGCAGAAAGCCTCAGGGCGGCTTACAAAGCAGACTAAGCAAACATAGAATAAACATTAAAAATCCAGAGCATCTCGGCAATAGTGTAAAACCAGTAAATAAAAACAACAATTAACAATTAAAATATCGTTTAAATAAAAAGGTCTTGGCCTGGTGCTGAAAAACAAATAATGATGGCGCCAGGCAGACCTCTCTGGGGAGCGCATTCCATAGGTGGGGCGCCACCGTATTGCTGTCTTGCTCAAACAAGTTCTGAATCCTGCCCTTTGCAGACAAAGACACTGCGTGTGAGACTGCACAGAGAACATAAAGAACGGGAAGATAAAGGTCCGGTAGCACCACAGAAGGCACATAATCTCTGATCCATCTTAAGTTCAAGTGGATAGCAAGATAAAGAAGCTTGGGATTGTGGTAGTGGTCCTAGGCATAAGTCTGGCACAGGTGGAACGTGGCCACAGACCCCATCCCACTAACAATGATTACCTGCCAGACCTCTGAAGCTGAAATACCCTACCTGGAGAGCAAAAGCTGATCTTGGATGGGGGTACCAGTGTCTTAATTATTAAAAGAACCTGAATATGCATTCTTGTTTTATAAATATAAAAGGACCCCATGCTTCACAGGGGCACTAGTGAAAAAATACACTCTTAATCTTTAAATGTAAAATATTTGAGATGGAACATAAAATCATGATCATTAAAAAGCAATCTAAGCAAGATGGAGGTCAGCCCCAGCCCACCCCAATAAGACCCTGTTCTTCCATTTGTTATGTCCCCAAGTACGTAACAACATGGACAAAACAAGCAGCCACTTTACCACTTGGAAGTATTGTTGGCTCCCAGATCTTCAACAGTTTCGTAAGTTCAATCATAAACCTGGAGTAGGGCTCGGTAAAAATGTTATCTATTCTACCATTCTCAAATAGGTACTGCAAGAGAAGAAGGGAAAGTAGGTCAATCAAGCACAGTTTGAGGTTTATGTAGAAGTGGGCAGACAAAGCCCCTTGGTTCCAGGTGAAGTTTTGTTCTCTTTTCCGAACATGAGGACTTTCTGCATTCTTGGAGGTAGTTACATTCTCCAGACGGTGGCTGGCTTGCGAGAAGGGCCAGGAAACGAAGCTGTGCATACCTACACTCTCTAGATGTTCTGGAAAGGCAAGAGCGTGCTGTGGCTTTCCCTGTGGCTAAAACACCTGCCAACAGGCACACGCCCACTCACCAAACGCCTGCATGGCTGCTCAGAAAACACTCCTTTCCCAGCAGGCAAGCTGATGCAACTGCCAGAAAAAAGACCAGCCCAAGAACCTCAGCACTAGGCAGGGGTGGGGCCTGAGCTCCCAACACAAGCCCCTCTTTAAACCCAAGTAAAGACTGCTCTGGAAGCAGCATAAATAAAGACTGCACTTCATAGCATGCCAGCCTCGCATTTTAAAATACTGTTTAAATCCTAAGAAATGAGGTTCAGAAGAGGGAAGACTCTGGTGGGCACCAAAGGAAGCATCAGCAGGTACATGGCTGCCCCTGGGCTTCCAATTTATGCAGATGGCATGCCACCACCGGCACTACTTTCCACCAAGGCTTGAGATGTACAGAGGGGCATTCCCAGCAGCTGCTTCTCAGCTCTGGAATCCTCTTTCCCCAAAGACTTACCAAAACCACAAGTTGCACCACTTCCAAAGAAACTGTATGTAGGTTTTATTCAAGCTGTTTTTTGTGGCCAGGGATATGCTTGTATAATGAGCACATTGTTTCCCTCCCTGCCTTTTTGAGATGGAGTTTGTACTAAAATCCAATTAAATAAATCTATTAAAATGCTTTCAGCCTATGTAAAAAGCTATCCTCTGTACAAAATTGGGAGAACAAACCTAGCCTAAGCTTAGTAACACCTAAGGTCAAAGGGGTGTTACTAATATTTATTTCTATAATTTACATATCATTACCTGTATCAGGGTATACTCAGTATGGCTTACCAAAAGTTTGCAGTGCAATGCAAGAAACATGCACCTCAGTAACTTAAAAGCAACAGACAATCAGAAATGCATAAAGAGCTGAAACTAAAACAATAAGCAAGAACAAGCCCACTGAAATAATAATCCATTAAGAGTTGGAACGAAGACAACATGTAAGAATGTGCAAGCCCATGGATGTGAAAGCTTGCCTACACAGGCAACAAAGGGGCCAGGTGCACTACTTTTGTGAGCCCATTCTACATTATGGCACCACCACTGAACGGTCCCATCCTCACCCCCCCCACACACACACACGGTGAATGGGAGGGACAGAGACAAAGGTGCCAGATGAACAACAAGTTCTTGGGCAAGTTCACATGGAGAGAAACAACTGCTGAGATTCCTGAGCTTCGGATTAAACCCGGAAACCATCTGGCAATGAGTGAAGCTGGCAAAGGACTAGCATGATACAAACCAATCTATCTTGGCTACATACATGAATCAATTTTGCTCACCATTCCCCAAAAAACAAATACAGAAATGAAGTATTAAAAAAAGCCTGAAGGGAAAAAGAAATCACCTGCTGAATTCCAAGGCACAGGTATAAGATGCTGTCAGGATCATACTTTTCCCCATTTGGTCGCCGCACCTCCTGGATAAACTGGCACAAGCCAAAACTCAGCTCAGAAAAAGAACAAGAGAGGATATCCTCTTTGAGCTTCACAGGCCGAACTGTAAAAAAGAGACATCAGGCTCTGGTGTGAGCAGAAATATTCAGATACCTAACTCAGTTCTCATGGACACCCATTCTTTCCCCTTTCCAGTCAATGATCAATGGAGAAAAGGAAAGGATTGAATTAATAAAGTAACAAAAATTACTTATAAAAGCTAGCTTTATAACCAGAAAGCTCCACTGGAATGATGCACATTAACAGATTATCCCATTTTGGCTTGAACTGCTACAGCAGCCAAGCCAAAAGGACAGAACTTCAGAAGACCTGAGAAAATAAGAGGACTAGGACTGGCTGGAAATCTAATAGCTGATAAGGACACACAGAAAGGAATTTCATGGAACATTTTGAGGCAAAAAGCAACTGGAGGCTTTATTTCAAGAATTATGCTGCTGAACAATGAGGGATTGCTCTTCTACCTCCACAGTTCAACCTAGAACAAAAAGAACAATGCACTACCTCCGAATTTCAGGTCTCCTTGGTCGTCCTGTGCATTCTTCCATTGGACCCAGTTCTTCCAGGCATTCACCCCATACATGTACTTGAGACTCATCCCGGAAACGGAACAGCCTGGGTAGGAGCTCTGCACAAGCATCCGGGGTTCCACGGAGACTATGGACTTCTTCCTCCCCTGAGGGAAAGCCAACACACATGCAAGGGACTTGCCAGAACTGCGAGCAAAGGCACTGTGATCCTGGGCAAGAGAGGGTGTGAACCAAAACCACCAATGCCCTTGATTAAAGTAACTGCTTTCAGGGTTAGCAGGTGGCTGGTGAATTAGGGCCAACTCTGGTCTAACACCTTTCTGCCCACCCACTCCACCACATGAAAGCACTGGCGTGGAAGACGCAACGGCTGTGGCGCTTGCAGATGCCTGGGGAAGTGGGGATGTTGGCTTGCCGATTATTCTTTCCCCATCCAGTGAACTGAGGTGCTCACCAGGCATTCATTTCAGTCCTACTGACCAATGGCCGAGGGAGCAGGAACAGAGGAACTGCTTATGTGATTGAGCGGGTGGTAAAATAAGAATGCACATTCCCCACACTATGTGGTTAAGCTCAGTGTGGAGTGATGGTTTAAAGTCTCAGGCTTGGGGAACACAAGCTCAAATCCCCATGTACCTATGAAGTTCACTAGGAAGTCTTGGGCTGTTTGCTCTCTCTTTCTATCTCCCAACTTACCCTACCTCACAGGGTTGCTATGAGAACTTGGAAAAAGGGGAGCGAAGAGTCATGTATGCAGCTTTAAGTTCCCTGGAAGAAATGGCTTGGGAGATATAAAAATGTAATTAAATAAATAAACATGACAAGGCATAAATGTAAATAAACAAATAAATTCCTTCCTGATCACAGAAGCAATTTGGAAGCTTTACTTAATAGATTAACAGACAAGGCACTTATTCCATTTTTCAGGGGTGTGGCAATAATCACTTGGAACATAATTTTGCTATATTTATATTTAATATATTTATATCCCATCTTTCTTCCTTTCAAGGAACCCAAGGCTGCTTACATAATCTTCTGTTTTGTCCTCACAACAACAACCCTGTGCAGTAGGTGAGGCTAAGAATCTGTGATTGGCCAAAGCCACCCAGTGAGCTTTGTGGGTGAGCGGGGACTAGAAGCCAGATCTCCCGGGTCCCCAGTCAAACACGCTAACCAACACACGGCTAGTGGGATTACCGAGATAATAAAGATGTCATGCTTCGAATATTTTATATGCATCACATTTGTATGTAGATGAGCATGTGGTCTGTAATAGACTCAACAGCAAGAAAGAATTAAATACGTATGTCCCAACATTCTATTTGCCTTTGACTGAAAGTGAACAAGAAAAAGATGGTGGAGAATTGGGCAGGAAGAAAGGCAATGCATCAGAAATAGTTGGGTCTCCTCCTTACTCCCTGTCTTAACTGGGACCCATTTTTGTGGAGGAAGATGTGGGGGTGTTCCACACCCTTGACTAAAACCCAGGAGTTTTCTTAGAGAAGGGACAAATGACGAGAGGCAAATTAGAGGTGGGTTGGGAGAGGGCCAGGAAGCAAGAGGAATCAGAAGGCGGAAGGAGGAACCCGCACCCCAAGCTTCCGTCGCAACCAAGCCTTTCTCTAGAAGTAAGAAATAAGGTGAGTGATCTTACCCTTCTTTTTGGCTGTGGAAAACCATCTCTGTGTCTCCGTCTTGCTCGTGCACGTGAGTGAAGACCTAGCCCTTTGCTGACTGGGTCAAAGGAGTCTAGTTTTGAAACAAAAGCAGAGATGTGGTGGAAAGGTAGCAGCCAGGACAGCCTGCGTGCAAACCAAACGGCTCTCAAACCATGGGTCAGTTCAAGAGTGACTCAGCACATGGATGCAGGGACCACAGGGCCATGGCCCGGGGTGGCAACACATTCCATAGTTGGGGGCATTTTCTCTCAATGCTGACAAACCTGAAGGGAAGTCGGCCTCCAGGTCCTGCTCCAGTTCCCCTTTGGAGAACTGCCTCGGTTCGGGCTCAGGCTCGGGCACCGTACTTGAGCGTAAGGCATAGTGGTTCAGCTCATCCTCCCAGCTGTGAGGAGTTGATACTGCTTCGGATTCCAAGTCCCCACTGTATGTGCTGCCTTGGTCTGCAGATGAGAAGGAAAACAAACGGTGGTGAGAGAGAAGGCCAAGAGGCAGAGACAAAGCACAGCTGGCTAGTCAATTCCAGCCACACTCCTGGTTGCCTGTGGGAAGCACAGTCAGAGTCAAAAGGGGCTTTGTAGACATTTACTCCAACCCCCCACTAAACCCAGGAAACCGAGAACTAGAGCATCCCAAACAGAGAGTGGCCCACACCTGCTTGAAGATCCCCAGGGGGAAAAATTCCACCACCCTTAGAAGTAATTTCAATTTCCACTGCTGATCTGCTTGTACCGTCAACATAGTTCTCCTAAAGATCAACCTTCATCTAACCTCCTATAACTTAGAACTTTAGGTACTTATTCCTCCTTATTTTGTCCTGACAGTTAAGGCAGCAATGAACAGGCATCAGTAAACTCTTTGTGCACTAGTAACCGATAAGCTTATTTGCCATGCTGAGCTGCATTACCAACCTTTTTCAAATATCTTGGGGTCCAGGAACAGTTCATGCTCAGAAGTTTGAGAGCCTGAAACAAATGAAGAAAATGAGGATACTCCAATGCAGCTAAAAGCAGAAGTAAACACCCAGCAGCAATTCAAAAACTTAGCAATTTCCCATGAACTCAACTAATGTGTCAGACCACTGGTCTACCAAAGGCTGCCACTGCCTCCTCTGAATGGTGATGGTTCTACAGGAGCTCGGGCAGAGATCGCCACTGTACCTGCTATGCAATCTTGTTTGAGCAGACATGAAGTGGATCAGAGCAAGGGTTTTCTGCATAAAAAGCTAGTGCTTTACCATGAAATTGTGGCCTCTGACCTGCTCATCCCGAACCTAAGCAGTGCTAAGTGCCGCGGTGGTTCTGCTGGCTCTTTTGCTTAGAACACGGATATGTCACCCTCTGTCCAGTGATTTCAAGGCAGTTTACATTTAGGTAACTAGTTACAAGGCCTGGGAAATTTCATTGAAAACTTGCCCTGCGTCCTTCTCATTACACTTCAGCTGCCCTCCCATTCAGTCTGTACTACCCACCTGAGCAGCTTTACTCCCAACGCTCCAAATAACACTCCAAATAACTCCAGATAAGTAATTGCATGGGAAACTGCTTTGTCTGGTTCCAGAATGACTTGAGATTCCAAAATGTGTGTGCACAACATGCACCCACATCTCCTACAGGTTTTGAACCTGATCCTCTCTCTTTGGAAGATTAACATAGCAACTTTCTGACAACTTGGAATGAAAATGTTTGCCTTTCCTGGCAAATTTAACTCCCCATCCCTCTTTTGAATGTTCATTCTCTCTCACTGGGTGAGTGCACAGGACATGGGAAGGCTTTGGGCTTACAACCCACATATGTTGGCTTCTTTATCTCGGGGTTGCAAAGTGCCCGGAAGTTATATTATATTATATATTTTATATTGTTAACTTGTTTTATATTTTTTATTGTATACTATTTTAATTGATAGATTTGTGAGCTGCCCCGAGGCTTCGGCGAATGGGGCGGCATAGAAATTTGCTAAATAAATAAATAAATAATGCCTCCAGTGCAGTCCTCCTACAGGTATCTGAAGGACACCACAGGAATGCCAAGGTGCTTCTCTCTCCCTGTCACAATTGTGAGTTATATCATGGTTTTTTATAAAGTGACTTTAAGATTATGGTGTTGTGCATAAATCCCCCTCTGAACTGTCCCATTTGCAAAAATGGGGCAGATAACATTAAAAAGCTTGGGGGGGGGGATCCTGAGGCAGGTCCTGGCCAAACCCAGCATTCCCCTTTTAATTTTCCCCACAAAGCCAGGAGTTCATCAGGCAGAAAGGGTGGAAAGAGACCATTCTGCAAAGCTCAGTCCTGCTTTGCAAGGAGCCGCCTGGTCCTGGCTCAAGAATGATGGCTCCATGAATGGAAGAACTACTACATTCGTGCTGGGCATTGAAGAGTTAGGTTTACTCCTGGTTTTACTGGCAGCCACCCAACCCTGGCCAGTAACTACTCCAGAGTCCCATTTGGAACTGTACCTGCCCTGTTTGTCCTAACACAGCATCTGGGGGGGATATAAGAAGCACAATTATTTGTGCACAGAAACCTGAAAAATAGTCTTTAAAATGTGGAAGGGGACACAAGGGCAATCTGTCCAGGATACCAAAAGGTCAGCCTACTTTTGTGATCACAAAATTCCCCCACTTAAAAAGAAGTCAAGCAGCTGCAAGCCAGAGGGTGTTCTCAGTCACAGTGGGGACCCTTTGCCGGCTGCCCCCAAGGGCCACTATGGAACTTCTGCTGGTGGCCAGCAAAGGCAGTTGGCTACTAGTCACTTGGGCAGAGCGGCAAGTCTTTCCCCATCATTGCCAAGCAGCACCGTACATTTTGTGCTTAACAATGGCTTCTTGTGTCATTCATGCTCATACTTGGTTGTGTCAACTAAGTCCCACAAGCAGCCACAGCTTGCTGCAGTAGCGGGTAAATCACCCTGGCCTTGTGCTGGGTTTGAACAACACGCTCAGGCACCCCATCTTCACAGCCACGTCAGCCTCTCTCGTATGTTCTTCTTCAACAGTGTCTTAGGGTGCTTTGAAAGAAAAACCATGCACCTCCTTGGGAGTGTTCCTTGTCCTTCTCATCCTCAGCGATCATTTCCGCCATCTGTAGGAGATCCGCCTCAAAAGGATTGGCAGAATTCTTCTCCTTGACATCTGGAATGGTTTCTACTGCCTTGCCACTGTTCTCCGGGACCGGTGGGATGAACATAGGAACTGGGACCTACAGGCAAGGGTTGATCCAAGCAGATGGAAATATGTGGCAGCGAGGGAAAACAGACATTTTGGGGCTATAAAAGCACATTCCAAAAGAACTTCCCTTTCATGAGGAACCTCTAACAATACAAGAAGCTCCCTGCATCAAAAGCTTCAGCCATTGGGCGGTATAGAAATTAAGTAAGTAAATACAAATAAAATAAAATTTCTTACAAGCCTTGTAAAATCAACTATAATAACCTTCTTCAAACAGGACCCTCTCTTTCCTGGAACAAACCTCTACCAAGATTTGGCCCTTGCAGTCTCAAGAGAACCCCAAGCCTTTAAAAAAAAAAAAAGAAAGAAAGAAAGAGAGAAAGTCTTCTATCAGCTAGCACATCCATTCTGGCATGAGCCTTTGTGAATTCTCGGTGCTTTGTCAAATGCTTTTTCAAACCAGGCATCTTTTAAAATCAGATGCACTCAGTTAACCCCTGGCCAGTGATTCAAGCAAGGCCCATTCCACAACCCCTCAGAGGTAGCCATGGTCCGCTCCCAACAGCTCGGAAGCGAAAGTGGAGAAACGGTGGCCCACAGCTCCCCAGCAGGACCGCCAAATGCGGAAGAAGGAGAGCGTCTTACGCTTCTAAGCAAGCGCATGTACTTGGGATCCCTTCCCTCTTCGGAGGCTGTGAGTACGCTCTTCAGCGTGCTACACCACTGCAGGCTTGGGGCAGTGCTCTTCCCAGGCTCCCCTGCCAAGGCGCTCAGTACAGCTGAGCCTGACCCGACGTATTCTACCATGCTTCGGTCTGCCCGACTCTGAAGCCCCCATCGTAAGGCCAGGGTGCCAAACACATCACTTACAGGTACTGGCATTCCCAGTGGAACTGGCGTGTACTGGGTGAAAAGGTGAAGCGGGAGCGGCACAAATACTGGTACAGGAACAGGCACCATGATGATTTTGGGTGGAACGTCGTCTTCTTCTTCTGCCATGATAAATGTAAAAAAAAAAAAAAAAAGAACCTTGGAGAAAAGCAGTTCATTCGTTTTTCTTTAACTTTTCTGTGCTAGCCACAACTGCTGTACCTAATTCTTTTTTACTGTGGAAGCCCCCTTACACATTCACTGGGACTCATCCATACATGAAGCGCTCACAAGATAATTCCAAGGCAGGGAAAACAGAACAGATGACCCAATTCTCGGGTTGAGAGACCTCTGTCCTGAAAGCCAAATTGTTGCTGTGCTGAAACTTTTGCTGGAGGGCTTGGAAAAGGCATTTTTAAAAAGCGATGTGGGGGGAGAGGTGAACCAAAATTCCATGTGCCTGTACCTGGGGACTCGATGGTCTTCTGCACTTACCCATACCCTCTACCGTTCACAAAAATCAGGGACCAAGTTGCTGAAGACCTTCTCCCATCCCCAGGTAATGGGGCCTCACCCACCCTCCAATCCTGGGGCAACACTACTCAAGCTTTTTTATCTGTCTCAGCAACATCCCCTCCCACACTGCCATCTTCCTGGCTGGCTTGCGTGCGTGCTTAACAGAATTTTTTTTCTCATGGACCCCAAAACTCATTCAGTACTTGGTGACTTTTTTTGTTAGCGCTAATAAACATAAAGGTGGACAATAAGTTAGGATTTTCCCCAGTAAGAGAGCAAAGCAGCCATTTGGCACTTTAAAAAAAATCACATACCTGTTTGGCATTCCTTATGCTGTGTGTGCGGTTTGCAGGATGTGGCCTTGGTCTGTGTGATGGGCTTACACAGCAGGGCTTTATTCTTGAGGAGCCGGGGAGGCTGTGAGGGGGGCAGCTTCAAAGCATCTGTCTGGGTACTTGCCTGGTTTAAATTAGAAAACAGGACTCAGGAGCTATTTGCAGGTTCTGCTAACGAAGCAACATCTACACACGCAATACTAACCCCAGACAATTAGAGTACAACCTTATGTGTGTTTGAACAGGAAAAGCCCTACAACTCCCAGCATGTTTCCAGCCAGCATGGCTGCTCAGGGTAGGCTAGAAGCTGTAGGACTTTTCATGCCTAAATATGCATAGGGTTGTACTTAACCAATCCCAGTAAGCTACCACCTGTCCCCCCCCCCCCAATACCAGTTCCCCCCCCCCCACCCCCACTATATGCAATATTATCAGTAGAGTTCTGTTAAGGTTTTGCACCTTACATCTTCCCATTTGGGAAATTCACTTATGAGAAGCCACCTTCTCTCATGATGTTTAGAAACCTGGCGATTTTTCAAAAACTGGAAAAGAAATTCATAAACACCTAATGCCCAAGCTTAATTTCCCTGCTGCTGGTACCTTAGTTAAACACACACAGGATAACTAAGGCACTGCAAGAGCAAAGGGAAGCACAGGAAACAAACTAAACTATTTGGAAGCTGCTTTGAGTGCCACTGGTAAGGCATACATTTAAAAATCAAGCTATTACCACTGAAAAGTACAAATAAATGAAATGAGAGACAGTTCTATGCCTGTTGCAGAAATGCCTAAACATTGAGTATAGGAAATGAAAAAATGGAATACAGATAAAACTGATATTGCCATTAAAGCTCATAATCATTTGTCTAAGAGCTTCCAGGAAAACTTACATCTCCAATGATTTTTGCTGTTACAGTAGGAACAGCACCTGTTAAAAGGAGAAAAAAAGTAGAGTATTTGTTTACATTTCTCCCTAACATTGAGAATGGTTCTGTTGCATGTAAAAACACACCCGCATGGAACTGCAAGACTACAAACGAGCACTCTTAGGTTACTGCTTGCTGCTGCTTTCCAGTGTTTGTGTCCCAGGAAATATAACCCCCCACTGCAAGCACCTAACAGACAGGAGAGAGGAGGCAGGAACACACGCTCTGGCAAGCACATTCACAGCTGTCCTACCTTGCAAAACGTTGTTGGAATTGGCTGTGGGCTGAGCCGCAGGAGCACTGGCAAGGGAGACTACATTTGCAATGACAGGAGTGGAATCCTTCCTGAGAGACGGAGGGGGCCCTGCTGAGGATGTTGGTGTCATGGGAAGGTTTGCTGGTAAGAGGAAGCAGGAGAAGATCGAGGAGTGTGAATGACACCATGCACAGAACTAACTCAGTTTCTCCACACCAAATCTACTTATGAAATGTTCTGCTGGTTCCAGTGTGTGCTGCAAACTGCCTCAAGGGCTCTGTTGAGATGAAAAGGCAGCACAAAGCTTTAAATGAAGAAATGGTGTTACTAATGGATCTGGGAACTAAAACAGTGATTTCAGTTGAATAAAAAGGTGCTTTGAGGACAAACACAAGGTTTGATTTACACAGGACCAAAGGCTTTTCTCGGCATAAAAATCCAAGTATTGAGGATGCACCACCAAATGCTTACTTAGGAGTAAGCCCCACTGAAATCAGTGGGACATAATCCTGAGTGGTTATGCTTAAGGATGGTGCTCTAAGCTTATCTTTATTCTTTGACCTGTCAAGTTGAATTGAAGGGAGTACTTTCCTTTTCTCCATTAGTGAAACTAGATGAATGTCTATCTCTATTAAAGTTGAAGTTATGATTTGTCTATTGACCTTTGTTTATCCTATTCCACTGTCATCTATTATCAATGTTAGTTTGGAATGCTAATTGTTTAATTTTGTTCATATAGCCTGTCGTTTTGTTTTGGGTCTTTTGAGAGGTGAGTTTAGCCTATTGAAAGCCAGTGTGGTGTACTGGTTTAGAGCACAAGACTCAGGCAATCTGGGTCAAGTTCCCCCTCAGCCATGGAGCCCACTGGGTGATTCTGGGCCATTCAGAGCCTAACTGACCTCACAGAGTTGTGGTGGGGATAAGCTTGAGAGCAGCAGGAAGGGAATGTTAGCTGCTTTGGGTTATTTAAAAGGAAAAAGGTGGGACATAAATCAAATAAACAAGCAAGCAAGCAAGCAAATATTATTCTGTGGTGTGTTCCAATCTATTCTGATCATCTATTGACAGAACACCAGGTCTGCATCTAAGGAAAGGAAGAGAACCACATGTGTGCATGTTCTTATCCCAAAATGTCGGATCCAATCCCAACATCAAAGGTTTCTGTGAATGGGTCACAAGCCAAACCCAGAGGGTGATGCAGTACCACCCTATTGTGAGCTACCATGCGTATGCAGACCCCCCCCCCCCCCAGTCTCTCAGGCTGGGCTTGCTTTTCCTCTACTGAGGCAGGAGCCCGCAGCACTGTGCTGTGAAGCACGCAGGCCCGACTTCGCTACAGCCAGACAGGGAGACGGGGACGTGAAGGGGGCGTGTTCCCATCCCCGCGCACACACACCTGCGACTCAACGAGTTGCACCACCTGTGCCGAGAGGTCCACTCCTTTGCTCATCACAAGGACAGCTGAAGGGTTCAGCCATCACCACGCACACAGACACTCGTGTGTGTGCACTGCACTCAGTGGGTCAGAGCTGGAGACTATTGCAACAATGCCCCCCACAGCGACAGCGGCACTATGCCAGGTCTACTTTTACCTGTATTGTTCTGAGGTGGGGGCGGCGGCGGTGGGGGCGGCGGCGGCGGCGGGGGCGGCGGATCCGATGCACATTGCTGGTTGCAGTACATTAGAATGCAGAGCAGGTTGCAAAAATGCTTGACTTCTCCCCTCCATTTCAAGGACTCACTGAGTTTACCCTGCCTTTTGCATCCATCACATTTGGACATCTACAGAAAAGGAGAAAAAGCAGGTACTGAGAGACTAAAGAAAAAAAATAAAGGACTCTGTACACAGGTGACTGCATTCCCCACATGACTCTTCAGGTGCATTTCATCTGACCTTGCTAACAATTTTACTGACACAAGTCATGCACGGTCCCTCTAGTAAAAAAGGCGAAAGCAGCCAGCTTGGTACGCAGGAGCCTCTCTGCTGGGCTCACTCGCTGATGGAGAATTCCATTCTGGCAAAATCTTAGGTGCCATGTCATTTATCCAACTCTTACTATATTCTGCAGTCTTTATCTTGTGTCTCCATACGAAGTAAATTATTCACATTACTCCTTTTACTCCCCCCACATCCCATTTTTCAAAACACAAAGACAAATACTCTCTCAAGAAAAAAGAAGATAACATAAAGTTTAAATCTGGCTGCTGAAAGAGGGTGGTGTAATTTACATATCCCTCCACTTTTAACCTTGTAGGCAAAAATAATGGGTCAGATCCATTAACTATTTGGGAGATTTTCATCATGATAGCAAACTGTATTTAGCCCTTTCCTCCCATAATCCTAGGAAAGGCTTTGACAGACGTTGCAGCCCATGCCTCCGACAGGAAAGAAGAACATACTATAGTGCCTAAAAATCAGGTATTTCGACTTTGCCTTGAGTTAAACTCAATGGATGTGTCAACTTTTCCAGAATAGCTATTTGCCACCATGCTGCAAAGACTTCAACGCTCTGCTGCTTTCCAACTCCTCCTCCTATTTCCCCCATAAGAAAGAGATTGCTCCAAGACCCTCAAGCAGGCTGAAGTGGGCCTTGACATTAGATACCCCAGTTCCTAACCTAGTCTTCTGTACTAGAGAGGATACAAAACTGCCTGCTATTGCTTTCCAGAGGGCTAGGATCAATGCAAGACAGATTTGAGCCCCAGACAAGCTTACTTGATAAAACAGAACCGTGAACTTCGACATGCAGTCTTCTGAACAGAACTCTTCCACCTTGCCCCCAAAGTGATTCTGAACCAGCTTGGGAGATGTCTGCAAACAGTAGCTACACATCTTACAGTGGTTCCCCCAACGTTTGGCTAAGTCGTGCTTATACAGTAGCTTGCAGCCTAGAATAGCATAAGAAAAGAACAAATGGCAACCCACAAAACCAATCCACCAGCAGCTTTTAAAGGTAAGGCAGTATGACATTAAGAGTGAACTTTCCTGCAAACATACAGGAAGGTTTTTTCAAACAAGAAAGCAAAAAGGAGCCCACACCAATGAGTGGCAGCATTGGGTCTAGATACTGTGCATGAATGAAGCAGAAATGCCAATGATTTGCAAGAACAATTAGCAAGTAGTGATTTTTCCTTGAAGAGAACTGATTGCTACTGAAATGGCGGGCTTTATATCCTGAAACAAGAGATTTTACTGCCAAAACCTGCATTCATATTCTTCCTGAACTCCTTTCCTAAACTATACTGTTTGTAATCCGGTCTCATTCCTGTGGCAAACAGGAACAGTCTCATTCCCTCGGGCCTCCATTTATTCCACTAAATGCTTTTGGGTTCACTGAATATTCGATCCAGTTCTGTCCTTTCTTACCCTCGCTACAGAACGACTTGTCAATGCCTGAGAACCGCACCGTCTCTTTGATAATCTTCTCAATCTTGCAGTATTCGCACATGGACATAACACAGTTTATCTTCTTGTAATCATCACAGCAGGTCTTACCACAGAACTGAAACATTTTGCCCTACAATTAAGAAAACATGGTTTGATTGAGTTGAATTCTCTGATGCCCTTAAATTGGCACATATTTTTGCACTTAAAAAAATAAAACCTGTCAGGGAATTGCAGTAATCACAGCAGGAAGTACTCCAAAAAAGGATGCGTGAAAAGTTGAAGAGTTATTATCTCCCCTTTCTAAAGTACCTGGGGAAAAGGTGAAAAGTGTTGAAAAGGTAGCGTGTACTAAGAACTGTCAGTTCAAACATTTAAAATAGAGAGGATTACCTTGCAAAGGGGAAACATTCCTTCCCCCACCCTTTGGTGTATCTTCCTTTGATGCTTTTCTCCTTTTTACTGGTGCTTTTCAATCGACAGTTTGGTAATTGGTCCCTGCCAACTATATGTGAGGCAGTCCTTTCACTCTGGCATGTCACTACTTAGCTGTTTCCTTTGACAGCTGAATTAGACAATGAAATTAACCAGGGAAGGTATGACAGCCATAACAGCACACATGTGAAAAAAACCCAATCAACAAATAAATAAAGAATTATGAGCACAGCTCCACAATTTTCAGGGGCCAAAAATATAAAAATGACCACAAGCGTGCTTTTTTGAGGCACCAGTCCCTCCCTACAAATGGTACTGGAAAAGGGTGACCCAAGTGTGCAAAAGAAGACGTGAAGCAAATAGGATCAACCTGAGTAGGTCTCAAAATTCAGATTTCCTTGCTTTAATGACACAGAAAACACACACAGTTTGCCCACCACTTGGCTTCTGGTCCACCGTTATAGCACTCTTATCCAATGTCAAGGGGTCTACAAACCACAGGTGAGTGCTAATTACCCTGTAATCAAGCAATTCAGGCTTGGTTGCGAACAGGCGGTTACAGTGTTGACACTTGAGCTTGACGACAGTGCGGGTGAAGGTGACTTGCTGCGACTGAGCGGCAAGCCTCTGGAGACCGGCTGCCGCCGAACTGCTGACGGAGCTCGGGGAAACCGTTGAGGTAGTGCTGCCTGCAGCTGAAACTGTTGCCCCTGATGGGATGCTGACGATCACTTGGCCCTGTGACAAGGGGACCACTGAGGAGTTCATTCCTGCGGGCTTGTTGAACAAGTTCTGTCAAAGCGGCAGGGAGAGAAGGAAAAGCCTATCAGGAATGTGTAAAGGTAAAGGTTTCACCCTGACATCAAAGTCCAGTCATGCCTGACTCTAGGGGGCAGTGCTCATCTCCGTTTCCGTGGTCATGCGGCCGGCATGACTAAACACCGAAGTGCATGGGCCGCTGTAACCTTCCCACCAAAGTGGTACCTTTTTATCTACTTGCATTTGCATGCTTTTGAACAGCAAGGTCAGCAGGAGCTAGGACGGAGCAATGGGAACTCACCTTGTTGTGCAGACTCAAACCAGTGACCTTTCAATCAACCAGCCCAGCAGCACAGTGGTTTAAACCACTGCAGAATTTGTAAGGAGAAGCAAATCCCTGTGCAGCTGCTGCCATGCACTGCTCCAGAAGTAGCAGCCTGGGAATGATATTCGGCAGCAGTAAATGCCCGTCCATGGAAGGAACACATGGCAGTGCTTACACACGATAAGAATGCCATCCAGTGGTGCTGCCCGTAGCCTCTGACTTGAAGAATTACAGGCATCCGAGGAATGGCGGAAAGAGCACGGAGACAAGGATTCCTCTGCACTCCTCCCAGCCATCAAAGTGGCTGAAGGGCTTTGCAAACATCCGTGAGGAAGAGGCCATGATGCGTCCGTGCAGAGCCTCATCCCTTTCCTCTCCGCCCCCAGAAGCACCCCCCAATGCCAGCTCTGAGGTTAGTCTTGTTGGGGGGGGGAGCACCCTGAGAACGCGTGCCAGTTCTGACTTCAGAGGGCATTTCTGAGATTGGAGTGGGAACACCAGCCTTTCTGATAGGTTAGGTTACAGTCCAGGCAGAATCCAGTATCCTCAGAATTGTGCCCTAACTTGCTCTGAATATTTCTGGCAGAATGGCGACTTAAAAATTATATGTAACTCAACAAAAAAGGATGGCTAATGACAGCAAGGCGGGCCAAGATCAAACAGGCTACCTATCCCAGCATTTTGGCCATCAAAAAATGTTACATGGATGCCTTCTTGCCCCATCTCCCCCATCAAACCCACTTGCTCATATTTTTTGCACTGACAGTTCACTAGTCTCCATGCCGTTCTTTCCCTTTAATTGTCCTCAGTCCATGTAAAACAGAAGTCTATATTCCTGGAAAATTAATCTCACACATATACACAAACACAAATCTGCAAAGCAAGCAGAGACCTGGGAGTCTGCAGAATGCATCACTAGCACATCTGTACAGATGCACTCAAATTCTGGTAGCAGTACAGCCCACTGGCACATGAAGAGAAAGAATCCGTCCTGGAGTGGTCAAGGAGTGAACTCCTCCACAGCTTCTTCACAGGCAAGCCACAGACCACAAGCCTCTTTCTGCCTTTCCTCTTAGTTTCCATCTGTCCCCACTACTGTTTCCTATATTGCCACCAGTCTGCGTATCAGTCTCTGTGCAGTCTTAATGTTGTTGACATCGTCCAACAGAAAATGAGTACCACGTGTGATGTGACAGACACCCTTAACATGGAGATCTCCAATCTTTTTGTGACAGTGGGTACATAAAATGTTAAGTGTTGTGGGTGGCCTCACAAAATGACTGCTGTGCAGCAGGATGCCTGTCCATTCATTAAAAGACTGTCACGGTGGCAAGACCAGTCAACAAAACTCCCACTTCCAGAAAACAAACTGGTGAGACTTAAAGAAAAGTAAATTCCACAAGAACTAGTACAAGTGGAGTACCACAGAGCCACTCTTCTGAAGTGACATAAAGACTTTAGAGGAGGCCAATGGTTTGCTTTGGAGCTTGCCCATGATGTTGCGTAGGGCTGAGATTTGGGGGTGGGGTGAAAAGGTCATTGTCCAATAGTCCAAAATAACTTCTTAAGGAAGATCTTGGGCCTCTCCCAGGGCACTCCTGCTGCCTACTTAAGGATGGAAGTAGGGCTACCTTCCACTGCAGTTCGAGTCCACCTTGCATTGCTGAGGCAGCATAAGAAATTAGAGAGCCTTCAAGAATCTCATCTTGTCAAACTCTCTATTCTCCATTATGCAGCTGGAAATCAATGGACCAAACTCCTGCACCCCATCCTACAACTTGTATTCCCTGCCATCCTTGGATGAACTCAGATCCTGGGACAGAGAAACATTAAAGACAGGCTTTTTGCAAAGGATACCAATAACAATGTCACCGTAGTTCAATCATCCAAATTTTCACCCTGGTACCATATAAAAAATATAGAAATTTTTCCCAGTACCTAACCACTGCCCCATTGAGAAAGGCCTTAACACCTTTCTGTGTGCAGACAATGGCTTCTGCCTATCTTGAAGGGAGATAGTGTAAGCTCCCTGTTGAGCAATGCCTTTGCCCCTGTGATTCTGGTCAAGTGGAAGACATCATTCATTTTGTCCTCCACTGCCTCATTTACAATGAGATCAGGACCAAATTATTGAAGGTAGAAGCATTTAAGGGCTCAGAGCTTGAAAAACTAATGTACCTCCTTGCAGAAGTGTTCCCAACTGTACGCAATCAAGTTGCCACCCTTGCCCTGCTCTCATTTAAACTCAAAAATAATTTTTTTAAACTCTCCGTTGTGGCATTGGCCCTATTTTGTTGCAATCTTTTATTTGCAACATTTACTATTCCATTTTATAATTTTACTACCTCATTGTTTTATCATTGCTATTTCATGGTATTTTATGGCACTTTTATGTTATGCTATAGCTTATGGTTTCAACAATAAACTTATTTACTTATTTACTTGTCAGCATACCAGTTGGAAAATATTTTTTACAAACCTTAAGAAATAAAAGTTGGAGGAGAAGGGCACCCGGCAGACATCAAGGGAGGGGTGTCAGAGGCACATGGGGTCCCACAAGCACCATGTTAGACAGTCCAGGCCTCACACATCAAGTTTGCTTGCAAGTGCTTACAACTCTTCCACACTGCATATGCATTCTATCAGCATGAAACCAGATCAACTTGGTCACGAGAAGAGAAGAGGACATAGGAGGCCAAACTGGTGAAGGGCTTCAAGTCAGAGGATGCAACCAGCCCATCTGACAATTTAACTAAACACCTGAAATTAAGACATACCTGAAAAGCTACGACACAGCTATAGCTGCAAAAATTGCGTATGCTCCCATCAGACATAGCTAGATGATACTGAGGGATGGCTGAGATCTTACAGCTGTTACACTGAACCTGGACACCTGACATACAGAAAAAAAGAAGGGAAGGGAAGAAATTTATGCATTGCAACCCTTTTGCTTTCAAAACAAGATTCATGAAAAGGACAAAGTGACAGTTACCTGAAGATGTGACCATTTTAACTCTGTGTGCTGATAGGCAGTTCACGGAACAGAAGAGCTCCGTCTTCCCCACGTTATTTGTGCTTTCAATCATCTCAGCTGAAGACCTCAGAGATTTACACAGTGCACAGGGAGTGATTTTTGCAGACTTCTGCAGAAAGAGGAACAATACAGGTATTTCTCCCTTAGCAAGCCATTGTGCTAGCTAGACAAAGGGCTTACCATAAAAGGGAAACTCGCATGGGGAAAGGCCATAGCTCCTCTGCAGAAGGAGGTTCCAAATTTCCAACCCTGGAATCTCCTGGTAGGGTTTGAAACACTCCTTCTGCAACGCAGGAGAGTTGCTGCCCGTCCGTGTTTACAACACTGATCACCACCTGACTCAATTTCTGTACATGAAACTTTTTATGACAGTGTTTTCAGCAAGAAGAGAGTACAGCCCCACTTCTTTCCATGTCACGCCAATGGAACTACAGCCATGCCACTGAGCGGAGCTCGGGTCTCCACTGAACAACTGGGTAACGACTGCAAGGGGGCAGTCTGGCGTGTGCAAGCAGCAGCGTGTGCGATTCTTCCCCACTTATCTGCAAGGCTGGCTTGGTAGAAGCAACTGGCATGAAGGGAACACGAAGCTCCCTGTGTGCTCGACGTGGACGTAGAGTCCTGGCCCGTGTCATAGCCTTCCCTCTTCCTTAGGCAGTTTCTCCAAACAGGTGCAGCTTTAAGGCGACATCTTTTATTCTTACAGAGGTACATCCAAGGCTCTGTTCCCCACTTCCATGATGGCTTACCATGCAACCTTTTTTAAATGGGTTTTTTAAAAAGGAGAAACTATCAAATGAAGAAAACTCAGACCTGCTTGTACGCAGTGACACACGCTGAGCTGCAGAACTTTTTGGACTGCCCCTCTATCTGAAGCATGTGGCACTGGCCTGAGGCACTGTAGCAGTAACCACCACAGTTTTCACAGCAGTTCATGGTCAGGTTGTTTGCTGAGCGGAACTTGGAAAAGCAGGCATCACTGCAGAGCTTGTGCACAACGTTCTGGTAATTCACTTCATGCCGAATCTGGAAAACAAGCACAAAAAGAGTATGAAGGCTGCCACAAGGGGGACTGAAGCTTTTCTTCTCTTCAAGGAGTTATGCATAAAACCACGGGGACCATCTCTGCCCCACATCAATGGCTTTCAAATGCTAAGGAGAACCATAAGCTTGGTTCAAATATAGTATTAGTACTTTGCCCAGTTCTGGTTAGTTTAAAACCCAGAAGCTTCTCTTCCAGACTCCATTAAGAGAGCAGAAGGGAGGAAAGGGCTAAGTGTGTGAGCCTGGGGTTTGGAACATTCACTCACATAGCACTAGGCGGTTGTGTGTGGTAATTCACTCAACACTCAAGAGGGGTGGAGAAAGAGGAAGCAGTCAACTCTACAGAAAAATGTCCTTTCAGTTATCTGATGTAGGTGCATCAGAAATAAGCAGGGGTTCCTGCTTAAAAACAAGGCTGAGATAGTGGAGGGACAGATCTGACCCTCTTACTTAAGCTGCAACCATGCATAGAAAGGGATCCCAAGTCCAAGGACAATTGAAAACTTAAAAACAATTTAGAAACTTCACTCAAGAAATTTTAATAGCCCAACTACCCTGCAACAAACAAGAGATCAATCTAACTGCCTTAAGGAAGACTATGCCACAGGTGCCTTTCATCTGCAGAGAAGGCCTGTCCCTTGTTCCTACAGACCACATATCTCTTGGTAGCAGGACTGATCCCTCAATCAGATTTTTAAATTACAGGCTGGTTCATACAGGAGAAAACAATTCTGGCCCTGAATAGCATGTTGCTGTTATGTGTAGCCGAGTTGTCTTTGATCTAAGGCAACCCCACGAATGAAAGCCCACCAACATGTCCAGGACAGCTCCGTTCAGCTCTTTCAAGTTCAAAACTGTGGCAGCCTTCAGGGATTCAGTCCATCTCGTATTTGCCCTTCCCTTCCATATTCTGCCATGGACTTTCCCTAGCATGACTGTCTTATCCAGAGAGTCTTGCCTTCTCATGATGCATCTGAAGTATGACAGCCTCAATTGTGTTTGGGGCCTTAAAAAAGGAGCGACACTTAATTGTGCTCACAAACTGGCTGCTGGTAGCAAATGAAAGAGTGGTGCCATGTGAACCAGGAAGCAACCTGAACCCTGCATTTTCCTGAAGCTGCTGTTTCTGCTCTTGATTCAAGGGCAGCCCCAACACAGAACACACTGCAGTAATCTAAACAAGAGGAAACTGAGGCATGACCAGATTTTTCTTCTGCAGAAAGGGGTGCAACTGGCATACCAGTTCAAGCTGGGCAAAGATGTGCCTCACCAACTCACCCTCCAGGAGCAATGCTGGGTCCAGAAGCATCCCCACTCCTAACCTGGTCCTGCAGAGAGAGTTTTACCCTAAGCCCAGATTAGTTAATTTTAGTACCTGGCTGTACCTTGGTCTCTGGACTGGGCCTAACTTGTTAATCCACCATCCAGTTCTTCACTATGTGCAAGCCTTAATCCAGGACCAATTCAGTTGCCTCAGAACCCATTAACAAAAAAGGCAGAGCTCAATTATCATCATCCAAACCTCCAGATGACTTCTCCCAATGGCATCAAAATATATGGAACAAAGCAGAGTCATGAGAACTTCCTACAGGCCGATGGACTGAGCAGCAGCCCCCCAGGAACATCTCCTGGGAGCACCCAACCAGATAGGAGCAGAACCACTGCAAAATACTGGCCCCAAGTAGCTTGAACTGCATGAAGACAGATACAACAACACAACAACAACAACAACGATGTGAAGAGAAAGAGACGGGAGAAAAATCCAAGCAGAAGTTGAACTTCTTTCCTTTGACAGCACCTCCTTTTTAAAATATGTTGTGCATTTCTAATTAAACTAAGGTAAAATAGACATGTGGTGAAGGATCTGGATCCAGGCTTCAGATCCTTCCAGAGAGATTGAGCTAATATCCGTCACAGATTGTGAATCACTTTTTACAGGGCATCAACTGGAGGCAATTATTGAAACAAAACCACCCTGTGTTTGCACCGTTGCTCTTCTGCCCTTTCTCAGGCTTCCAAAACCCTTGATTTTTCTTGTAAGGGACTGAAGTGCCATCTTCACAGGCAAAGACACGTTGCAACATGTTTGCTTACAAAAATGAATGCAGCCAAACAAACTGCATTCTCCCCAACCCAATTTCTAATAAGCTCCTCAGAATGGAATGAACTTCATGCTGGGTACAATGGCTGTCATAGCTCAGGCACATCATGAAAAAGCAAGACTTACTCAAGAGGACAATCGTGTTAGGGAAAGCTGAAGGCAGAAGATGAAAGGGAGAACAAACAGGAGATGGACTGAATCTATAAAGGAAGCCACAGCCTCAAACTTGGAAGAGTTGAATGGCACTGTCCTGGTCAGGACATTCTGAAAGGCTTTCATTCACAGGGTAACTTAAGTCAGAGATGACTTGATGGCACACAACAACAAACAACTGTCATCAATTCTTTAGCACCTAGAAATGTTCAAAGGGCCTTACGGTCTGCCTCTTAGAAACTAACTCAGAAACCTGAGCAGGCATCAGGCGCAGAAAAAAGTCTTACGACAACTGCATTCCCCAGTCTGCCATGCTGGCTGGGAAATGCTAAGGTATAGAACCAAGATGCACAAGACTGCACCTTTAGTTTTTCCCCCCTTTTATTTTTTTTAACAGAACAGAACATAAACAGTTGAGATACAGTATATATCAAAATATATCAATAATATTCGTATTTTTAACCTAATGTTTATATTTTTTAATTTAATATCATAATTATTTTTTAACTTATTGTTGTAAGCCGCCCCGAGGCTTCGGCGAATGGGGCAGCATAAAAATGTTTTTAATAAATAAATAAAATATTAACCTCTACAACCCAACTGATAACTAAAACGAGCACAACACATACAAAAAAACATCGTGTGCCCACTCCCCAGGAGACCAGTTTATATCTCTATTTTAGTTCATATAATATAACAATTAACAATATATAATATACTTTAGTTATACCCATATCCCCTCCAGAAATCATATATTCTTGATTAGGCTTACAGCCTTTCCCTTCCATCAGTACTGCTTTTACAAAACCTTCCCATATTTCATTATATTTACTTTTATTACCCCCTTTTTGATTTTTATTTCTGTTGTCAATTTATCATTAACAATCATATTCCATATTTCATTATACCGTTCATTCCTTTATATAACCCATTTCTGTTTCCTGTATTTAACCATTACTAACCTAGCTGCCATTATCAGATTTAGGATCAATTCTTTCTTAACTTCATTTATATCTTGTTTCTCAATCAGCAGCAATAACGCAAAGAGACTGCGCCTTTAGTGATATGACCAAAGCAATAAGAGGAACTTCATGGCTAACCGAATATGGAGCCTCCCGAACCCAGAGATGCCCACCCCAGCCACCTGGGCTCGACATCCAGAACAAGCAATTGTTGTGCATTTGCTTACCACCGCATTCTTCTGGCACATGCTGCACTTGGTGGAAATACTGTTCGTGTGGATGGTAACAACAGGCTTCCTTTTCAGCTCATACATGGAAAGACACGACTGGCTGCAGAAATCCTTGCTGGAGTTTGTATTATCAAACTGGGCAGTAATCACATCCTTTGGATTCAAAATGTCCCTAAAGAGAGAGAACCAACGTTTCAGCGTTTGCAGTCACAAAGCAACACCTTCCATGGAACAAACAGGTTCTCTACAATATACAAGTCACTTTACAATAGGTGTGCAATTGGCGCTGAAAATGCGACCTTCCCACAGAATCTGGCCTGTGGGCAGCTTCATCCCAGAATCAAAGTGAAGAGTGCAAACAGGAAAAGATCTGGATCAAGGCAAGCTTCTACCTTCCATATGCATTAGACTTCCACTTCCAAAATTCTTGACCAATAGCCATTTTCACTGGGACTTTTGTAGTCCAATATCAAAAGGTACCAGGTTGCCTGCCCCTGCTCGAAATGCTTGGTAAGCGATCCTAGGAATACAACATCAATGCTCATCTTCAAATTTACCAAGAGGGCAAATGTCAAAGTACTATTACTTGTTTCAAGTATTTTTAGATTCCTGAGGTGGTTTAAAATAACAAATACCTCCCTGTTTCCAAATAACAAAACCGGTGCAAGGACAAAAGAAGGGGGAAAAAATCAAATGTTATCCTTATGCTTGCCAGCAGTGCAGATAAGACTGCCTATCCCTGCAGTAGCCCTCTCATTTGCAAGCATTTTGTCTTGCAAGGTTTGACCAGGTGGTCTCAAGCCATTTATAGGCAAGCACTGCCCATTGTTTCTCAACTCCTCTTAATCACTGACTTGTGCCTTCAAACAATTCGCATTTGTTGGGTCTTAGTTGCATTTGGGCAGGTTCAATTTTACATTTCTTTTCATCAGAAAGTCTCACTTTAGTTCAATGTTGCTTACTCCCAAGCAAGCATGCCTGGGATTGTAGCAATGGACAAGTTCATGGAGATAAAGGCAGAGGACTCTTAAAGCTGATGTTTGTAACACAGATCTTGTTGGCCTTCCCAGTGAAGTTCATGGAACAGTTCTACCCTAACAGACTGGCCCCTGTCCCAGTTACATGAAGCTCTTTTTCTGGAGGTCTGCCACATTAATTTATAAGCCACAGTAAGTTATATTTATAAATGAACAGGCATTTAGTGGTCAATAGTTTTAATTAACCCACTGCTACCTGCCCAGAGCCTCAGGGTAGCAATATTAATTCATTCTGCATCTTCCACAACCAAAAAATCAAAATGCATACAATCAGAGGGAAAAAAACCAACAACAAAATTACCAATACCAATGATAACAGGGTCTAAAAATGAAGAAAAAAAAATAAAACAGCTGATAGCAATTTTGACTTCCATACCACAACTAGACCAATTTGACCTAGGACACTTCTGAAGACATTTGTCTTCATTTTCTTAATCTAACAGAGCAAATTCAAAGCCACTGTCCTTACTTAGAGCAGCTGGAACAGGTTTTCTTGGTAGAAGTTGGTGGCCGGGTGGCTGGTACAGTATATCCTGTGAGGCACAGTGTAGAACAGAAGAGCTGAGTGGAGCCTTTCCGCTGATAGGCTGTTTGCCCCTTCTGCAGGATTTTCTTACATCCTGAACAGGAAACTCGAACGGCTGCACTTGGGACGGAAGGAAGCAGTTTGTTCATGCCAGAAGATGGTGCATTTGGTGGGAACCCTGAAGTCAGCTGTGGAGCTTGCCAAAAAGAGAGAAGAAAATAATGCTATTGATGTGACATCTGGAGGCTCTCTTTCATCTGAAAGTTGGGTGGAAAGAGTTCAGCATTTCCTCCTCAGACAAGTGTACCTGGTGTCAACATTACTGTTGTTTCTATGCCAAGCAAAGTATTATCTTTTAATTTCCCCCAGGTATTTTTTAACGCACTTCTATTTTAACCATGTACTAGCGCAATCGGAAAGAAACTGAGGAAGCTGGTGAGTGCCCCCCCTTATCCTGGGACCCAGAAGAGGCAGGGGGACTCCTGCCCACTTTCTGATGCTTTGCTATGGAAGTTTCTCTCCGACCTAGGCCTTGCGCTGTACAGCGAAGCCCACATGTGTGATGCAGAGACCACAACGAAGAATGTATCTTTTTGGCACATACCTAAGTGCCAAGTGAAAAGCAGAGGAGGAAGTATGCCACCCTTCCCAATACAAGTGGCTCTGCCATTCTCACCCACCCCAAACCCTGCTCCTTACCAAGAGGGCTGCCACTGACTGAAAACACAGCGCTGATCTTCAGTTCACCTTCCTGAGTTTTTGGCTGCTGACCATATTCCTGAAAGCAACAGCCACAGGTGAAATTCCATCAGTGATACTCAACTCATCTTAGACCATGGACCATGTCAGATATTCACAGCATAATTCCAGGGCAATGAGCAAGCTCAAAGTTTCAGACTTAGAAAGCCTGCACAGCACTGGATGCCATGAGTGGCCCCTTCCCCTGTCTCATGGGATGCTATTCGCCATGTCTGGTGAAAGGGCCGATTATACTCCCTTCCAACTTTTGGCTTTTGCCCACATACATGTGCACCAAATGGAAAAGTGCAATGAGGGACCCACAATGCAACAACAGTATAATAATAAAAAAGCCTAAAGGAGAGGTGCAACCTTATCCCCACTATGCCTCTTCCTCTTCACCATACAGCTTTAACACACCATACAGCCAATGCTGAATGGATGCAGGACAAGGCTAGGCAGTTTATGTCCATCTTACCTCAGTATTATCTGGTTCATCCTTAATTTTGTTCAGCAGCCCTTGCTGAGGTGCCATAGCTTTGTCATAGTCATTGTCCAAAGGTTCTTCCTTGATTCTAATATTTGGCGCATATGAATTCCCTAGTTCTTGACCAACAGATTCCTTATTAGCAAACAAGTAGCTAGACTCCTAACACACAGGAACAAGAAATAATTTAACTAGCATACATATTCAGAAGACAGTTTCTCCAAAACACAGAATGTGGTCGTACACTCCTTAGGTATTTTCTAACATGCTTCAAGTAGAAAATCAAAAGATAAAGCCTTATTTCAGAAGCAGACAACCTGGTTCCCATCAGACATAATAGATGACAACTCAGCCCCAGGCAGGATGATCAAAGCACGGGGGACTGTGGGAGCTGTTGTCCAAAACACCTAGAGCTGATTGGGTTGTCTGGCTTATTTCATCAATTTCCATCTCTCAGTAGTTAAGGCATCTCTTTAGAAAGAGACATTTCATCTATGAAGCATCAAAGCTGCCTCTGATAAAGTTAAAAGGGCAGGGGGGAAGTGGTATACATTTTAAAACGTTCTAGGTCTATTTCATACCTTGCTGGATAAAGCTCTATTTCATTTTCCCAGATTTTCTTCTCCCTCCAATGCTTTCCTTGTTTCTTTTTGCCACCAAGTTAAACGTTCCTTGCTGCCCAAGCATTTTAATATTTTAGCATTTACAATTCAATTTATTTTTAAACAGACTTGATAACTATGATTCTGTTTAGTTTGCTGGTTGTTACTGCTTCAATTTGTCTTGAATTGTGTTTATATTGAATTTATTTTTGTTTGTTTTTAAAGTTATGTATACCACCCTGAGTGAAGGGTAGATTATATATTATAGAAACAAAATAAATCAAGGCACAATTCTATGCACCTTTAGACAGAGAAAAGGCCTACAAGCACCAGCAAGCTGTCTAAAGACGCACAGAATTGCACTCTAATTTAATCTGAATCAGTCCTATCTTCCACCTCTGCAGTCCTAGGAACACTACCCACCTCCCCCGGCACTTGCTTCTTTACCCTTTTCCAGGTCCTTTCGCCAGTGCTCTCCATGCTCCTCTGTAAGATCAGACCAGTTCAGGCAATGCCAGCTTCTACTTGTTCCATTATCCTATGACAGCAGGGCAGCTTGACCAATGATCACCAGGAGTTGTCAACAGCAAAACAAGAGCTCTACAACAATCTACTCCAAAGTATACACCTTGATGTGCAATTAAAAGAACATAAATGCCATGCCCATAACTTACCCTGAAGTTTGTTTCTGGAGTTTGTGGTGCTAACTGTGTCCGCAATGTATCTTCTACTTGATTAGGAACTGAGGAGAACATAGATTAAGTCAGCAATGCTTTGGAAATACATTTCCTAAAACCTATATGAATTAATGAATCTCCTGTACAAGGTACATGACCTTCTTCTGAGGAGTTTGCCCATTTTGGACAAGCACCAACTGTCACATTGAGCATCCTCCGCTCACTTCAGTGAGGCTTGTACGGGCTCTTTGAAATGAAAGCAGCAGTGCTTGATGGCTCATGCCATTTGCTTTTCAGTGTTTGAAAGTTGCATGAAATGGAGTACGTCTGCCAAAGAAGCCCCATCATGAGCAAAAGGTAACAGCTGTTCAGGCAGGAGACTGCGCAGAGTGAGAGACAGACCCTTGGATTTGACCCTCAGAACACCATCACTGGAAAGTCCCTGCATAAACATCACTGAAACAGGCAGGAACTGATCAAACCCACCAGTTTTCTCTCTGCCTAGTCTTAGGAAACAAAGCATTACCTGATTTATCGAGGAAGCTACTTTTCAATCTGGAATCCAACTCCTTGGGTATTTTTTCCAAGCGTTTGTCACGCTCCTGAAAAGGTCCGTCTCTGGCTTTCTCCTTTGTCAAAAAGGTCTCTTTACCATCATCTCTGGTTATGCTAAAATCTTTCCGAATGGACTTAAATACAGAGGATCCTTTGTCAAAAGGCGGAGAGAGATCCTTCTGGATCACATTTTGCATCTGTGTGTCTTTCTCATTGTCCACTGCATGATCCCGAACCCTCCGCACCTCTCCCCGGGTATCCTCGGGGCGAATGGCAGAAGGCAGACCATCCTTTGGAGCAAAGGGCTGTTCATCCTCGTTGTCACTCCCAACAACTGGAATTCCTGTAAGATCCCCAGAGTTCAGGAAGTAATCACTATCATCCAGCAAAGAATTTGTAGATCCTGTTCGGTTCTGCATTCTGTAGGGTATGCTGTCGAAAGCAGGGGTTAGATTGTGGACCGTTTTCTCAGACATTTCTTTATGGACGAGGTCACCGCCTGGAGAGGAGAGCAGAATCAGATGCCTTCAGAAATCACCCAATTTGGAATCTGGAGGCAAATAGAAGTTTGAATACATTCAAAATATCCACATATATGCTGGGTACCTAATTTCTATGTCCTATAGCAATTTTGCACTGTCTGCTGAAGCATCTGCTTTTCTCTCTCTCTCTCTCCTGAATATACTGCCATCAAGTTCTTCAAAGGAGCCCAAGTTCCATTACTTTGCTATTAAATTAGTACCACATTCCCACCATCAATAAATGCAACAACAAGCCAGAGTCTGAACCCAGCATTTGTTGTCTGAGAAACCAGAGGCAATGGGAAACCAGAGGCACAGCCCCCACACATTAAAGGTTAACCAACCCATGAATTGCCATTACATGTGAACTAGGTTACTGTCTACTAGACTGAATTAGGAGGGAACTTTTAGGCTGGTTAACAAACTGTGAAGGTTTCTGACTTCCCAGTAGTAGGTCCATGGACTCACTATCTTGAGCCATCTGGAACTAGGATTCTGCCATCTTTTAACATGGGGACAAGGATGGTAAAAGCAGGTTGCTTACCTGTAACTGATGTTCTTCGAGTGGCCATCTGTGTATTCACACATACGGGTGCTGCGCCTGCACAGTGCCTAGGCCGGAAAGATTGAAAGCTAACGGTTTTTGGCGGGAAACTCTGCTCCCCGCTCCCTCGGTAGCATATATATAGAGCGGAGTGTCCGCCATTTTCTCCAGTCTTGGGAGACCGAACGTTCGCCACCTCACGGAGGAAGATGGTATAACAACCTATTAGGTACCGTTGTATCCTCTTCTGGTACCGATGCCATAAAAATATGAGGTACCGAAGCAGTATTATATGGTACCGAAGACTAAACCACTCACCGACACCGAGCAGGGCCGGCGGGTGGGTTGTGTGACTGCACAGATGGCCACTCGAAGAACATCAGTTACAGGTAAGCAACCTGCTTTTCTTCATCGTGGCCTCTGTGCATCACACATATGGGTGAGTAGCAAGCTTACCAGAAACGGTGGTGGGCGGTGTCGCTATTGAAGAACGGCAAAAAGAACAGCCCTCCCGAAGGAGCAGTCTCGTCTGGCACGCACGTCAAGGCGGTAGTGCTTCGCGAAAGTACAAGGCGTAGCCCAAGTTGCTGCCTTACAGACATCCTGGATCGGGGCACCCGCAGCAAACGCGGAGGAAGCCGACACCACTCTAGTGGAATGGCCCCCTGGAACAACAGGTAAGTCCATCCTTGAAAGTTGGTACGCCAACGAAATGGTTTGAACGATCCGTTTTAACAGCCTCTGAGACGAAACAGGTGATCCTTGGTCCCGCTCAGAATACTTTACAAAAAGCCTATTGAAGCGTCGAAGAGATTCCGTACGCAATCTATAAAAAGCTAAGTATCGTTGAATATCCAAGGTATGCAAGGACCTCTCGATCAGGTTTGATGGCAACGGAAAGAAAGCAGGTAGCACAATTTCTTGGTTCAGGTGAAATGGTGTGACAACTTTAGGTAAAAAAGTCGGATCCATCCTCAGGACCACCTTTTCCTTATGGAAGTTTAAGTAAGGTGGATCAATTCGAAGAGCACAAAGCTCACTGGCTCTACGACCTGAAGTAAAAGCAACAAGAAAGGCCGTTTTCCACAAAATGAGTCACATATCGACAGTGGCTAAGGGCTCAAACAGTGGTTTCATAAGCACCTGAAGGACAACCGATAGGCTCCATGTCGGCATAACCGGCCGAATAGACGGATGGAGATTCTGCAGTCCTTTAAGAAATTTCCGAGTAAGTGGCTGCGAAAACACTGACAATCCTTGTACTGTACCTCTATAATGCGACACTGCAGCTGCATAAACCTTAATTGAGGAAGGTTTCAGTCCCGAGCGGTGCAGGTGGAGCAGAAACTGAAGAATATGCTCAACCGACGCCGTAACTGGGTTAAGCGAGCTAGATTCTGCAAAGGACGAAAAGCGGTGCCACTTCGCTGCGTAGGACTTTCGAGTTGATGGCTTTAGTGCAGACTCGAGAATCCTTACAACGTCCGGATCGAGGGAACTCGGTCCCTACAACATTCCCGTTGGTACCAAGTCAGTGAGGGGGTCAGACTAGTCATGAGTTGAGGTACCGAGTGACCTAAGTAGATCTCTGTCCCGAAACAGTCTCTCGGATCAATGAATCCTCCACGGAGAGCGGTTCAATGACAAGTCCGGATGACGGACAGCGCCGTTTTGCTGAGTTAGGAGATCTTGTGTGGTTGGAAGACGAAGGAAATTGCCGTCTGAGATCTGAAGGAGAGTGGAGAACCATGCTTGACGGGGCCACCAAGGTGCTATGAGTTTTCCTGTGGCATCGTCATGCACGATCTTCGAGACGACTTTGGTCAGTAGAGGAATAGGTGGGAATGCGTAAAACCTGAGATTTGTCCATGAGATCATAAGGGCATCCCCCATCGATCCTGGTCCTATTCCTGCCCTGGAGCAGAATCTTTTGCACACCTTGTTTCTGTGGGTAGCAAACAGGTCTATGTCCGAATGTCTTCACAGTTGGAACAATTGAATGCAGACATGGTGATTCAGTTCCCATTCATGGGTGATCAACATGTGTCTGCTCAGGGTGTCTGCCTCTTCATTGTCGGTCCCGGCCAGATGGACCGCCAAAAGGGTTATACCTCTCGGGATACACCAGTCCCAAATGTCCATGGATAGGCGGGCTAGAGCAGTGGACTTTGTTCCGCCCTGTTTGTTGATATAGAATACCGCCACTATGCTGTCGGACGTGATTTGTATCACTTGGTGGCGAAGAGCTTCTTCGAAGGACCGGAGTGCCTTGAAAATCGCTAGTAGCACAAGGTAATTTATGTGGCTCAACGATTGTTGGCAGTTCCACATGCCCTGGGATCGAAGCCCTGCGCATACCGCACCCCACCTGACCAGTGAAGCATCGGTGTATAGAGTCATCGTCGGGTGAGGGGTGATGAAGGGGATCCCCACGTTTAAATTGGCCGGGGATATCCACCAAGTCAATGTTCGTAAAACAGCGTGGGGTACATGAAGTAGTTTGCTGGATGAATCTCTTTGTGGACGAAAGTTCTTGTTGAACCAGAGTTGAAGAGGACGGAACTTCAACCTGGCATGCGGGACAATGGCGACTGTGGCGGCCATGTGACCCAAAAGTCTTTGTATTGAGAGCACTGTCACTACGTAGTTTTGTCGAATCCGAGAGATGCAGACACGGAGGCTGTCCTGACGGGCTTGAGGGAGGAACGCCCTCACTACCGTGGAGTCGAGGCGAGCTCCGATGAAGTCTATCACCTGTGTAGGGACAAGGGATGATTTTTCACTATTAATGCAGAGTCCAAGATTGTCCAACAGTATGCAAGCAGTCTAAACAGCTGACAGTAGGGTTTCGCATGTCTGTGACTCTATAAACCAGTCATCCAGGTAAGGGTAGACTTGGATGCCCTGAAGACAAAGGTGAGCACAGACTGGTGCCATACATTTTGTGAAGACCCTCGGAGCCATGGCCAAGCCAAACGGAAGGACACTAAACTCGTAAATGTCAGTTCCGATGGTGAAACGCAGAAGACGCCTATGATTTGGATGATTCAAAATATGAAAATAGGCATCTTTTAAGTCAAGGGAGGTGAACCAATCCTCTCTCCTCAGCAGTGGAAGGATATTTTGAAGGGTAGTCATCTGAAATTTCTTTGGTTTGATAAACTTGTTGATATTTCGGAGATCCAAGATTGGACGAAGGCCACCGTCCCGTTTCGGAACTGTAAAATATCTGGAATAGAATCAGTGAAGACCTTCAGAGCTGGAGATCCGTCGAATTGCCCCCTTACAAAGCAGTTGTTGCACTTCTTTCACTAGCACTGGGGAGTGCGGTGTAAATCGAATCGGGTTAGACGGAGGAACGGTATCGAATTCTATTCTGTATCCAAGTTGAATGATCGACAGGACCCACCGATCAGATGTAATGGACTCCCAAATGGGGAGTCGGCCTTGTAGCCGTTCCCCAAAGGGGAGGGGTAAGGGTGGGTATGGAGGTGGAGGAGAGGTTCGCCCGTCCCATCAGCGTTGATGCTTTTCGGTATTGAAACATCAACGGTTTTGCGGAAAACGCTGATGAGGTTGTTGCCTTCTGCGTTGCGGCCTTTGCTGGTACTGTCGCTGCGGCAGCTGGTAGCAGTAGGACGGATGCGACCATGACCACTTAAGTTTCAGCTGTCCGGGCAATTCCATGCATTTAGCCGTCATCCGGGATTCATGGATGGACTTTAGTTTGTGATCGGTGCAGGAGTGAAAAAGCCCGGAGCCGTCAAAGGGCATTTCCTCTATTTGCCACTTCATTTCATCAGGGAAGTTGCAGTTTCGCAACCAGGCATGCCTTCTCAGTGAGACAGCCCCACAAGAGCTCTCGAGTCCGTACCCACATGGTGGTGTGCTGTGGACAGTTGTTGAATGGCAACTTACATCCCCTCCTTAATGAAGGTTCTGGCAAGATCCCGTTGCTGTTCAGGCAGGGGAGTGACGATATTATTCAGCCTCTGCGTAATAAAGAATTGATACCTGGCCAGGGTGGCTTCATAGTTGGACATGCGAAGCCCGAGTCCTGCAGCCGCATAGACTCTGCACACCAGAGTATCAAACTTGCAACCCTCCTTGTCTCTGGGGGCAATATGGCCTCTAGCTTCCCTGCCCTGGGATGATTTGACCACCACAGAGTTCGGCTTAGGGTGGTGAAGTAAAAAAGGAATGTCGCTCTCTCAGACCTGATACATGGACTCGTATCTCCTCACCATAGGCTGAGTTTGGGAAGGCAAGTCCCAAGGTTGCATCATCGCCTGCCGCAGAGTCGTAATAAGCGGTAAGACGATTGCTGGCGATTGTTCTCCCCTGACAATGTCGTAGAACTTGTTGGTGCTCGGATCTGGCTGACGTTGCGTCTTGATCTCTAGCAACCGAACAAGTCTAGACATAAGCTCACCGAAAGATATGTGAGGCTCTTCAGGCGATGATGGGCCTTGAGATGTACTGAGGCCATCAGGAGAGGTGGAGTCAGCATCCAAGTCGGAGTCGGGACCGAGGTGGTATGGCTCCGACGAGGAAGTCCCTGGCGAAGTGGGATGTTCGCGTTCAACCCGCTGGGAAGCAGAAGGCACATCCTCCTGTGCGGAAGGCGAGGAGCGATCCCGTGGGTGAGGACGGAATCCGAAAGAATGGTAGTCCTCCCAACCCGACAGGTAGTTGTAGTAAGGCTGGAACCATCCTTCTTCCCGCCTCTCGTCCATTCGGGACTGAGATGGTGGTGATGGAGATCGGTCTCTAGCTCTCGCCGTAGGCATAGAAGTCGGGGAACGAGCCCTCGGAGGGGAGTCCCGAATCTCTTCATCGGATATGGACTCATGTTGCAGCTCCTTGGGTGGTTGGATAGGTAGGCCCTGTTGTGGAGCAGGTTGCACTGGGGACCCTGGAGGGGTAAACCTGCATCGCCGCTTGAAGCATCGGTACCGATGGCGTTGGTACCGAACCTGCCGCTGGAATCAATGGAGCAGTCGAACCCAAATCCCAGTGCCTCTTCTTATGAGGCGGTTTGGCCGCCTTATCTTTCTTCGCCTTCTTATGGGCCGAAGACTGATCCGATCCCCCATGCTTCCTCTTTTCCCATTGTTTATGCGGGGGAGAAAGAAGTTGCTGAGGGGGAATTTCCATCATCCGATGGGTGCGGCTGAGATATAGGCGGCATGGGCGAAGGGCACTGCCCGGACATGCCCGAGGCAGAGGCTGGGCACTGAATTGCTGCGGACGAGGCTGCGGCCTTGCGCTTAGCAGATGGAGCATGCGCTGGCTCAGGCTTTACTGCAGGCTGATCTGATTGCATCAGCGCTTGATCCCATAGGAGCTTCCGCAGTCGGTTCTCCCTACTTTTTCACGCTTGCTTAGTAAAAGCAAGGCAATGGCGGCATTTATCAGTCCTGTGCCCCTCGCCTAGGCAAAGGAGGCACAAGTCATGCAGGTCCGCCGGAGACATTTTGGACCCACATTCCGCACATTTGCGGAAGGCCGCTCGCTGCGCCATCGCAGAAACAGAATACAGGAAAGAGGGAAAAGTAATATATGTTTGGTTGTTTTGTTTTTTTTAGGAACGAAGAAAAAGAGAAAAAGGAGATATAAACTGCAACGAGGGAACAATAACTTGGAATAAGAGCAAAAAGACAAACAGTAAGTAACGAAGAATACTGAGTCGAGCGAGAGACAAACAGGCACGAGGCACAGCGAACGGCGGTCGCAAAAGACTGGAGAAAATGGTGGACACTCCGCTCTATATATATATGCTACCGAGGGGCGGGGGGGAGCGGAGTTTCCCGCCAAAAACCGTTAGCTTTCAATCTTTCTGGCCTAGGCACTGCGCAGGCGCAGCACCCATATGTGTGATGCATAGAGGCCACGACAAAGAACTTAGAAAAAAACTGGGATTGGGGGAAATGGACCCTGTGTGAGCAAATAAGTAAAACAAATGCTTACGTTTTTCTGCTATGTTACTGAAAACTCCTTCAGCCTTGTCTTCAAACTGCAATAGGAAAAGAATCACATCATTACTTTGGTTGATTTATCCAAGAGAACACTTCCCTCCTCTTCATTACCCAATTACCAGTATCAAAAAAACTTTATAATTTAGGATTGTTCAAGAATATGCAACAAAGAAAAAAACATAGATATTTTCTTACTAAGGCTAACATTGTATATTCAGTGATCCAATCTTCCAATTCATGACCAGGATCAAGGCTACCTCATCTTGGCTCAGGCTCCACAAAGCCAGGAAATGGGATGTTGAGGCTGATGCCTTAACAGAAGTGTCCTGTGATGAGTAAAGATGTGCAGCAATGACAGATGGAGTTTGCATGTAACTTACCCTCCACGAACCCCATTTCCCTTCCTTTTTAACGTCCAAACGCAGACGACGAGGAGAACGGAGTGCCTGGGACCATCTGAGAGACCCCATATGGCCCTGCTTTTGTATTGCCTTATTTCGTGTATTGCTAGAGGAATTTTCCTATGAAGTGGCCTATATCCTTTTGCTGCTTTGGGGGATTAATTTTTCCATGTAATTTTTATTTTGAAATAAAATGAACAAAATTTCTTTAGATTACTAAAGAAACAGGAATTCACTAAGTATAATTAGACAATAACAAATATGCTTATAGAAAGCTTTAGCAGAACAGCCTAAGTAGGAGATCAATATCTAATGACAGAGTAAAAGTACATTTTATACAGCATTAAAAAGGAGTTCGTACAAGGGTGTTATTTTGTGCATACAGATATTCCACCCATTAGAAGATTTCAGCCCCGCCATATAGAAACCAGCGGTAATTAAATTTCTGTGGTAAAATACCACTACATACATTTTAATTTTTTGTCTTTTATATCGTATCTTATGTTGTATTTCATGGTTTTATTTTTGTGAAATGCACAGAGAGTGTTAGCTTTTGAGTGGTATAGAAATGTAATCCATAAATAAAACTGGTATAAATGTAATTTTATAGCTCACGAAGCACTAGCAAAACTTGCAAGTTTCTGGTAAAATTCAAAAGTACAGATAGAAAGCAAAGAGATACAAGGGAGCTTTATTCAAAAGAATGCATTCAAGTGACCTCCACTGAGAACGCTCAGTATTGAACAATGCTCAAGACAGAAGATCTCACCCATCTGTGACATGCAAGAAACATTTAAATTATAAGCCACTGATTGTGGGGGCCAAAGCATCACTTTGTTCTAACAGGTCATCAAGAACACAACTTTCTGGCTGGAAGCAGTTCAAAATCCACATCTCAAAGTCACCTGTGTCTTGTTGAATTCTGAGAAAATGTATTTTGAGCACCCCAGCCTATCAAGATCACTTTCAATTCTGTTTATTTCTTCCAGGATATTAGCTATCCCACTGAACTTTGTGTCATCTGCAAATCTGCTAAACATTCCCTGCTTCTCTTCATAGAAACACAGAAACAGAGAGAGTCAGAAGGGGCCTCCTGGGCCATCTAGTCTGATCCCCAGCTCTAGCTGGCTCCGCTCACGACATGCCTACCATGTGGCATGTCTAGCCTATCCTTGAACACCCTCACCGATGGGGCCTCAACCACCTCCTGTGGAAACCCATTCCATACCCTCGGGGTCCTAACTGTCAGGAAGAACTTCCTGGCATCCACATTGAACCTTGGTTCCCTGAGCTTTGCTCTGTTGGAGCGCGTCCTGCCTTCCTCTACAGGGGAGAACAGGTCTCTACCCATCTCCATGTGACATCCCCTCACATACCTGTATGTCACCAACAGATCCGCTCTGAGTCTCCTCTCCTCCAGGCTGAAGAAACCCAGTTCCCTCAGTCTCAACTCATATGGCTTTCCCTGCAATCCAGAAACCATCCTTGTGGCCCTCCGCTGCACAGACTCTAACCTGGCTATATCCTTCCTGTAATGAGGGGGCCAGAACTGAACAAAATACACTCCAGTTGCAGGCGCACCAGAGTCATACAGAGTGGTAGTAATACCTCTCTTGATCTAGAAGCCACACTTCTGGCTATGCAACCAAGGGTGGCGTTTGCCCTCTTGACCACCGCATCACACTGCTGACTCAAGTTTAGCCTGCAGTCAACCAGTACCCCGAGGTCCCTCTCACAAGTGCTGCTCTCCAGCCACTTGTCCCCTATCCTGTACTTATGACACCTATTTCTATGCCCCAAGTGCAAGACCTTGCACTTATCCACACAGAACGCCATCCTGTTGTCTCCTGCCCACTTCCATAGTCTGTCCAGATCCTTTTGGATCTGGAGTACCTGCTCCTCAGTTGTGGCCACTGCTCCAGTTTTAGTGTCGTCTGTGAATTTGATCAGCAGACTGTTCACCCCTTCTTCCATGTCGTTGATGAAAAGATTAAACAGGATCAGCCCCAGGACAGAGCCCTGGGGGACCCCACTTGTCACTGGCCGCCATCCCGATGATTCCCCGCTAATGGTTACCCTCTGCCTTCGGTAAGTCAACCATGCCCTAATCCACCGGACAGTGCACTGGTCTATCTCAAAACTCCTCAGTTCCTCCACCAGGATATCATGGGGCATTTTGTCAAAGGCCTTGTTGAAATCCACGTAAACCACATTCCACAAAGTGTGTCTGGCAGGACCTGTTTTTGCAGAAGCCATGTTGTGTGGCTGCCAGCCTCCCTTCCCTAGCATCACTAGATCTCTCACTATTATGAGCCTTTCCATTGTTTTTCCTGCAATGGATGTAAAGCTAACTGGTCTGTAATTTCCCATGTTCCCTCTGCTACCCTTTTTGAAAATTGGGACCACTGATGCCACCCTCCAGTCCTCTGGAACTTCACCCATTCTCCACGAGGTCTCAAAAATGGAGGCCAGCAGGCGTGAGAGAACCCCTGCCAACTCTCTAAGTACTCTCGGGTGTAACCCGTCAGGGCCTGGCGTCTTTGTAATGTCCAATGCCCTGAGGAGCCCCTCGACTTCAAGGGGGGTGACTCTAATCTGTGCCCCTAAGTCCCCAGCCTCATCTAATCTCCTGTGCGGATATCCCCTGTCCTGCTTTGGGGAGAACACAGAGGCAAAATAGTCATTTAGCATCTGTGCCTGTTCCCTCACATCAGTCACTGGATCCCCTTCCTCCTTATTTAGCGGTGCTACTACCTGTCTCCCCTTCTTCTTGCTATTTACATGCTGAAAGAAGCCCTTTTTGTTGCTCTTGATATTCTTTGCAAGTCTCAGCTCATCATCAGCCTTAGCCTTGCGAAGAATCCTTCTGCAATGGGCCGCCTCCTTCCGGTATACCCTTCTGTCTATTCGCCCAAGTGCCCATTTCTTACGGAGGTTCCTTTTGCATCTGATCCCTCCTTCTGCATCCATGGCGGCGCTCTCCTTCGCCTCCTCGCCTTACTAACTAGAGGTATCATCAATATCATCAAGGCTTACGCCTCCAAAACCTCCCTTTTGAGTGCCATCCACCTCTCCTCTTCATTCTCTTCAATCATTAATAAAAATGCTGAAGAAAACTGGACCCTGGAACTATGCTGCAGCTACCCCTCATTTTAATTGAACCAGTTCGCACATCATTCTAAACCACCATTGGTTAGCAGTGCATGCATGTGGCCATTTTGAATATTCAACTTCATCTTGTTCTCTTGTGCAAACCTAATGAGTGTGGATTTTTGTGGATTTTTTACAAAAACCCAGAAACCACAGGCTGCTTCAGGATTTGTTTGTGAACCATGTCAACAACACACAGTTGCTGCATTTACATGACACAAACTGGGGCCAGGATCTGAACAGACAACCTGGCACCAATGGAAATCAAAAACCAAGTATACCCCTTGCTAGTTTGACAGTCATTGGTAATTTCATTTTCAAAACGTGTAATGAGAGCATCTTTTTTTTCCTGGATTTCCTTGCACTTCACAGAAAGAGGGCTGTCAATATTTTCTACACTGGCTTTGTAATTTTCTTTATAAGACTAATAATGGCCTAATAATCTTTCCTCCATCTCTCCAGGGTTTTAAGCAGCACAAGCAGCACAAGATACTGAATTCCCTCAGACTTTCTGCATTATCTCAGTGCTGATGCTCTACATTTCTTCTGTTTGTATTCTCAGTGCTAAATTGCAACATGGTATAGAAACAGACCAATCATTTGTAGCTGCTGCTGTTTACTTGTCATTGTTGAATTGGTCAAAGTGCATTGCTGATTCCCAATCTTCTTTGGTTTTGAAGAAATAAAAACTATAACCAGCAGTCTGATTGATTTTTGACACTTCTGTAATGTTATTACATCGAAGAAAGCAGAACTTAGATCGGCAACAGAAGCCCTCCTCCAGGAACCATCTGTGAAAGAAGTTAGGAGACAGAGTACCCGGAGGAGGGTCTTCTTTGCAGTGGTGCCCCAACTGTGGAATGCGCTCCCCAGAAAGGTCCGCCTGGAGCCGTCATTATACATTTTTCGGTGCCAGGTTAGGACCTTTTTATTTAATCAATATTTTAATATGTGTTAATATTGAATTTTAATATTGTATTTGCAGTCAAGAGTGGGTCGTTTATTTATTTATGCTGTTAGCTGTCCAGAGACATTGGTAATTGGACAGCATACAAATTTCATAAATAAATAAACAAACAAACTTATCAACAAGTTCACACTGGACTCTTCAATGTATCAGGAAGTCTGCAAATGATAACAGTTTAGGATGGCTCAGCAACCTTATTTGAACCCTGACCCAGGCAGGCACTGTGCCTCTCATCTTTCACTCTCTAGAAGTGTTTAGCAACACCCACAGGCCAATTCCCCTTGCTGAGGAAAAGTCTCAAAATATTATGAAAGTGATAACGGAAGTGTATGGGTACAACAGTAGACAGTATCCACACTGGTCTCTCCTGCATGGCTCCCTAGAATGGTTCAACTAGATTCAGAAAAACATTTCAATCATCATTTACAGTAATTCCTCTAGCTTTCAGTTGCAAACTCATGTTAGATTTGGATCTCTAATTTAAGTAAAGTGCAGTGCAAACTATTTGTCAGCCTTTGTC